GATATCATCTGCCTTGTCTTCTCTGCCCTACGAAGTTTCACGGCACAACTACCACCATGTGCCTTCAAAAGCATTCTGCAAGGAATCCTAGTATTCGAACCCGCAGTTATCGCGATGGCAGGAAATTCGTATCAGAATAATGGTTGACGTTTCGTCATTCCAAGAGAGTCTTAAAAATGCGACCGTTTTTCAGTGGAACGCGAGAGGACTTCGTCCTCGGCTTTCCGACTTCCGACAGCTCATGTTCAAATATCACTTTCCTATCTTAGCTATCAGCGAATCACGCGTTCCATCCGACTTTCGACTTTCGGGATATGAAATATTTCAGTCGGTTCGTCCTAATGGCATTAGTAGAGTTTTTCTTGCGCTCCGGAAAGACCTAACCTATGTGTCACATGATATCACCCCTCATCCGGACAATGAGTATGTGAGTGTCACAGTTCGAAAGGGGAAAGTTACATTCACCGTTATTGCTGTATACATAGCTCCGGCCTGCGGCTTCGATATCTCGAGATTAGATAATATTATTCGACAATGCAAATCCCACATTTTGTTAGTAGGTGATTTCAATGCCCATAATGTGGCGTGGGGCAGTGTAAGGACGACGCCACGGGGACGAGAGCTACTCGATCTGGCGGACTCTTACGACCTATGTCTCCTGAATGATGGTTCACCTACGTTCATTCGAGGTAGTCGCTGCAGTAGTTGTTTAGATGTTGCGTTCATGTCGCGCGAGCTCCTGTCCCAAAACTCCTGGCTTGTTGATATAGAGACTCATGGCAGTGACCATATGCCTACCTACATAACGGTCAGAGGGTTCCAAGCAAATTATTATAATCATGTTCTCACTTCATATATAGATTGGCCATGTTTTCGAGACAATGTGGAACTGCGCCTGCAAGGAACAAGCACTTACGAGAAGTTTGTCTCAACGATAGAGCTATCAGCGACGGAAGCGACCAGGACTGTCCGTCTCCCAGCCTCGCGCACCGTTGTGGATGCGGAATACGAAAAACTTCGAGCGATTCGTCGACGGGCAGAGCGTCGCGCTCGACGAACCAAATTAGCTGCTGACGTAAGAGTAGACAGGCGCACTCAAAAACATATCCGCCGTCACTTGGATAAACTAGGTCGGAAGAAGTGGAGAAAAACATGTGCTTCCTCATTTGATCCCCGTGCTCCACTGTCAAAAATATGGCACGTTGCTCGCGGACTAAGATCCAAACCGCAACAAAAAACGCCTTTTCTTGCGTTATCACTCCACACAGGTCGCTCGCCACGTGACATCGCTGAAGAGTTTTGCGCTTCACTCGTTCTACCAGCCTTAAACGACGATGTTTCACTGCATTTAAGCGCTGAACATACTTCTTTTTCAGCTCCCATGAATGCCATCTTCAGTGCGCCAGAACTAGATGAAGTTTTAGCCTCCCTTGATCACTCTTCTTCGCCTGGTCCAGATAAAATCACTTACGGTACACTTGCCCACCTAGGACCAGCAGCTCGCCAGCTGCTGCTTCAGATATTTAATGACTCATGGACAAACTGTCGTGTTCCACAAGCGTGGAAAATTGCGAACATCGTTCCCGTACTCAAAGCGGGTAAGTCTCCTCTTGATTTGAAGTCTTACCGGCCAATTTCTTTAACTAGCTGCGTCGGCAAATGCATGGAGCGGTTAATTCTGTCACGGCTGGAGTGGTTCCTCGAATCAAGCTCAGCATATCCAGCTACAATGACGGGGTTCAGGCAAAGCCGTAGCTCGATTGACAACGTCATCGATCTTGTAGCCCATGTTGAAGACCAGAAGCTTCGGGGAAAGTTTACTATAGCAGTGTTTCTCGATGTACGTGGAGCTTTCGACAATATCCGACATTCAGCCGTTCTACAAGGACTCCAATCAGTTGGAATTAGTGGGCGACTGTTTGACTGGGTTGCTGACTACCTCCATAATCGAACCATCTACATGCACACCAAAGAAGGCGACACCTCATATCATGTTTTAACGAAGGGCGTACCCCAAGGGGGCGTTCTTAGTCCGGTTCTTTTTAACATCGCACTTATCGGGCTTACGAAGGCTGTACCAGATTCCGTGCACCTTACACTTTATGCCGACGACATCTGCCTATGGGCAACCGCTGCCTCTCTTAAGCAGGTACATGCTCAACTACAGAAGGCACTTTTTCAAGTATCCCAATTTCTTTACGATCGGGGGCTTGAAATTGCTCCAACAAAATCAGCAGCTGTAGCTTTCACGAGGATGAAAATGAGCCGTTACCCTCTTTCCCTCCATGGTACAGACATTCCTTACACTCCAAATCATCTTTTTCTCGGAGTTTATATAGACAAGGGCCTAACATGGAATCCGCAACTAAAACATCTTAAGACGAAGCTTTCTGCATTTATTAGTTTAGGGAGGTTTATAAGCGGCACAACCTGGGGGACATCCGTAGCTGGACTTCTGCGTTTATATAACAGCTTATTCGTTGGCGTTCTCCGCTACAGCTTGCCAGTTATGCATGGTTTAAGTCCCACAAACATGAAAAAGCTTGAATCTCTTCAAGCACAGGCGCTCAGAGTATGCCTTGGGGTACCTCGTTCAACCTCGACCATTGATACAATAGCTGAAACTCACTGCCTACCTATCAGAGCCATTCGCGTTCAGGAGACTCTACGAAATCACATAAGGCACCTTACACGGCATGACTCGCACCACCTAGCGGACATACCGGAGAGGTGTTTCTACAGCCGCATTGCACAGGCCATTATTGATCACAAAGAGAACATTCCAGATGCATATCAGGACTCTCTCATCCTCGCTACGCCTCCTTGGTTGTTGCCCCCTCTTGTGCTCCACACAGACATCCCAGGAATAATTAAAAAATCAGCGCTCCCTCCAGTTGTTCTTCGTCAGCTTTCTTTGTCTGTTTTATATACGCGGCACTCTTCCTCCTGCCATTTATACACAGATGCATCGACTACACATGAAGGATCATCGATTGGATTGGCGTCCCCGGCGCTCTGTCTGAGCGCGGGCCACAAGTTGTCTCACAGAATGTGCTCCACTGCGGCAGAGTTGGTAGCCATTCGTGAGGCGCTTTCTTACATATTAGATGTGTCTCCTCGCACTTGGACAGTTATTACTGACTCTAAGTCAGCTCTCCAATCGCTGCAGTCTCCACGTAGAAAGAGTCCAAATAGGCAATTAGTTCTACAAATTCTGAAAGTTCATGCAGATGCTAACCTTTTAGGACATTCAATTTCTTTCCAATGGATACCTAGCCACTGTGGCCTACAAGGAAATGAAATGGCTGATGCTATGGCTGCACGTGGCCATGACCACGTTCAGCAAGTTATGGCTCCATTTACAAGATCAGACATTCGTGCAGCTGTGGCACTCCTGGGGAGGTCTACTGCAGCGCGTCATTGGAAAGCGGTCGCCCACCAGAGCTCGTCCTTAAAAATAATTGACCCAAATTTAACGTTCCAAGTTCCACGCGGTCTCAAGAGGCGACGGGAGGCAGTCCTTCATAGAATGCGCCTAAAAGTGTCTTACACAAACTACTACCTTCATCTCATCGGAAAGCTCGAATCACCCAACTGTCCCCTATGCGGAACCATTGAAGACATCAAACACGTATTACTTGAATGCCCTAAGTATACTGATAATCGGCACCAGCTCTACAAAGACATTCATCAGACAACTGGATCAGCCCTCACTCTTCAACATCTTCTCGGACCATGGGATGACGAAAGCCACGCTGCGAAGTCAACGAATGCCCTTCTAAAGTTCCTGTCAGCAACAGGCCTTGACAAAAGACTCTGACCTAAGGTCGCAAACGTTGCCCGCCTTTTTTTTTTTATTTTCTAATTTATGTACAGCGCGTGCGTGTGAGTGTGTGAGTGGGCCTGAGATGGAACGCCTTCTTTTCATACTTATATCTTTCATTCCCTAACTCCCCTCCCCACTCAGAGTAGCCAGTCAGGAGATCAACTCCAGGCTAACATCTCTGATTTCCTTTCTCTACATCAAATAAAAAAAAAAAAAAATTCCTCCATAGTCGCCCCTGAAGAAGAAGCCGAACCGGCTTCGAAACGTTGGGCCCCTGATTTAGGGATTGGTTGGTCGTCGTATTTTAATAAAGTTAAGTTATGGCTGCGATCTCGCTGGCCGTTGCTGTTTAGTTTGTCTGCTTTGCAGGTAACATATTGGAGTTGACTCAGAGTTGACCTAATATGTGTGTTTGTCGTCTTTGGGTCCTGCATTTCTTTGTGGTGTATTTTACCGTACCACTGTGCCTTGTGACTGCATGAGGGTGGAAGCAAAGTTGAAGCAGATGACAATGTCCACCTACTCTATTGCTCATAAACGGATTTTCGCATTGATGGCCGGGACTTGCCGTGTTTCCAAGTGATGTTAAGCGGCGGGGCATTACGCTTAACCGTTAATCATTTTTGTTAAATTTACCAGGGAAGTGTTGAAATGCATTTCTGATGTGTCGGTGGCAGAAGAACGGCACAAAATTTTGTGCGCAACTCATTAATAGTGTTTAATCATCATCATCAGCATTTATTTTCCTTCGAGACCCGTTCGATGGTGCCAAGGCGAAAATATATAAATATAAACGTGTATCTTGTGGTCGACTGCATTTTCCGGTACGGGCCGTAGGGCTATGGGCTACTTGCGTTCGTACCTGAACTTCCGCGATCAAAGTGCTTCATACTGTAAATAGAGATTTCTCACCGCGACATAGTGGTCACGTGCCCAGTGACCTCGACTAAAAAAAGAAGCTTTTAATGGCATCCACTATTCTACCGTTGCAGTTGCTTCCTTCATAAGCAGTACTGTTCATTGAATTCGGCTTTTTTATTGTCTTTCGATTGGCTGCCCAATGACACGAAGAGCAGACAGCGCCCAGCGATAGGAATCACCTTGGCGTGCAAGCGGCAGTCACCTTTGGTCGTGTGTGTCATCGATCTTAGAGAAGTCTTGCCTCTTCTTCCAGACGGAGGACGAGTGGTCTCGTGTCCCCGGTGGACAGAGCACAACGTCCATCCTCCAGGAGTCCGGCGTGTTGAACCGCAGCGGCAGCTTCCGTCAGAGCCCGTCCCAAGTGGACCCTTTCTTCAGTCAGGGGTGAGTGAGCCAGAGGCCCATCACAGCAACTCCAGCTCAATCGTGTCCTTATCACGCTTTGATCTCGGCCGTTGGTGATGCACTACCTTGCCTCAAACCCTCTATGTGTCGAGCATGCAGTATTCTTAGTTGTGTCCAAGGCCTGCATCTGAGGCTTTAAGCATCTATCCACTCTCACTTGGTGGCACATGCATTGAACTGGCTTTAGAAGAGATCAGTGCATAGTACATCGCACTGTATGTTCGAGCGTGTGTTTTATTATAGAACCGTCTCGTCATCGTCATGCATTCACCCTGGCCATTAGAAAGGTGTCGGACGCGAGCGAAGCTGGCTGTCTAAACAAAATGTGTTTGCTTTGTCAAAGGGGTGGTGCTGGGCAGCAATACAGAAGAGATTGTTTTTGCTGTTACAGTCACCTATGGACGTCTTGATGCTTGTGTACAACTCAGTGACATCACTAGGGGGAGGGCTTATAGGGTTCAAACACATTCCCCCATAAAAAAAAAAAAAAAACAATTTAGCTGACCCTTTAATACACATGCATTTTGATGCCCCCCCCCCCCCCCCCCTTCCCACACACACACACACACCCCGTCATAGACGTCCCAGGCACCTCAACCCCCCCTTCCCCCCCCCCCCAAAAAAAAATAAATAAAATAAAGATCTTGGCTACGCCACTGGTACCAGTGTGTGTGTCCAGCAGTTTTCGAGTGGATGAACATATAAAAAATGGTCTGTCTGGCCCTGTGCTCATACAAGTAGAAATCTTCGATTGTTTCAAGAACAGATTATGCCGCACAACGTTGCTGGCATTCCCAAGTCCAAACACTTGCATCGTGTAAAAGCAGCTCGAGATTTCTACCGAGACTGTTTCAGCAAAGAGCCACGAGAAAAAGAGAGGGGTATGTGTAAGGTTTGTTCTTGGGAGCAGCACTTTGATACAATTTGTTTGCGCATATGTTTTTCGGGCATATGTTTCTGAACGTAGCTTTCAATGCTCCACGTCGCAGGGAAAAACTGACGTCGTCGACCGAGCTGGATGAAACCTGGGTGACTGTTTTCGGGTGAGCGGCCTCGGCTGGAGGAGGCATCTTGTCGCACCCTCCTGCGTTGCTCCAAGTCACCCTTTAGCATCCTTGTTTTCTGGCACACGTGCAGGTTTCCTCCTTCTGCCACCTCCTACATCGTGCAGCAGTTCTCCCACTATGGAAACATCCTGGAACACAGGGTGAGACACGTTCAGCTGCCACTGAATAGAAGTATTCAATATTTATGGGGTTCTTTGTTTTCGGGTTTTCTTTTTGTCAACGACTATTTTAACGTCTGCTAAGTTTTATCTTGCTGCGATGGTTGTGTCCCCATTGTCCTCCGTGTGTCCTCGTTTAGGCTTGCCCTTCCCCTTTTGTGCCCCCTAGTTTAGGGTTCAAAGCTCCCTAAATCTTCAATGGGTTTGGCCCCTTTTCCTGTTCGGGGTATCCGGCTTAACCTTGATTTGCTTTTGTGTGCTTCTTAAGGTCATAGTCTCAAACAATTTGAAGAAAAAAAAATATTTTTGCTAAAGTGACGACAGATAAAAAAAAAAAAAAAAAACACTTCCCTAATCAGGACATGTCACGGATGTGAAAATAAAAATAAAACCCCACTTAGGTAGTGGATATAGTCCCATTTTCATCGCTTTTCAAGTATACTTTCCATTTCCAGTCCTCTAAAGCTTTGCGTCGATGGGTGCCTATGTCTTGCAGCCTACTCTCGCCTCCAGTGGCTGTGACCATCTTTTCAGACACACGCCGCAACTCGATTCAGAAATGCTCGGCCACGGCCCCTCGTTCCCCCCCTCTTGCTTTCCCAGGAGCGGCCTGCTGATTCCTCTCGCTAACGAAAGAATTTTCATGAGGGGAAATAGTTATTTCGTCTGCCACGAAAAATTATGGGGGTGCTGCGTAGCGGCGAAACGGCCAAAGATGAAGTTGTGGTGGAAGCGTTGAACGCGGCCGAACTAAAGGTATTTTAACCACTCCCTGGTGTTTATGAGCACTTGGGTGAGTAGTCCGATTTTTCTGTCATTTTATAGTCCTCACTTTAAGAGTTTCTGAGTTTTTACGGTAATTACGGGGCAAGCAGTGCCTAAAATTGTAGCATGCCGTGTTGCAAATCAGGTGCGGCAAGAAACCCAGATATCCAATATCACAAGGTGCCGTCCAATGGAAACCTTTGGAGTTACCTTGTTGCGGAACATTTCACAGCAAGGCACTGACCAAGGGGGTTAGTTGCAGCCAAGGTCCAGGGTTGTTGTGTGCTCTCTATCAATGACTCGGTAAGCATAGGCAACAAAGCAGGCATGATACATTATGCAGGTGACAGTGCCATATTGTTTTCGAAACAACATTTCTGCAACTATAATGACAGGCAATCTATTTATATATATAGAAAAGAAAAACTGTGTGGACTACTATATTCAGGCTCTCTGACTATAGGCTATCATGCTGTTTAGAAATTTTATAGAATGTCAAATGTCCTAGTGTAATTCTCAACAAACACATGCGATGGGACGAAGCAGCCCATATGATAAATGGGAAGATATTAAAGATTGTAGGTATAATTTTCGAGCATAAAAATACATTAGGCTAGTCTGCGCTTTGTCTTAGTTTTACCTCTTTGTTTTGTACTCGCTTACAGTTTACAGTTTCTTTGTGCGGGGAAACAGCACTGTTTTTGCTTATTCACTTTTCTATGAATCACAGAAAAGGGTTATTCATCTTATACAACCAGCAGTATGACAGCCACACAGCCCTATTATTAAAAAAAAATTATGTATTGCTCAAAAAACCTTTTTTTTTTTTTATAATTATAAATTTATTCTAACACACACACAAAAAAAAACAAAAAAACTGAACAAGTTAGATAGTAATTTGCTTCCACTTTCTTTCTTGCAATTAAAAAGGGACTTTGTATGCCATCCTCTATCGATGTCTAGACGGTTCTGCGCTCAAGGACAAACTGTGGTACTATCAGATGTTTAATTACCCCTTCCCCGAGTTTTTAATGGGATGCTAAATCGAAATCTGGATTCCACAAAACACGGCGGCAAAAGCGTGCAGCGGAATGCTGCAAACACCAAAACATCACTCGTACAGCGATATCTCGAACGGATGACCGTATTCTCTTAAAAAAGGAGGCTCGTTTGACAGATACGTTGACGTCTTTCTTCTCCGAGAAGAGTCGAGAAGGAGAGGGAACGGCTGCGCGTCTTCTCCGCCTCGCCGCCTTGAGGGGGTGAAGCGAAGAGAGGAGGAAACGAGATATGTTGACGTCACGCGCCTCGTCGGCTTCGTTCAATCTCGACCTCGTTTTTTTCCAAAAATACGGCCGTCCATTCGAGATATCGCCTTACGAGTAATGTTGTAGGGATTGTGGCGCCCCGCTTACAGCTCCTCCATTGTTTTCTGAAATCCAAATTTCAGTTCACCATCCCTTTAGATTATTTGTCCTAACTTGGTGATTGAGAGGCCGTGCCGGGCACCAGAATATCAGAAGTGAAACAGATCCACGAGAGACATGTGCCTTTCAGTTGCGCCGCTTGTCGAAATTATATTCTGTGGTCACTGCTTCTGACCAATCTAAGATCTCCGTCGCAGTTGCGTCTCCGCTTCCGGCACTGATGGCAACTGCAAGTCGAGCCACTTTACCCTGTCCTCGGGCAGTGTCTGTTGCTACACCCCCAAATGCGAACCATAAATTCACTCTTCCGGTTTGTGCCCTCCGCAGAGATCGAAGACGCCGCACTCGAGAGCGTTTTTGTTTCTTCGATTGGCGAGTGCGGCCGAACTAAGGCAGTCTTCGCAGTGTTTATCAGCGCTTGTGCGACTTGCCCAATTTCTCACTCCTTCTCACTCATTCAAAGAAATACTTCGGGATGCCTGACTATGGAACACCTTGCGGCAAGACAGCAACAAAGGGAGCTAGTGGCAACCGAGACCCAGGGTTGCTTTACTGTGCTCGCTTTACTTTAAGAAAGGCTACAGCGTAAAATTGGAAAAGAAAAGTGTTGCAGCCAACAGTGGTACCAACACGATTTCCCTGATGTTCATCTTGCATTCAACCAACGTCTTTGACGTTGGTTGAATGTAAGGCAGCTGTGGCAGAAAGAAGAACCATCGCCTTACACCAGATGGGAAGAGGAATGTGCAGGCTGCTCCTGCGGGAGAGGAGCAGATCAAGCGGCCGTGGCTCAGTAATGATTGCCGGAGCGAATATTTTTTCTTTTCAGCATGCCCAGAAGTTTTTTCCGCCCTGACAGTACGCTGAAAGTTCTGCATACTGTTGGGAAGATAGAAAAGTTTGAGAAACTCTGTACTAAAATATAAAACATACTTTGAGTACAAGTACCATATTTTCCTAACTATGGTTCGCTTTTGCTTGAAATAAAAGTTTTTCTAGTCTGCACTTGGCGCCTTTTCGGTGCATAAAAAGTTCTCACACACAGCACACCTTTGCAAATGCCCGATTTATTAGTTCACAAAAAAGCTTGTATCATTCATCAAGCACCATTAATTAATGCTGTTTCATTCTCAAAATCTGCTATGTCTTGCCATAATGAACAGTCCAGAAATAACAATCCCTCGTACATTCCGCACCTGTAGAGTCCGCACCGCATAAAATTTCTACATATAAACGTGTACAAACCACATACTATAGTCCGGAAAGTATGATATCCATAATGCGGTTAGTCGTTCACATTCCTTCTTGAAGTACTGCCTTTTACTTTGGTCGAAAATGAAACAAACATAAATGACTGTTATCGCTTTAGTTGCACGAAATATGATAACAGCCGAAATATTATGTAAAAATGAAGCCGCATACTCCACTAAACCCGATTTTAAAGATGCAACCAGCTGCCCTTTAATGGGTGGGAGGCGGGTTAGCTTTTAGTAGAGGAGCATGGGCGCAGCACCCTTGTGACGTCAATGTCACGGTGGAGCTGCAATTGATTGGCTGTATCGCGTACCACAGCACCCTTGTGACGTCGCGTCGCGGTTCGATTTGGATGTAGATGCCCGAAACCAAACTTCGAGTCTTGATATTTATAAAACTACACACACTACTGAAGAAAAAAAAAGTTATACCTTGTAATTCAGAGACACTGCTTTAGCCGAGAGCAGTCGTAATCCCAAATTAAAAAAAAACATTGACCGGAGTCTCCCTTTAAGTATGGGTTCCAGACACCAGGTTTAAGCTCCTTGCGACCTGCGCAGGTTGTCCCGGAAAGCAACTGGGTCCACCTCCACTACCAGTCCAAGCTGCAGGCCAAGAAGGCGCTGAGCAAGAACGGCAAGGTGTTTGGCACCAACACGATGGTGGGCGTGAAGCCGTGCCTGGAGGCGATGCAACCTTCGCCGAGCGCCAAGTTCACGCCCGCCAAAGAGAACGGGGGCATGCGCTCCCTCTGCCGCGCCTACCGGGCCTCCTCGGCCTCCCGGGAGGTGGGCCTCGCCACGGAGCACCTGCCCCAGCGCGACAACACGGTCGTCTCGCGCGCCCTCGAATACGTGTTTGGCTGGTAGCGGGCACACCGTAAATAAAAGTGCGTGCGACTTGTTTTTAACGAATGGTCGACTCGTATGTTTTGTGTTTTGACGCCCCGTGATATTACGGGTAGTCATGGGTTCCTAGGAACACGGGGGTTTGTTCCACAGAGTGCCCCCAAGGGTTCCTCAAGTTGCTAGATTTTCTCAAGTATCCTTGCCCTTAGGTCGAGGAGTTTTCCAGTCTATACTCTATCTTGGCACATCCGAAGCACCCATATATGACGGCCCTGGAGGTGGGCGGCCTGGGCGACCCAGGTTGCCCAAGTCCGATTTATTCGAACCGGTGCCCGACACAATGCCAGATGCTCGATCGCCGTTCGTTTTTGGAATGCGGTTCTCGACTGACAAAACTCTCGTGTTGGGCCTCTAGTCGGATGTTTACTAACAATGTCGCGTCGTACCTAGTAGATACTGGTACAGAAAAAGAAGGGAGGGGGGGCCACAACTGGAGTTTGATCAGGGTGCTTGATTGCCTAAGGCCGGCCCCGTCCGTAGATGTAAAACTGAGTCAAACACTCTGTGCGCTATTGTTTGCAAGGTCTGCTGGCCTCTGCACTGTTTTACTGTATTAAAAGGACTCTGACAGGGTATTTATGCTCACCAAGGTTCTTATTTGTATGTGACATATAAAAACCCAACTATCCAAAAAAACATTTTTGGCTCGAAAAAAATTTTTTTTTTGTTTGGAAATTTTTGATTGAGTACTGGCAGGGGTCTGAGTCGCACTCGCTCTCTTCTCTGGGGCCACGTTTCATTCCTATGGTTTAGACACAAAAAACCAATATAATCAGTCGTGGGTCATCGAAGGCAAGCACTCAATATATAAAAATAAAAAAAAAACATGTGATACCCATTTTTTGTGGCTTCTAAAATAATGCAAATACTCCGATGAAAAAAGAAAAAGCTGTTTAGCCACGTGATATCTGGTCACTCTCTCCTCTATATTTCTTCTTCCTCCTCAGTCCAGTTTCAGTTTCGAGCAGTTGCGTTTTTTTTACTTTTTCAAAAATACATGGGACTCTGTAGCAAACTATTGATTGGGTAGTCTTCTGACAACTATAATAAATCGCCTGGGAAAAAATAAAAATAAATTTTGGGGGCTGTCAGCGTCCCTTTAATGCCGAGATGGCCGAGATCAAGAGGGGCTCCTTGGCTACCAGGCGAGACACAGAGGGGCTCTTTGAGATGGAACAGTTGGGAAACCTTTGCCCTATGTTATTGCCGCATACGGCTGGTGAAACTGCTGTTTGTTGTATGGAATCGTGATTAAATGCACGTCTTTTTTAATATAGAATAATTTTTAGAGTAAGGGTGTAGACGTGGGGATGCAAAAGCAATACATGGAGACGTCGCGACTGGAGGCTGTCCACGTGACTGCGCCACATGATGCAGGGCTCCCTTATAGGAGGTACCTCGCTCCCATTGGCTGCCGTAAGCGATTGTGCGATCATAGCGACAACCTGCTGCGTTCGTTTGAAATTGCTGTACGAGTCCCGGTACATAAACATTGGCACGGAGATTTACCTACCCAAAAACCTGTTTTACATACTACAACTTTTTAAGATATAACCGAAGTACTAGCCCTATTTCTTTTTTAAAGTATTTTGAATGTTTTATTTTAATTTTTTTTGTAGCCAGGCAATTGGGCTTAAATAACTCTTCATAAAATATTTTGGTTGTGCTCTTCAACGCTGCCAGATAACCAGGGGGGCTATGTTCGACAAATGTTTTGTTTCTCCTAAAAAGAAACGGAAGTGACGATATTGCGTCTGATTGGTTAGAGGCCCAAATGACGAAAGTTCCCTCTTTCGTAATTTGAGCCTCTAGCCAATCAGACGCGATAGCATCACTTTGTTTCTTTTTAAAAGAAACGAAACATTTGTCGAACATAGCCCCCTAGGTCACCGAACTTCCAGTTCTGGTCCAAAGTATTGAAAGAACTTGGCAATCATATTTGGACTGCTTTTGCATTAGTATGGAAACTGATCCCTAAAAACTCATGGTAACATAAAACAACTTTTTCTTTTTCTTGGATATTCTTCTCTATAAGGAGATATGTATAGGCTGGTTTAGTAAACTAATGCCAAGAAGGAAAGTTAACTTGCATGAGCAATTAAGTAGTGCAAATTTTCCTTCCCAGCTTTTTTTATTTGTACGTAGCAATCCAGGTCCCACAGTAGACGAGCGCTCTTGCATGATGTCAGCCCGACTATTTGTTGAGAAAATTGGAGCTTATGCTCATTTCTGAGGTTTGCACTTCGGCTGGTGAACAGCATGCAAACCAAGAGTCCCATTTACCACGGTTGACAGAATGTTGAAGTTGATTGCAAAGCCCTTTTACTAAATATCTAGTGGGAATGAAGATGCAAAATAGTTTTGAACCTGAAACCAGCTAATTCGAGGCTTGTGCATGGGCACCAAGATTTTACGATTGTTATTGCAAAGTGTATTCTGTTGCAACATGTTCAGCGAATGCTCGTTGCCTTTTAAAGGGAGCCTACATTTTTTTTCCGCTTCTTTTCAATATTATCTAGTGAATATTTTTTACCAGTTGAAAAATGTTAGTGTCACTAGTGCTTGTACTCTGTGCAGAAAACCTGCACTTCTATTGCCCAATTTACTTCCTGCACAATGCTGGTGGTTATTCTCATGCTGGTTTTAAGCACCACCTCCACAGTGCAAATAGGACAAGGGGAAATGCTTGCGGTCTTTAAACCACTGCAGTGATGGCTGCAAATATGAGCTACTCTTTGTACAATTGCATTTCTATTCAATGCGCTTTGAACACTGCATCTTTCAACTCTCAGCACAGCCCGGTTTGTAGTGCAGCTGGGATGAAAGAGTCGATCCAATGGTCTCCCTCGGTACACCGGTCTTTATTCGGCGAGACCAAAGTCACTCAATGTTGAACTCCAGACATGACGCAGTCCAAACAGCAACCCAACGGCACGTCCCCAAATTGGTACTACGCAAGCCTACCAAAGATGGAACAATGTCATCAGGAGTTGCAGTCTCTCAAAAGCGGTGTGATATACAACCGAGAAGCGCTCCTGCCTCTGCATCTAGCTTTATACAGAACAAAGTGGTCACAAAGAGGCTGTTGCGCCATTGCCTGCAATCACTGAAACGGATTAGCCAGCTGGCTGATCTTGGGGTAGCGCAGCTTTGTCTGTCCCTGATGGTTATCCAACTGGTCTTGGGCCCAGAGGAGCAGGCGCAGGAGTACGGCTAGCTGGGGCCTCGGGCTGTGCTGGTCTTCGAGCAGCGCCGCGTTCACCTCGCTCGCCACCTTCTGCCGGTGCGAAGGGTGCAACAGGTCGCCGAAGGGACTCGTCTGGGGTTCCTCGAACGCGAGCAGTGCCAGGGTGCGTTCCAGCTCGGACAGAACTTGCGGGTTTTCTTCGCCGCGCTCGCTCAGGTGGTCCTGCGCGTAGGCGAGCGCCTCCTCGGTGCGCCCGTCCCTGATGAGTTCGATCAGGTGCTGCTGCTGAAGATGAAACAACAGGTAACGATCGTTGTCCAGCAGCTCGGGCCGTATGTCGTTCAGCAGGGCGACGGCTTCGAGCACCCGCCCCTGCTGAATGCAGTCGCGGATACGGATGCGCTCGTCCAGGGAATCGAGGTCGACCGGGGACGTGACGCCGGACTCGAGCTTGAACTTCTCGGCGGCCTCTTTGAAGCCCTCGGTCACCAGGTAGTTCATGATGAGGCGGTTCATGTCGGCTCTTTGGATGTGGACCCCTTCGAGGCGCTGAAGCCACTCTTCGCGGCTGGGTTCGTCCGCCTGGGCCTGCTTGTCGCCAGACCCTGCGTTCAAAAACAGGCGTCACTGACGTGCCTGACATCGCACAGTCACTCTTACTTACTAGATTTGCCGAGCGGAGCCATGTGCTGACTCATGGTGACAGTTCTTGGCGAGGTTGAACCCTCTTTGGTATCAGCTGTTGGAAACGGCAACTGTTTCACGACTGGGGCGCTTCTACCTAGTTTTGGGGTCTATCACGACGCGTGGAGACTTGGTTCTTTGGAAAGCTAGTTACAAGGTCCAACGAGGCTTCTCTACGCACGACGCATAACGGACGGGCAAGCGACAGTCAACTTCGTAGACGAACCACAGAGACGGGCATCCGACATCTTTCTCGATGTATCCCAGAATCCGAGGTGAAAAATTGATGTCGATGATGTCCCAGAGTTCTTCTTTTGGTCGACATCAAAGATGGCGGCCCTTGAGAGGTGTGGGAGCATGGTGGACGGTAATATTGGTAAACTTTAGCCCTGGGTTCGCCTCCCCAGCCTCCGTTCGGCCATGGCTAACGACAAGTAAGCGCAGCTTTCTTTTGCCGTCTATCCCCAACGCGCAAAGTGAATCCTTCTAAGCTCTCCCAGTATCTTCCGATCGCCAGCCAACGCTGTCGTTTGTTGGCCGATCCCTACGGAGCCACCCGAGCCCCCCAACTGCTGCAATGCGCTTGGCGATGCGCGCCTCGGCAAAATAACAATACAAACGCGCTGCTTGCGGAACATAAACTTGGATTACTTTCGCGCTCCGTCGACTACCCGATAATCGCGGACGTTTAAAAATATGCCAGCGATATCTGCTCCTCAATAAATTCGTCTCGCCGGGAAGGCGACGCAAAAAGAAGGCCAGTTGGGGTGGTGCCTCCTACGAACGTCGGTGTTCGCGTTAACTGATCGAGTTCTCGAATTTTTCGTACGTCTCCGTGCCAACGTAGGGTGACATTCTAAAACGATTGCAGCGGGGGAAAAGTTTGCGATCGTGTGCCACGCTGGAAAGCTCGTGCGGCGCTTCGTGTGTGGGCTGGGGGAGAGTTGAGCCAGGTTGAGCTTCGCCGCAACGCATGGCTCAGACACGTTCGGCTGCTCGTGATGTTTCGCAGGGTGGAGTGGGTGGAGATCATCGAGCCACGCACCAAAGAGCACATGTACGCTAACCTGACGACGGGGGAGTGCGTCTGGGATCCGCCTTCGGGAGTTCGAATGTGAGTTGGAGAATGCCGGTGGAAGCGAAGCCGCCTTGTTCTAACCTACTTCTAGCTGCTCGAGTGTTCCGTCGTCCGATTTACGGTGATCGAAAGCTCTACAGAGTCTAGTTAATGATGATGTGTTTATTACATTAGGCGTAAAGTATGCTTCAGACCTCGTCTTTTTCTCTTTTATTCGGTTAACCGTGGAGACATATTTCGAAAAAGAGCTCGGTTTTGTCCGAAGTGATCTGCTTTTAAAACGTGATGATCCGTTCTCAAACTTTGACAACTTTTTAGCAGGACTGTTGAGGTAGGTATTTGACGCACCAAAGACTTTTAAAGACCCATTGTGCATGCATAGCAATGTCATTCTTCAATTCTTCTCGTAAATTGATTGGCTCAAAGTACTACTATAACAGTACACAGTTAACCTATTAACAGGTTCCCTGCGGAGAGATAAACCGCCCGCCCCGACAAATTAAACTCGGTTGGCGCAACTTACGTGGCGCCACTGTGGAGGAGTAGATGCGACGCACCATCATCGTCCTTTCTTTTTAGGAACGTTGGCTTTGCAATCTGAGTACATTAAGTCGTTGCACAGCATTAGGGGGAGCACATGTACCAGCGGTAGTGAGTCCCCATGCTGTCAGTGCACACTGCTGCGGAGTTCCCTGACATCTGTCCTATTGATGGTGCTGCGTTCAACTTGCGAGATGGAGTGCATGGTGTTTCCCGTGCAGCAAACTGACGGACGACAACCAGTGGTGGGAGCTGTTTGACCAGAACACCTCCCGCTTCTACTACTACAATGCGAGCAGCCAGCTGACGGTGTGGCATCGACCAAAGAACTGCGACATCATCCCCCTCGCCAAGCTCCAGGTAAGGTGGCCGCCTCTTTCACCGACTCCTCTCCAGTCTTGAAGTGACACTCTCGTGAATGGAGTTCCAGCAATGTTGCTTTGTCAGACACCGCTTGGGACAATGTTTCATTTAGCATTTCTCTCTCCCCCTTGGGAGCTTGACGACAACTGGAGTCACGGAACTGTTCCGGCATTTTTAAAGCATGTGACGCGTTCATGACGAAACACCCCACAAGTCGCACGATGCTGTGATCAGCCGAGACATTGTCTAATCACGACGTCGCATGAACACGTGGGATGTGATTGGCCGGCACCTGACCTGATTCGGTCATCTTTTGGACACGTCGTATGACCTGTTGGACGTTTCATCGTGCATGTGTGGCGCCTTTACAAGAGGCAAGGGCTTCCGATTTGATTCCTATCTGGTGCAACAAATGGCAGTCGGGGGACTAACAACTACATTTGCTTAAACAAACGTTTTCCTTCGAAAAGTGTTTTTTTGCCGAGTCTTTTAAAAGTCCAAACCAACTGCAAAACTAGCAGAATCTGGTGCTAGGAAGGACTCAAAAATGAAACCCCTTGAAGAGCCTCTGCGACAATTCACTAGCAGACCTGCCTTCTTTAGGGCACAAAGAAACATCAGTTCCTTAGCAGAACATCAACCGACAGGCTCTTCAGGGGTTTGGTTTTCGAGCGAGTTAGTAGGACTCATTTGACGGTGAAAGTGTGTTGCGATAATTGGATAGTATAAGATTAGGATTGGATTACGTCGGGTTGACCCTCTGCATCAGGTGATCGCAGTGTGAAAGATAAAAAGCCTGGAGAAAGGCCAGTATGTGTTGAGTGCGGCCGGACGGTTGGGGCTGACTCGGGGTTGCCTGGGCCGATTGACTTTCAGACCTTGAAACAGAGCACAGAGCTTGAAGAGGGCGGTGGTGAGGATGGGGGTGGTGGCGGCGGGGTCTGCGCAATGGGCTGCCCTGTGCCCCCGGTTAGGAAAGAGTCCGTCGGTACTCAGACGAGAGTAAGTTTTCTCTTTTGTTTGCCCATTCCCCCTTTTCTCCCCTTTTGGTTTGCTTCCGACCCGCTTTCCCGTCCGTTCCTCTCTGGGACGTGCCTTCCGGCTGGTGTGGCTGTCTTTATCGGATGACTTCTTCCTGTGTTTGGCTGGAACTGATAGTTGAGGGAGGCTGTTACGCAGTCGTCTGCTCCGCCTGGCCGCAACAAGTTCAGGTTTCTAGCTGATTCTTGAGTCTAACTTCTGAAAACACCTCCAGTGACCTTTTGAGCAAACCAAACTCTGTCTTCGGAATGCGGGGCACAAGTTCGTCCGCTTATTTTGCAGGGGTTGTGGTGACGTCTGAACACCGAGCTCTGATTGAAGGATGGTGTGTAGGCCTCCAGGCAGCTTGCTTCGAGGTCTACCCACTATCCTTCAATCAAACCAATCGGGGCTCGGCGTTCTGATCTCATCACAACCCCTGAAAAAGAGGCAGACGAACTTGCGCTCTGCATACTGGGGCTCTACTCTTCCCAGCAAGCTACTTATTGTGATAATGTAGTGATTGCGCAGGCGAGCTGGTGGATGTTAACCATTTTGTTCTTAGCCCGAGACTGAGGCTACTGAGAGACTGAGACTACTTATTGTCTCTGAATTCAGAATAGTTATTAAGAAGACAGCAAAGGAAGGCAATAACGAAAACAACATTCAATTTCCCCACACTTTTTAGCGGGACGATGTCACACGTTTCGTTTCACATTATCAAGCATCTCGCAATTCGTCAGGAGCAAGTCATACTGCCCAAATACAGCATCTGCCATTGTTTTTTTTTAATCTTGCCGGTAGTTTGAAGCTTAAAAAAAGATGGTGAGGACCTAATTTAAAAATTCAATAACTGTAGCAAAAAATATTATTTTGGCCTATAGTTTTGGTTACTAGTTCAGCAGATCTGCAACCATCAATAATATAATGATATTGCAATTAAGTTTGCATGTTCTACAATGATACTCTTGTTCTGCATATGAGACAGTGGAATTTGCTTCCGTGCTTTTCAAGTTACCCTACATATACTTTTCTTTTTATATGTTTACTTCTGCGTGACTTAGGTGATTAGAGTACAGCTAATTGTCCACAAAATTTAAAGAAGCCCAAAGGAGTCGTCCGCTCAAGACGTCCACGTCAATGCCATCTGCTTCATTCTGCCGCTGACTCTATTTCCTTTGTGTCCTTCCCACAATAGTTGCTTGCTACCTGCATTACTTTCTTTGAGTTTGGCACCCTTTGCAGCTTTTTTTTTTTTTTTCTCCTCCTACTCCTTCCTTGGTTTGCATATTATTATTTTTTTTTAAAGTTGTCCTATGTAGATAGCGGTAGGGTAGTATAGAATACCAGCCTGGTAGAGCAAGCCCCCCAAGCTCGGATGCATACGCCAACCTGGAAGGAGGGAGGGTGTGTTCTATGGAAGGATGGAAGGATGGATGGATGGATGCGCTGATGCATAGATAAATGATTGTAGTTATTCATTTTTTTTTTTAACAAGTGGTAGCTTAGGCCATCTATACGATACCTCTAAAAAAAGCCACAGTTGCTGACTGACAAAGCTCATATTGCTTGGTTGTTTACTCGACGCTTTGTTTGGCATAAGCACTACATTGCTCTGTCAATTTGTCGTGGGGTCTGGCTTGCTGAATTAGGGAAGTGGGATCTTGGCAGCTAGTGGGACAAACCTTCAAGTCCAGTCTGCTGGTAGTGATGTTTGGCTTCTGCCAGAGTTAGGGCAGCTTTGCATCGGTTGGGGATAGGACTTGTCTACATTCTGTCTCGTGTCTCATCACTGTGGACAGTAGAGGTAAAAAGCTCGGTTCAACGAGCAATAGACGGCAACCTGGCAGGGGATCTAGTAAACCTAAAAGGACATTGGAGAGCAGGACTATGAGCATTTACGAGCACTTTCTGAAAATGGTTTGAAGTATGCTCCTTTAAAAGTTATGGAGTAAAAATCAAGAAGTTGAATTGGTTGTATGAATGTTTTGACAGCAGGAAGTGAATTTGTCTGGAAACACCGCTTTACCCGGCGCACATACAGACCACGAGGAAGGATTCGTAGCTGTGGCTTACAATGACTGCAAGGAGTAAGAGGAGCTTTGCAGCGTTTAAGGGGGAGTAAAGACATGAGCAGAATGCGGCAAATCCTGAACGCTGACATTGGTGGTCCCGAGGGAAAGAGAGCGACAGAAAAGCAGAGACAAAAAGCAGACGATAGGTTAGGCGCGCTCGTTTTTGCCACGACGAGTTGAAGTTGTCCGAGTGCTTGTCAACTTCGTTTGTTTTTACACAAAGTGCAACTCCAGTGTTTTCCTGCGAGGTAAGCTGGAAAAGAACTACTCTAGGCACAGACATCACAGGTGATGTTTTGGTGCTTCTTCGTGTACATAGAGGCGTCGCCAGCGATGTCGGCTCATTGGGACCTCCCACTGGGACCACCAATGTCCGTGTCTATGTCCCGCCGTCCCTAAGCGGCCAGAATTTGCGGGACCTTTTCCTCTATGTTTTTATATTAACTCTATGCAGTTTTCGGAACAGCGACTAACCCTTAGGATCTCTTTCCGGACGTAAAGTGGGTTCAGACCGGACTCCCGTCGTCCGATTTCTGCTAACTTGACTTTGGCCGGACTTTGACTGGACTCTGGCCGGACTTTGGCCGAGCCACCTGCGCTCTCGCAAGGATGCATGAGGGCGCCGTCTCTGTCCGCACTCCGGGGGTGTGGGCACCCTGCCCCACCCGGAATCGTGGGACCCCCCCGGACATTGGCGGTCCTTGCCACCACAGGTGCGCGAGGAGGTGTCCCCGCGACCGCGGCCGGCGACGTGCACCGTCTCCACGCAGACGAGCCCTGGGCTTTCTCCGAGGCACCACCGCAAAGTAGGTGGTCCGCCTCGTGTTTGCGACGCTGATGCACGAAGGACGGCGTTCCCAAAGCTCTGCTCTTGGGACCTTGCCTTGCCTTGTCCGCATGCTTTCGGGCTGCAAAGGGATGATGCAGACTCGGCGTACTGGGAGCCGAGATTGAAATCCTGTGACGTCAGGCCAGACATGTACGCATTACCCCAAAAAATAACTAAATACCGTTACTCATTACTCGCTCAAAAAGTAACTAAATGCGTCCCTCGTTACAGATTCTCAAAAGGAGCGCATTACTTTACCTCAAATGTGAAGAGCTACTTTTCTCTTTACTTTGTCTACTATACGCAACTACCTTTGTTTCATGGTTTGTTGTTTTCAGTAGTCATTGCACTTAAACAGTAGCTGCCTCTAGAAGCTTTCATCAGTTATGTTTTCCGGCTTCCTTGAGAATGCATCTCCGGCGACGCTGAAGAGTCGTTCTACTGACACGCTCGAAGGAACAACAGTGTTGTGCTTCAAGAAGAGCTGATGAATCTGGGATTCCCCTTTCCTCTTTTGTTCTTCCTGCTTCTAAAGTTCCAAGTTGAAAATGGGTTCTGTGCCTTCTTGCGCTGGCGACCTCCGGGTTTACATTTAGTGTGTACACGATCCTAGAAGGTTCAGCGAACAAACCTTATTGGGTTCTCTGGATGAAGGACATCCCCAGCTGTAGAGTTCAACTGACGTGTTCAGCCATAAACGTTGCTATACTGTCATGCTGTGTAGTTGTTTTTCAAGTTGCCCATCTGGGTTTGTTGCAATAGACGCATATTCATAATGCAATACCTTTACTTCTTACTTGGCCTTAAAAGTAACGAAAGATGTTACTTATTCCTTTTCTAGAAAAGCAACTACATATGTTACTCGTTACCAAAAAAAAGTAACTAGATAGAAGTAACTCGTTACTATTAACACGTTACATAAATGTCTGTGGTGGGCAGACTTTCCTTTAAGACTGGAGTGTTGCAGAATGCAACGAGCATGGTTGGCATCCTGAAAGTTTGCGAGAAAGTATGTTGAGAGACAAAAACGTTGGAGAACATTTTGGCACTTCTGTCGTCATTGGTGGCGTCGTTTGACGGCACCCTTGAGCCTCTGTCGCCACCCCTACGAATTCTTCTCGTGTCATCTCCCATGGCACGCGAGCTTTCACCCCGTAGACCTGGTTCAAAATGTGGGGTGCCTTTTGTGGCATCGTAAGAAATTTTGGGTGCTCGCTGTATATGGCTGTATCAGACGACGGAGGTGGTAAAAGAAATTCTGGGGACTGGCTGTATAGCCTGTAGCAGATAACGGACGTGCTGACAAAATTTTTGGGAATTGGCTGTATAGAACTGTAGCAGACGACGTATGCACCACAAGGACTTCTAAGAACTGGCTGCATAGAACCGTAGCAGACGATTGAGGCACCAAAAGGAATTCTGGGAACCGGCTGTCCAGAACTGTAGCAGAAGACGGAGGCATCGCGTGGAAATCTGAGAATGGTCTGTAAAGAGCTGTAGCAAGCGGCGGAGGTGCTGAATGGAATTCTGGGAACCGGCTGTATAGAAACGTGGCAGACGACAGAGGCGACTTGCAAACCATGCAGTTTGGTGGTGAGTGTCGGCGGAGGCCTCCCTTCATGAACGGCGTTCCTGTCGCAGTCGTGCCGTCACTCGCCCGAGGCCTCTGCGAAGGAGCTGTCCACGTCGCGGGAGGGCGGGCAGCCGCAGCAGCAGCTCCCGCTGCACCACTACATCCTGGAGCAGGCGAAGCTGCTCGGGTACCGGCTGGATCTGCTTGAGGACGGGTCGTCCAACTCGCCGAGTGAGGAGTCGGACGAGGACTGGGATGCAAGGCCGCAGGACGACGAGGAAGACTTCGCAGACGACGAGGCCATGAGTCACCAGGACTCGTCCTCGTCCCAGGAGAATCTGGCGCCGCCGCACGGCGACGCGGACGAGGAGGAGGACACCTACTGCTCTCCGGCGCAGCACGGGCGCTACTCGGGTGGGTGACATCCTTTCTTTGCGCAGGTGCCGCCCCTCCGGTCGATCAGGTTGTTCTTGTTGGATTTATGTGTACGGACGGTCTAACTACGGTGCCTGGGAACTGGCTGTATAAAACTGGAGCAGACAACGGACGCACCAAAAGAACTTCTGGAAACTGGCTGTATAGAACCGTAAAAGACAACGAAGGCCCCAAAAGGAATTCTGGGAACTGGCTGTCCAGAACTGTTGCAGATGACAGAGGCATCTCGAGGAATTCTGAGAACTGTCTGTATACGGTCCAACTACAGTGCCTGGAATGTGTCTTCAACTGGTGTGCCTACCGCTAGAGTCACTGAATGTTTCCAGAGTACCTAAACTCCCAGGTTCGATGGTGCCGTGGTGGGGGCTCATCTTTTTTTTACTGTGGTAACCACGACACCACGACAACCATTGTGAATGGCGTTGTCAGAATCTCCAACCGACTCTTTACGCACGAAAGTTCTGGAATCATTTATCATCAGTGTCCACGTTTAGAAAAAACGTTTTTGTCTGAAAACAAACAGAAAAATCTCTTTTTGTGTGGATACTTTTATTGGAGATTAGTACAGAACGACGAAAGCGTGGTGTTTTCTTAAAGTTCTAGATTTACGAGGTTTCGTGCAGAAATACATTGTTTTTATACAACCACGTCTCACCAGTGATTTCGGGTGGCACGTCCCGACCTGGTCACGTCCTAACTTCGACGATGATGCGCAGCGCAGCCGCTTGGGAGATAAGGTCAGCACCCTTGAACCGTACATGCTTTGGCACCAAAATGGCCAATCAAGGCTCAGATAGAACGGTCGCAGCGGACGCTACCGAATGCGATACTCTGGCAAACATCCTGTGACTCCAGTTACTGCGTCCTCAAAAGTGGTCCCTCGATTTCTGTCCGACGACGACGTCGTAGAGGTGTCGCGTCGCCGGCTGCGACCCCCGCGGTGTCGCGGCGGCAGTGGTGGATGCGGCAATTGCCTATTCCGCTGCAGGTTGCTCGCATTTCCTCATGATTTTTTCTAGAACTTCTACGCCCATGATTTGCACCATCCGACAGCGTGACCCTCTGGCTTCTTCGACATCATTTGTTGCCACTTTAAAACTGCTTTTGATGCACGGGCATAATACGACGATAAACGTGCCAGTCCGAGATGCGTTCCAGGGTCTGTAGGTCTAACGTGGGGTGCCTCCATGTCTTTTCGTTTAGGGAAAGGACGGACAGATGGACGGATGGATGCTGCCAAATCCTTTCAATGGGGCGGCGTCTCGCACCACCTAGCCAAAGCTTCTAATCTCGGCCAAACTCTTTGGCATTCTTTGTGGTGCCTGACGCCGACAGCACGCACTCGCTGGAAAAGTGTAAAGAAATGGCCAGAAACAAGGCTCTGCCGTACCACAGTCAGCGGCAAAAACCCGTGCCGGGAAACACCGCCTCGCGTGTCTAGAACAAAAAAAAACAAAAAAAAAGGCAACAAAGAAGCGTTTGGAACAGAATGGTTCGATGTCATTACTTAAGCAAAGTGCACACGAAAGCACCCTAGTCTGATATTTCGCCTCTGAAATCTGGTTCCTACACGTGTGTTTGTGTGTGATCAAGTGTATTGTGACCACTCGTGCCCACTCATGTGGAGAGAACGCATGGGCACCATTTATCGAATGGCCGCAGAACACACCCAATCCGCGTGTATTTTTTTTTTTTTTTTAATTTTTTAGCTATGGATCAGGAAATATAACTCAAGATGTTCTAGGGACCATTTCTCAAGGATAGCGCATATATTTGATCTTGCAAAGACTGAAACCTTCAGTCTAATATTATACGCAGATCTTAACTCTTCCTGGGCAGCATAATAGGCGGCGCCAGCAAGCTCTATGCAGTCAGTCAAACTCAATATCACATGTATGAAACTGACCAGAGAGCGGCCATTCAGATACTGTGTATTTGTGCGCAGTGATTAGGAACTTTAGGCGTCTACGTGGTCATTCTGTGCGCCGTTTGGGTATAATTGTTATAGATGAATCAACAGATGAAGTGCTTCAAACCTTTTCACTAAGGGGTCTTTAGGTGGTGCATTTGTCATACTAAAATTTTGTCTGTGTAGGTCTCAAGAAAAAAAATGTAAGCCTAAAGATTTTTTTGCCATGCTCGGAAAGGAGAACGGTAAGAACCGTCTGGCTGATGCCGTTATTCATGGATGGTACCACGCACGATCGGATCTGCTGGATCTGCTTTCGAGCTCTCATCTCAAAGGAGCTTTCAAGTTTTTGCCCTATGTCGTGCCATCTGTGAATAGTAGCGTCAGCCTTACGGTTTTTGCCATTTGCTTGCCTCTACGTAAGAAGGAAAGGGTTCTTTTTAGGCTTAAGTTTTTTTTTACAAAATTTGCACTCATAAAATTGGAGTATGATAAGTGCACCACCTAAGCACACCTTGGTGAAAAGTTTCAATGGGCTCTGTTCGTTGATTATTTATGCCGATTTTCTTTTACACCCGAAGAGCGCTCCGAATTACCCTGTAAGTGTGGGCAACGCTTGTAACCCCCCGTGCGCCAACGCAGCCGAGAGCGACAATGGCAGCTGGGCATCGCAGTCGCCCCCGGGGTCGCCGCTTCCCCATCAAGCCTGCACACAGCACGCGTCCTTGCGCCGGATCGGTCACGGTCATCGCGGGGATCCCTTGGGCAGTGTCCTCGAGAAGTCTCAGGTGAGTTGGAGTCAGGCGACAAACTCACTGCCAAGTGCCAACAGCAAAACACACTAACCTCCCCCGTTATTCATGCACGCCCCAAAACATTTACGGTGATTTCTCTCTTCGTAAAAATGGGCTCTGCTTCTCCGAACGCTCATGCTCTGCCCAAACGAAGCGCTAGCAGTCCGGAACAGATGGCAAAGTTTCGGAGCTCGCCGTTACCTGAGTAAGCAGTTTCTGGAACTTTTCACGAGGGAAATGACTGCCTACGATGACCATGGATACGTGGAGGTGAACGGCGTCGGCTAGCAAGTGTGGGCACCGTTGTCCGTTTAAGTTTTCAGAAAAGTGCTTCTAAGTTTTGGATAAATAATGCGACGACAAGGTCTGACACTTTCGCATCTGTCCGAACCACTAGCGTGTAGTGTTATGCGAATATTCGAATTTTCGAATAGTGGTTTCGAATAATACGCTATTCGATATTCGCTTCGAGGTGAACTGCAACATTCATACTTTTCGAAGCGTCGATATGTGGCGGATTTGCCCCGTTGAGTGCGCTTCTCACCGAACACTTGTGCACTGTGGTGAAGCAACACCTGCGGAGCTCGCGGGCTCCGTGTGTGCGCAGGTGCTAGGCGAGGAGGGGCACACTCAGTGGGGCTGACCCACCGCGATTGGGCAGCAATGTCTCGCCAGCCCGTGTCCACCATTCGTGCTTGCTTTTCGTCGTCGTCGGGTTTAAAATGGAAGAAAGAACATTTGCACGTAGCAGGCTCATTTATAAGTCCCCTCGATCGGAATAACTGCGTCACATCTGTCACCTAGGTACCGCGTTTCATGGATATAATTATCTTAAAATTAACCGAGCTTAGAAGCGTACGAGTGGAAGGTTGGAAACAAACCTTCAGGAGTTCGGCTGAATTTCCCTTTTTAAGCGGGGTGCACGGCAGTGGAAGGCTCAAGAAAGCTATTCGATATATTTGAATAGCTTCGCCAAGCGTGGGGCAATCGTATTTTCTAACTGCAATTTTGTTTTCGGAGACGTGCCGTGCGATAGCCATTGGCAGCTCGAGAAATCTGTGGCTTATTACGTTCGCACTTCGCAATTCATTTTGGCGTTCGCCAATGCGGAAATTTCATTGACTACAGAGCTATAATGAAATGCTCGGGACCCGCCCACACACTGTGTTTCTTTAAAACACTAAAAAGAAATAACAAAATTTTTTTTAGCAGTTTGGATGAATTACAAGTATTGTATTACAAAATAAATTTTACGTAAAAAGATTTTTTTTGTAATATTATTTACAGCGCTAGACTCGTTTTAGCTCACAACTTTCAAATGCGCTCGCCGCGAAGTTGTGGCCAAGGAGAATGCTGCTCTTGACGTGTACATGGTGTGAAGTTATGTACCACTCAACATACGCGTTTAAAGCTGTAAACGAAAAGAAGTCTTACAATGTCAATAAATTTTAAAAGAAAATTTTTTTTCATTTTTAGTGTCCTTTTAATCTGTATGTGACTAGTATACTTAGCGTCATCTCAATAAAAAATGAGGAGCAATTTGTCGGAAATTTTAACGAGGGAACTATGATCCAGCTAATCAGTCCCGTGTACACGAAGCCAAGTAGTGCTGCTGCCCGTTTTATTTATTTTTATTTCATTCACAGAGACACCCGCATTGCTGTTGGGCACTATTTGGCACTGCTCCTCTCTCTGAAACAAGGCAGTGATACGTTCCGAAACTTTTACGGCGTCAAGTCCCGACTGCTGACGTAGACTTCCGTAAAGCATTTGACACGGTTTCACACTCGCTTCTTCTCCAGAAACTTAAGATATTTAATTTAGATTCAACTGTTATTAGGTGGATTGAAAGCTATTTGTCCCAGCGGCGTCAATGTGTGGTTTTGAACGGCAAGCAGTCTGCTTACGTTGATGTTACATCTGGAGTCCCCCAGGGCTCCGTCTTGGGACCCCTTTTGTTTTTAATTTATATTAACGACATTTCTAGCCAAATAACATCCCGTATTCGACTGTTTGCTGACGATTGTGTTTTATATAGAAGCATTACGAGTGAGCATGACGCAGAACAATTACAGAGTGACCTGGTACGTGTTGAAAACTGGTGTTGTAAATGGAAGATGAATTTGAATCCAAAAAAGTGTGTCCATTTAAGTTTTACTAGGAGTAAGAAAAAAATCGATACTCAGTACAGTATAAATAATGACTTCATCAAAACAGAATGTACGTACAAATATCTGGGTGTTATATTATCGAATGACTGTTCATGGAATGCCCAAGTCGATGATGTAGTCTTAAGGGCGGGCAGGGCATTAAACTTCATTCAGCGAAATTTAAAATGTTCCGAAACAAACTTGAAGAAAACGGCATATCTGACATGTGTTAGACCAATTCTAGAACATGCATGTGTTGTATGGGACCCTGCGCAGAAGTATCTAATTGAAAAACTAGAAAAAATTCAAAATAGGGCAGCGAGGTTTGTTCTGGGACGATATGGACAAAAGGATAGTTGTACTGACATGAAAAGAGAATTAAATTGGGAATTACTCTCAGCCCGACGGAACAAATTAAAACTGAAATTTTTGTTTTCAAGATTTAATGGTCGACTGGGCATTAACAAAGACGATTACCTAAAGCAACCGCACTATATTTCAAGCCGGACCGATCACTGTTTTAAAATACGAGAATACCGTGCCAGAACAAACATGTACGCTAATTCTTTTTTTGTCAAGACCATCCAACAATGGAACAAGCTGTCGGAGGAACAAGTGTGCTCTGCAACCGAAGAATTGTTTTTTTCACGTTTGTAACCCCCCTGCAGTAACGCCTTCGGGCAATGCGGGGTAAGTTATGAATAAAGAATAAAGAATAAAGTGTTTAGGTGGAATCCGAAGTCTCCCCAATTTGCGATTTATTTGGGCAGTGCAAAACGGACGACTTTCCTTTTTCCCTCGAACATTGTACATTTGGGATGCGTCGAACGAAATAAGTGTCTCGAAGTCGTTGTCACTTCCCTGTCGATTTGGTTAGAGTCAGCGTTGTACCGCTACCATCGTTCAATTCGGGCGGAGCTCGAGCGCGACTCTGATGCCACGACCCCTCGCAGTCGTTCCAGGTACCCGGGGCACCGAGAGACTCCAAGGACGCGTCGTCGTCGCTGCGGCCCCTCTCGGGGGATCGCAAACCCCCGTCGGAGAGCGACATTGTGCAGTACGCGCAGGACAACCTGAACCGCCACAAGCGGGGCATCTTCCGCAAGAAGTTCTCGCTGCGTGACATGCTGTCCTGGTCCAAGGACCCCATCCACAAGCCCATGATCATGACCACGGACAAGTCCCTCAAGCAGGACGCCTGCCAATTGTTTAAACTCATCCAGGCCAGTCCCGTTTCCAGTGTCATTGCAGTGTTCTATGACGCTGCAATATTTTTTACATTCACGTGAGCTAGGCTCTACCTGTCGAAACTTCGTCAGAAACTTTAAGCTAAGCTCAACTCCCTGGATCTTTAAGCTAGGCTTAACTCGACAGAAACTTCAAACTAGGCTGTAACTACTCAGAACTTTAGGCTAAAGTTAATTTGTTTAAAAGTAATTTTAATCTTTTTGTTTTTTAGCTTTGGTTTGGGTTTTTTTTTGGTTGACCGTCGATAAAGGAGCTAAGGAGAACTTACGAGACAAGGACTAGCACCAGTCCTTGTTTCATGTCTGCTTTCATTTGTCCGTGTCTATACTGCATTCACCCCTTAGTTGATAATATGGGGGGAGCACTGATCTCCATGACAATTGCTGGATCGCACATCCCCGCTCTGGGCCACGGGATAGCCATCTTGCATGCAGTGAAAACGAGTTTTTGCTAGCGTTGCAGAGGCTAACAGCAGCATGCTGAAGACACTTTTTCTACTCGTTCGTCGTCATTCGCCGAAGAAGTTTTTTAAAAGCCTGTGTAGGGCGGTGAGACTTGCCGTTGAGAACACAAGGAAGTTTTTAGGAAAGCGCAGTGCCGCAGGAAAAAGCCACAACTCATCGAGCGCAAGTTTTGTCCGTCTTGCGGCGTGATTAAATCTTCCTTGGCACGCCGAAGTGCTGCGTCTCTGTGCCTTCGCACGCTTGGATGTCGATCAAGAATTGGCACCGCGGCAAAGTTTTGAAGGTGTGTCGCGCATAGATGTCTTTGCATCATATATCGGCCACGGAGTTCTGGATCGTCCAGCTGTTCCCACGAGTTGCTGTCTATAAAGGGGGGAGGGGGGGAGTTACTCCTATGCACTATTAACCATGGCTCTGTTTCAAGTCTACTCTGATGGATGGCATGGCAGCACATATAGAGCAACGTTGTGGAGCAAGGAAGGTTTTTGAAGGCAAAAGTACAAGATAGCGAGAATGAAAATCTTTGAAGCGCAGCTCATATGGTCGTGTGTAGTCTGTTGACTAATCACAATTCGGCGAGCCGTGCTCAGATGTCAAGTGCAATTAAGTAGGTTGATAATGAGCTAGCACTGTTCAGTGATGAGGAGCTGTTGTGTGCGATATGCTTTAAACCGTCTAACGACAAAGATAGACATACTTCCCCCCCCCCTCTTTCATCACCACTGGACGCTGGATCAAACTCATTTCTGGACCGCAAGTGCCGCAAGTTACAAATACAGTCATCAGAGTAAAGTAAGACGTTGCTCCAGAAGCACATACGGCTTCACGCACATTGCACTCGCAAAACACATCCACACGGTGTCGATTCTTGGTCGGTATCCAAGCGTGCAAAGGCACAGAGACGCAGCACTTCGGCGTACCGAGGAAGCTTTGATCACGGTGCGAGACCGGCGAAACTTGCTTTCGGCGAGTTGTGCCTTTTTCCCGTGGCACTGCGCTTTTGTAAAAGTTTCCACGTGTTCTCAACGGCAGGTCTCGCGGCCTACACAGGATTTTAAAAAACTTCTTCGGCGAATGACGACGAACGAGTACAAAATGTGTTTTCAGCACGCTGCCGCCAGCCTCTGCAATGCTAGCAAAAACGCGATTTCGCTGTATGCAAGATGGCCGTCCGGTGGCCGGACTCGCGCTGCAGCGACCAAGTGGGGATGCGCGATCCAGCAATTGTCATAGAGATGAGCGGGTGAAAGCAACACACTCAGAGGGCTAACTGCCTCCCTTTCATCGCACGATTCCGCTCTTTGTGTGTGTACAGGTGGGAGCTTAATCGCGTGGTGAAGGACGGACGTGTGACTTATCCAACGAGCACATAGCTTCCACCGCAGTCTGAGCTCAGGGGTGAAGATAGTATAGTTTGTGCTTTTGAACTCCTGTACCTTTTCGTTTGTAACTTTTGATCGTTTGAACTCTCCCTTCGATATTTCAAAACAAATGGGCACCTCGGCAGTGTCTTTAGCATTAAGCTTTGAAAATCGTATCTCAGAAAGCCAGACTTTTCGACTCGTTGAAGTTCGACCCGGCTGGTCCTCTTGCCTCGACGTGCGAAATTTTCTAAGCGCCGCTAAGTGTGCGGTCGACGGTGCCTTGTGCAGGCGTACATGGGAGACCGCAAGTGGAAGACGGCGCCAGGGCAGGTCGCCCTGGACATCGCGACGCGCGGCTGGAGCAAGCAGGCGCTGCGGGACGAGCTGTACATCCAGATCTGTCGTCAGACGACGGACAACCCCCGCCAGGAGAGCCTGCTCCTCGGCTGGGAGCTCATGGCCATCTGCCTGGGGCTCTTCCCGCCGTCTGCCACTTTCCGACCCTACCTCGAGAGCTACGTCCAGCGGCACAGGTGGGGGCTCGCTCTCCCACGCACAGACGAAAAGGTGGCGTGTCACGGTTCCTGGAGCACGTCTCCGACCGGTGTACCATGTCCTCAAAAGTGGTTTCCGGTTTTTGCATGACGATGTCGTAGACGTGTCGTGATCCCGGCAGTGGAATGGCTGCGGAGCTGGATGTAACGTACGCCCGTTTTGCCGTAGGTAACTCTGCAGCCAGACGGTCAATGGAAACCAAAGCCGATACGAGACGTTACGAGACGGGATGCTGCGACGCCGGAAATCCTTTCGTCTGCTTGCCTTTTTCGTCCATGTTTTTACGACCCCCCGCCGGGATTGCGACATCCGATGGCATGGCATGCCAGCTCCTGCGACGCAGTTTGTTGCCGCTCCGGGACCGCTTTCGATGCATGGCCGGGTAGACGGCTAATGCGGTAGTCGAAAGCGCCTTCCAGATGCCATACCGAGACTGAGGTTGAATTTGAGAAATGAAGGAAGGGAGGGACCATAGCAGAGGTGACTTCATGAGACTTCTACCAATGGCCTCGTATGCTCTGCCGCAGTGCGAACAAAGGGCTCTCGGTTTGGTTAATCGGTCGGGACCGCGCACAAGCGGTCTTTTCGAGAACGGTAATGCTTGAAATGCAATTGACTTTTGAGGCTAGTATTGCACTTCAGTTCAGTTCAGTTTATTATACCTTGAAGGCATTTCAAATGAAATGCATTACATGAGGGGGGATCAAATGACGGGTTTACTGCAGTTGATTGAATGCCATTTCATCGAAGCATGTTTTAGAGAATGGGCACGTTTTATCGAAGCACGGTTTAGAGAAAGCAGAGCCTCAGCTTAGAGACGCCGTTTACCGAAAAGGGGACGCTTTTTAAAAAAAGGCTTTCCTACTTCTCGCGTGTATCACTGGTGTGCGTGTTAAGCCATGCCCCCCTCTGCGCTCCCGCCGCTTCGCAGCAGCAGTGTGCGGCAGCTCATTACAAAAATGTTAACTCACCTGATTTACCCGTACACGCCGCTTCGCGGCGGCCGAATTCGCTAAAAGGAGGCTTATCGCCATTTTCTCCAAACTGGGTTCTCTATAAAGGCATTCGATAAACCGGATACGGTAAAACGGCGTTCGCTAGAACGAGCTTCTCTAAACCGCATGCCTTCGTCTTGACTTAAACAGCGCAAATAAGTTACGTAAGGAAGAGACAACAGGAAGGAAAGAGCGCTGACTCATTTTGGTACAATGCCTCCGTCAAATGACATATTATGTTGATTGCAGTTCTGACGACGAGTTAAAGAATAGGAAAATGTAAAACTACAAACTAATAGGACAAATATGAAAACAGAACACATTGAAAAAGTATTAACAAATAAACACGTTAAAGATCAACACTTTTCAGGTGCGCCTTGCAGAGTTCACGGAATGTCTTCGGTTTAGATTCATGTACTGCTTTCGGGAAGGGAATTCCAGTTAGTAACAGTGAGAGAAAGTGAGGAATTTTGGAATTTATTAGTTCTCGCGAATAGAGGCTTAATTTTTAGACTGGTCGTGGCGCATGGAGTGGCGAGTGACAGCTGGTTTTTCGAAAATCAGAAGAGGAATTGTAAATTTTGTGAAAAAGGGCAAGACGAGCAAGTTGAGTTCTTTGAGATAGAGGGCATAGGTCGAGGTTGGATTTTAGTGCAGTTACGCTTGATGTTCGCGAGTAGTCATGTGTTATAAAGCGTGATGCCTTGTTTTGCTCTGATTTGAGTTTAGTAATGAGGTATGATTGATGACACCACCAAATCAAGTTGGCGTACTGACGAGACCAGTCATAACAAAGTCAAAGGAAATCGGAAATCACTTCGCTATATCCACTATTTTGTTATAACTGACTTCAGTTATAACGCAGTGCTGAAGGGAATGGGAAATTGTGATCGCTTTGTTGTAGCCGCTATTTTGTTATAACCGACTTCGTTCTAACCGGTCTTGATAGTAGTCTAATTGTGATCGGACAAAAGTTTTATAGGCGGTTAGTTTAACACAACGGGGAGTGAGGTATAGGTTACGGTTAATGTATCGTAGAGATCTGCACGCACTAGCCACTAGATTGTCAATGTGAGTATTCCAAGTTAGGTCTTCAGAAGATGTTACGCCTAAATATTTGTAAATTGGTACTTTTTCGAGAGGCAGTGTTAGTAAGGTGTAGTTACAAACAATAGAGAGCTCTTACTTTATTGACCCCTAAGCTGACATCACAGTGGAAGCTACGTGCTCGTTGGACCAACCATGTGTCTATCTTTTGCCATGTCCTGCTCCTGCCCATACCCACGCGCAGAAAGCGGGGTGTCAGGTGACGTAAGGGAAGCGGTTGATTGGTCTGTGGAGCGCGTGGCTCCGCTGCAGCGTCAGCTTGGAGCTGAGCGAAACATGGGCAGACTCCCCTTGGCCGTTGGTCAACAATGGTCGAGAAGTTTTTTTCAAGGAGCACTGTCCGTCGCAAACGCAGGGAAGAGCCCCCGGTGGAAGCGTATGCGGCAGCTTGCAGCCAGCGCCTGGAGAGGGGAGCTCAAAGCGGTGCCAAACGGGGCCTCCGCCGCCCCACCCTCGAAGAAGTGGACCAGTCGCGGGCGCACATCTTCCGGCCCTCCATGTTCGGCAACACCCTGGAGGAAGTGATGGCACTCCAGCGGGAGCGCTTTCCCCGTCGCTGCCTCCCCTGGGTGCAGACGACACTGTCCGAGGCGGTCCTCCGCCTCCAGGGGGCCCAGACGGAGGGCATCTTCCGCGTGCCGGGCGACATCGACGAAGTGAACGCGCTCAAACTCCGCCTGGACCAGTGGCAGGGGGTCGACACCCTGGTGGACCCCCACGTGCCGGCGTCCCTGCTCAAGCTGTGGTACCGTGAGCTGCACGAGCCCCTCATCCCGTCGGCTTTCTACCAGGAGTGCGTGGACTGCTGTGGGGAGCCCCAGACGGCGCTCGCGCTGGTCCGCCGTCTGCCGGACCTGCACCGGCGGGTCCTCGCGTACCTGGTGCGCTTCCTGCAGGTGTTTGCGGCGCCGGAGAACGCCCTGCTCACCAAGATGGACGCCAACAACCTCGCCATGGTGATGGCGCCCAACTGCCTCCGGTGCACCTCGGACGACCCGAGGGTCATCTTCGACAACACGCGCAAGGAAATGGCCTTTGTGCGCACGCTGATACAGACGCTGGACACGAGCTTCATGGAGGGCGTGCTATGACCGCGGCCCGGCCGTTTCTCTCGGTCCCCCGCCACCCCCTCACTACGGTGCCTGCAACGCGTCTCCGGCCGGTGTGTAATACCGCGTCCTCAAAAGCGGTCCCTCAATTTCAGCCCAACGTTTGGGACGTCATTCGGGGCCACGTCGGGACCCTTTTGGATACACGGGCGGGGTAGGGCTGCCAAATGCACCGGTCTGAGACTGGTTGCGGGCACCGTACCCTCACTGCCCGCGTGCCCGGCTCTAGTCTTGTTTCTGCTTTTGCCCAGTTTCTGGGGGCCCCAACCCGGTCGTCTGCGGGGGGTGCTCGCTTTGTTTTCGTTTTAGAAGAGTGTTTTCTAAAAGGGCCGTTTTCTCACCCTTCCTTGTTAGAGAGTCGACTAAAATACTCCAGCAATGGTAGTTAAGCATCGCAGTATTTATTCCACAATGCCAACATAATGTACAGTTTGTTTTAGTGGCAATAAACGAAGCCAATGAATGATCCCCCTGCCTTTTTTTGTTTTTCTGGTTCGGCGAAGTTTGAAATTGCTATATTTATTTTTGTGTTGTGCCTCCTCCCCCGCTGATAAAGGATAAAGGTGACTTGTTCAAATATATGGCTTAGTTATTTTTTATGTTGTAAAACTACGCGTGCTGGGTTTTCTTTATTTTCTTGTGCTTTGGTCTCTGGTAGTTTTACCACAGCCTGTTTTACGACATAATTGACTTCCATCAGGTTGGCCGAGCTCGTCACATGGTTCTATACTTCGTTTCACCTTATGTGCGAGCGAAGGCAAAGCTGGAAGCGCGAGCACGAAAGCTCCGTGCGTTCAGGCTTTGCTCGAGCGCGCGAGCTGGGGAGAAACGCAAAAAGCGCTGGTCTCGCGCTTCTAGCTTTGGCTTCGCTCGCAGATAAGGTGAAACGAAGTATAGCCTCCTTTTTATTGATTTTTCACTTCCTTTTCTTTATATATATAAACCTTGCTTGCGGTGGATAAACTCGGTACCAGAGGTATTAGTATAATAATAAAAAAAAAAAAAAAGTTGAGGCGTTTTTATGTTTCTTTTTTTCTCCAGTCTCAGGTTAATTCAACGTTAGTAGGATTTATAGTTCTGTCAATTATCAATGGTTCTGACGATTCTGTACTACGACAGAAACTAGTTTCGATTTTAAATTCAAAACATCCTCTGCCAAAAAAAAAAAAAAGAAAAAATGAAGTACGAAATTACGCCTCGCAAGTTACTTTTGGAACGTACCATTTTGAAAGTGGGGGTTTCCTTCGGCGGACTGCCGGACTCCCCTCAGTTTTCCACAATAGGTGAGCAGCTCCCGTGAAGCGCTGAATGCTGGGAAGACTGCTCGGCACCCCGGACTTTGCTGCTGTTTCGTCTAGTGTTCCCCGCTGCGTGTGTGTGTCGTTTCTGAAGGAAGACAAATGTTTTCGTAATTTCTCGGTTGACCAACAATGTAATGATTATTTCCAGCGGGACTTTGGCGAGTATGGAGGGGGAAGTGAATGGTAGGTACCCCCTCATTCCCTGGCTGAAGCGCACGACCACTGGAGTTTGCTTCTTTTGGCTCAATCTGTCGAACGGTTCCAACTGTGCCATTGGCAATTGTGCGGCTACATCTGCCTCGTTTTAGCTGCAGGCAGATTCCCGGAGCGTTAAAGTTTATCGCCGACGCCGAGTCGTCGACTACAAATTCAGTGGTCGCTGTGGAGCAGAGCCCGTTTGGGGTGATAGTTGCTCGGGGTGGGAGAAAGACGACATGAGCGTCCATTGATGCGATTCCCAACTCATCGTTTTCTTTTTTTTCCTTCCATTTTCCCAGGAACCAAGGCACTCATTTTCAAGACGGAACGCTTCAACTCGGGAACGGTGAGTTCTCCGCGTTTCACATCCACTTGTTTCGGCCGAAACACTTGCGTCGAACACCTCGCGTCGTTTGGAGGAAGTCCTGTCTCCCCCACGCTCAGATGACATTCTCGCCTCGCGCCGTAGCTTGAACAAAAAGCCAGCGTTTTACAGCGCACGGACACGCTAGCGGATCGAGTCCCGATTTCATACCTCCCGTGCTCGAGCCGGTCGAAGCGTAGCGCCTGTCGCATTGCTGCCTTCGGACGATCTCGGGTGCCTCCCAGTCACGGCGACGACCGCCGCCATGGATGCTTCGGTTTCGTCGCCGGAGCGTCGCTGGCCGCTTCGTTCGCTGGCGTGTGATCGTAATTTCTGCGTTTCCGATTTGTTCTCTCCGCAGGACGAGGCGCCACCGAGGAAACGCCAGCGGACTTCGGAGGATTTCATTTCGTTCTGCAAGTTCATCCTCGAGTACGAGAACTATGAGAGCATCAAGCAAGAGGAGCTTCGCGAGAAGGCGGCGAGTCCGTCGGACAGCTCGGCGGACAGCGTAGACAGTCTCAAGCAGCACGCCGATGTCTCCGATGGCGACGCGGCACGAGGTAGGTTGTTCTTTTCACCGCATTTCTTCATGTCGTTGAACGATAAACCGCGACGGATAGAGGATGCTACTGTTTATGCTGGTTTGTCGGCTTCGCGCCATGCTGATCGCTGATGTTGCGCCCGTGAGGGCGATGACGTTGAAACGCTTCCTTGTTCGCACGTCGTCCGTGAACGCGCGCATGATGCCGCTGAAGGACGCTACGGGCTTGACTGCGCTCGGTCCTGGAGGTCAGAGTTACGCACTGGTACCATCGAAGAATTTTCGGGTGTGTTCCCATTTTCTGGGGGCCGCTCGGTGCAGACCTGACTTGTGTGCAGCCTTGGAGCCCTGTGGTACACATTGTGGGTTGGAGTGTATGTTTGAATGCTGCAGTGGCACACTGCTGTCATGTGGGCGGTGGAGTGCGCAGGCTGCAACTTAGTTTTGTGTGGAGATGTTGCTTTAGCAGACGCCTGTTTGCTCTCAAAGCTAGATCTCTTGGCAAGTACTTGACCTATCGTGAGGTCTTTCCCTAGTGTCTCCCTCCCCATTGTCCTTGTGAGGCAACCAGTATGGCGTGAAGTGGCACGATGCCGGCTTATCAGTGCCCCACGTTTATTAGCGGTGGTTGCCGAAGTCCCGAGGTAGCTAGTTATTGCTGTCTCGTCGGTCTGTATGTTCTGTGCCAGCCAGCGACAAAATATACGAGTAGGATTTCAAACGTCCACATTAGGGTGGAAGCGAAAACAAAATGCCGACCCCACTAGTCTAGAAAGTCTCTGTGTTATTAGGTCTTCCTTGATTTAGTTTGGCCCTCCCACTTCCGAATGTCGGCTTCACCAGTTATACCGTGATGCAAAATCAACAGCCATCAAAAATTGAGCCGTCAGGCAATTCACATTTTGGAGAGTTCCTCCTGACTACAATTACGAGTTACCCTGAGTGTTCTATAGGATAGATAACTGCTGGGGAATGTGGGCATCGCCACTCACGTAGATTGTATGTTTCATACTGTAACATGTGATGCAGTCCTAAGATGCTACTGAGAGAGGTAAACAATATACCAGTCACGTCAGCGTGTAATGCCACATGGCAGCAAGCATAAGCGGGTCACCTTTAGATGTGGTGTAGGGCAAGTCTCCGAGCGCTGTATACGTGCCTGCAGACAGCAGCAAAACCGATTGCGTGGCACGATTTCTCTCCCCAGGGGACGCCACTGAAGAGGATACGGCGGAGCCGGGCCCTCTGGGCCGCCGCGGAGGCAACATGACGGACGAGGACTCCCACGACCTGATCACGTGCTTCTGCCTGAAACCCTTTGCGGGGCGCCCCATGATCGAGTGCTCGGAGTGCCTCACCTGGATCCACCTGTCGTGCGCCAAGATCCGGCGGAACAACATTCCCGAGGAGTTCACCTGCCAACGCTGCCGCGAGGCCAAGCACACGACGCGGCGGTCGCAGAGGATACGGGGCGGCGGCGGCACCCCCACGCCGCAGCGCCGCCGGCCGAGCACGTGACGCCAGGTGTCGCGGCCCGCCGTCCTCGAACCCACTACAACAGCTCTAGTCTCTCCCGTCGACGTGGCGAGTGATCTCGCGCCCTGTACAGACTCTGCTTGCGCGGGTGCTCTGCCTTCCTCCGCCGTCGTCTGCTCCTCCTCGTGACTTTGCGCGGCCGCAAGAGCCGAGGGGGGCGGACCGTTTCGTCGCGGCTGTGGAAGTCGTCGCTGCAGGATGCGTGTGTGTGTGCAGTAAAGGCTTCCTCCTTTTTCTTGTTTCGGTAATGTGTGCCTCTCGTGCGTGCGGCGACTACACCATGTTTGTGGCCCGGTCAAAGTGGCTTCCTGCACGGTCTGCTGTGAAGCGACGTGGAAGCCTGCGACTGTGGAGTTTGGTGTCGAGCGTCGAGGTGTCGTCTTTTTCCGACGCGAGAATTGAGCGAGTCTGGTCCCGTGCTGCGACCCAAGGTGGGGTACGTGCCGGTGTGCCGCGGCGCTCTTTCTCTGGGTTGGACGACACCATTTATGTTCCTTTAGTCCCCTCACTTTTTGAACAAGTGGCATACAAAAGGAACATCCACCTTCATAAAACGAAATGCAAATATACAACCGTTATCGCAGGTCTAACAGGTTAAGAACAGGAGAACGAGCTTCTTGCACAGAGCCTTTTACTTTTTCCACTTAAGCAGACAATGCTGGAGAGGAGAAAACCACCAATCCTGCTACTCTAAACCTGCAACAGACTATTGTGTTGAGAAAAAAAGGTTGATGCCACAGCAAATACATTGGGGTCGTTTCTGGAGCCATTGTGAATGGGTATAACGTATTCCAGTTGCCTGTGCCCAGTAAAAATTTGATTGATTCGTGTTAATGGAATAGGGTGCAGCTCGTATGGGTGATCGCTGTGAAGAAAGACTCCCTAAGAAAAGGGTTGTCTAGGTCCTTATTCTCGTTCTACTAGAAGGGGTCATGGCAGTGTCCCTTCTAGCAATGTCGCAGGTTAGTCTATAGCTATCCATAATATTTGGGTCCCTTTGGAATCGACAAATCAGCTTGCACTTCTTGCTTTACGTCGACTCGTGACCTAGGTGTGCAGGCCGATTTGGCTGTGCAACGTAGGATTGAAATCCACAAGGATGCCACACCCAGTAGCCCATGCCTCCGCAGCATTGCTCACATTGCACTGTGGGTGCTGTTGGTGGGTCTAAAATTGTTCATAGGAGACTCGTTCGATTTGCCTGCCCCTCCTGCAACAGTTTCCATTTTGTGTATGTCTCGTTCGATTTAATGCTTTTCTGCACTAGTGTCGGCTGGTGCGAGCAAATCGAACAAGTTCAGTGCCAATTGCTGCATTCTTCAATATACGAGGTATCTTCCCCAAAACTTAAGATATATTAGTAGAGAAGGGCACTTGAAATGAAGAACTGATTCGTTCCGGATAATGTGAACTGTAGTAAACGTGACCGAGAGCACATTAATTACTTGGAATTTAGTGGCGAACATCTTGATGCTCAATTTGGTTGACACATTCCAATGGGAGTCTCGTAACCCGTCGTTAAAATAAACAAAGTTAGGTTTCGTCCACGTGTTGGACGGTGGCTGTGTACATTCCACTCGCGTTTAAGCCAATGTGGGTCAGCGGAGGTGCTGGGAGTAGATGAAATTTAGCTGTTAATCGTTTCAAGAGAGGGTCGCAAGCAGTTGCAGGTTGATCTGGTGGCAATGCAATGTGTGTGGGTCACGTGGTCGTGGCAAAGGCACATTGGCACCGATGCTTTCGCAAATGCAACTTTTAAAACTTTTTTTTTTACGCTTTAAACATTTTAATGTCGGCGTTGAGTAGTGCAGAGCCTATATTGATGACTGCCTACAAACCCCCCCAGTGGAATGTGCCAGCTAAAAGGAATATCTTAAAAACCGATACTCTTGGTCCGATTTCTACCCGAGTGAATGCGGAGTGCAAGTTCGTCTTTTCTTTTGCAGGGGTTGTGGCAACGTCAGAACGCCGAGCTCCGATTGGCTGCGACCGAAGGATAGTGGGAAGACTTCAAAGCAAAACTGCCTCGAGGTCTACCCACTATCCTTCATTCAGAGCCAATCGGAGCTCAGCTTTCTAACGTCGCCACAGCCCCTGGAAAAGGAGCGGACGAACGCGCTCCGCACAGGGGGTACAATGTCCAGCCTGTTTACACCAGAGCTCCTTGTTTACAAACACGAGGCATGTGCACCGGATTCTTTGTCTTTCACGATTGAGCGCGGGGCAAAGGTTGGGTGTGACTTGCGCCTAATTTTTTATCCGCGCTCAGTCGCCCCTCAACAACCTGGAAAAGCCTCTGTGCCGGCGAGGTAATGCAACCTTGCCTGCCGACACTGCAATAGCCCGGTCCGAGGAAACACCCGAGAAAATTGCCACGACCGTTCCGCATCCCGGTCGCCAGGAGTCTCTTTGCTCTGGACGAGGGAAAAGACTTCCCACTTTCTCTTGGCAGCCGTTGGCAGTTTCCCCGGCAGGTAGGTACCCGGGCGAGCTACCAAAAGCTCGGGTACCATAGTGCTCTCTTTTTGAAAGCACTGCGCAAAGTATTTTCGAAAACACAAAAACAAAAAGTGTCGCAAACATTTCATTTTATACCAATCTCCGATCCTGTGTACTGCTCAAATCGTGATGATGTGGCTTGTGGGGCAGATATGACGGCGCTTACTCTTGCTTTTGAGACGTTTACGAGCGTAGCTGGGGACGGAGCTCGCTTGCTCATCTGACCCTGGTCAAATCGCACCTAGGGATGCTTCTATCGGGGAGGAAGGGAGGGGCTGCCTGTGCCCCTGTTGTAGAGGGCTGATTCAATTGACTTTGCAAGGCCGCTAATTTGGAGTCTCTAAAAGCTGGTTTACTCATTTGCATTCCAACTGTGACCGCCGCTGCGTTGCAACCGTTCGTTAGTGTTTACGAAGAGATAGCACACCGGCGTCAAGCCCTGCAACAGTTACGTTCCGTATACATATCCTATTTTGCACTCGTCGTTTTTTAACCATGATCTTAAAATGGCTCCGACAAGGTTATAAGCGATAGCGCATAGATTTGACCATGCCGAGGCTGAAAAAGCTTCGGCCCGCAACCGACAAACCAGAAAGGAGGAAACTCTCCCTCAAAACCTCCCCCCCGTGGGGAGTAGCCGAGACCCACTAGTGTGGGGAGAGAAGGAATGGAGAGAAGGAAACCGGAAACTGTTTTTCTGGCCAGCAGAAGACTATTCTCTAGGTGGGCCTTTAAGCAGTCAAGCAGTGTTGACGCATCAGTCACAATCAAATGGGAATGTGCGAACCAGCCTTTAAGGGGCCCTGCAATCCTATTTAAGCGTCTACCTTTTTTGCGGTTTCCACGTCTCTTGGTGTTCGGGCAAGCCAGCGGGCACGGAGAGAGTAACTAAATATCAGCGAGTCATATTTTGACCGGATGATGCATGAAAGCGCGTAGAACGTGACGTCCTTGGTCCTGGGCTTACTACTGGTCAGAGCCGCTAAAAGCTTTTTACGCGAAATACAAAATATAAGTGGCGCTAGCCGTTTATAAAAGTAGTTTTTGTCCAGCATTTTAGATCGGAAATTAAACAAATGCTGTTTATAAAGTACGGAAACAGGAAACGACCCGTTGACATACCTGCCACCAAGCGGTGGTAAAGACGGCGCATACTAGAAAGGTGTTGTGGGATCAGGTACCGACGGGCAGCGAGCGTAGAAAGGTCCCGGATGTACGCAGCGGCGCTGCAGTCGAGGATCCGACCGGTTCCGAGTGTTCCGAAGGCCTTCGGCGAGCAGCTTTGTTTGCGGTTTGGCCCTTTGGCGGTATGGCAGCGCAAGTTGGCTGCCGTTCTGAACTGATCTTTACCTCGTGTTTGTTTTCGTTTGTGGCCAATGAAGTGTCGATGCCGAATTAGTGTTTAATTGCGCAGCAAACTGAATGAGAGCCGCCCTGGCTGCCCTCTTCATACAGACTAGCCAGAACACGCTTTAGTGGCGCCCTCTCGCGCCCTCTCGCGCCATCGACACGGAGTGCAGCAGCCCTGAGCGCTCGCCGAGCTCACTGCCCTTCCTCTACTTCACAGCCACTCAAGCAACCAAGGACGTCACGAAGGAGGTTATTTTTTGCTTGTTTTCGTAATTTTAATTTGCTTATAACTTTTAAAATAAAGCGAAATTCGAAAAAAGAAGTTTCATTAAGTTACTACGTTCAGTGCGCTCAGGTTCGGTGCAAATTAAAAACCAGTAAAAAAGTCCTTGCAGGGCCCCTTTAACGCGCACCTCGTGACAACGATGCCAAGTGCAAGCTTTTGCTCCTTGTAAAAGGCAACTTGCCGAGTCGTCCTATTCCTGCCGGTCTCGTAGGAAGATTTCGTGCCGCGACGGTGCCCCGTAGCCATGAAAACCCTGGCAAAAGAGCGATTCATTCAAACACTGGAATGCAGCAAGGGTACGCAAGGCCCCGAAATGAAAGGCAAGCAGAAGCGAGGTTAAAAACACGACAAGTTAGAAAAGTTTATTTCGAAAGAGCGAACGAGTCAGCGCCGGACGAGCTGATCCACGTTTCCTCTCCGCTGTTGGCAGGCCCGCTCCAACTCTTGAAGCTGTTTCTGCAGCAGTCCTTCAACAAAAGAAAGAAAAAAAGAAAAGGTTTCTTTGTGAACTATCCTTTTTCGAGGTACTGCAGAACCTATGTGTATGGCTAGAGATGTGTCAACTCACCCGAGTTATGCTGCACCCAAGACAGTGCGTCCATGTGTGCATTGAGGACCTTGGACACCTGATTCAGCTAACAACAAAGAACGAAAGAAAAGGAAAAATAAGGTCAGTCCAGGTCCTCTACACCTCATTTCACATTGGCGAAAGCTATGAGCCCATAGGTTGTTTTGCAGGTTTGTTTGAGACTGCTCACGAGTGATTTGCAGGCCATTTTGTCTCAACAGCATTTGATGGACTATCCCGTGGCAGACCAACTTACAGGTTTGTCTTGGGCCACCGCTGCATTGGCTGCATTCAGCTGCTGAATGATGTCCTTGATGTCCTGCGACATGCACCGCAGCTGGGCATTGACGTTCTCGGCCAGGTGGTACCTGCAAGGAGTAGGAGTGGGAGCGGCGTCAATGGCTGAGAGGCTTACCCACGCGACGCTGCTATCTGGTTGGACCCGTCGAGCGCTCGGGTTTCGCTCTCATCGTACGAGGTTTGTGTCAAGTGCTGGCACAGCAGCCTTGTTGCGCCTATGAGGTGTTAGCCAAAGCCTCATCGTAAGCTAACAAACTACACACGGAGTGTCGTACCATTTCCCTACGGCCCAACACTACAAGTAACATAAATTAGTGCACTGGAGTTCCCTCCTTCCTTGCCCTCCTCCTCTTCACCCCTCCCAGAGTCAAATGGCATTGCCATAGGTTAGACAAAGTTTTATCTTTGTCTACCTACTCTTTCTCATCCTCACTGCCTTTCTGAATTCCTTTTACCTTTCTTTTCCTCTCTTTTAATTCTCTACCAGAACAACCTTTTCTTGGTTCTTCATGACACCCCCTCCCAAGCAAACTGCACATGAAGCGTTTATTTGTCTGTCCACGCTGGAAACGGCTTGCCGAATGGCTCTTTTCGCCGGGGGAAATCGAAGCAGCAGCCGCAGCGAGCGGTATTGAGCCTGGTGGTGCTGACAGCAGCGAGAAGGCATTTGTTGCCACTTCAGAACCACTTTCGATGCGAGGGCAGAACGACGTGCGAACCACACCGGTTGGAGTCGCAGATCAGCCACCATACCTTTACTTAAACCGCAACAGACTATACGCGAGGGCAGACGCACGTGTGTTCGCGCTCCAGGTCCGCATGCTGCTGGACAGACAGCCCCGGCGTGGCCTGGATGCCCCGCTCCAGGGGTTCGAGCAGCTCCTGCAGCTCGCCCTGCTGGGCGGCGATGAAGTCCAGCTCATGGTCGAGGCGCTGCTGGTCCAGCTTGACCCTGTCCACAAGGTCGCTCAGCTCCCCGATCTTCTCGCCATTGGCCAGGAGCAGACGGTCCCAGGCGTTCACCTGGGTCGCCTGATTCACGAACGTCGCCTCGTGCTCCTCCAGCTCCAGCTTCCACTGGTTCACATTCTCCTCGAGCAGACGGTAGTGCATCCTGCGCGGAGGTGTGGCGACCTATCAAACTTTTGTCGAAACTCGAGCTTAGACGGCAAAATCTGACGAAGATGGTGGATAGTATTGGCTATACCCTTTGTATCGGGCAGTAGCATAGTCAATGACAAGGTGAGGATGGCAGGGAAGGGCTTCAGTTGTCTCGCCTCCAGTGCAAGCGTCTTACCTTCGATTACGGTTTGGCGTCTGGTGCACCTAGAGCATGCGTGCGCTACCAAAACACGGCAAAAGGCACAGAGTGTGTGCTCAAGGCTGGGCGTTCTCATTCTGTCAGCGACTATAATAATTCTCCTGGCCTCCAGGATATGTTTGCAAAGCCAGTCTTCTGGATAGTGTACCTAAAAATGCTTAGTTCTTACATACTGCATGGGCGTCTCGCAGATTCTGGATCCGCGAGGCTTTAGATCTTGTCTGTTGCGGCTTTGAAGAAACTCATTCGTGGGATCGACATACTCGAGCAATCCGATCAAGTCGACAAAGCTCACACAGTGGTAAAAGGCCCGTGGCAACGACACATTAAGCAGCGATGGCTGTTGTCTAATGCGTGCTTGTCCCCGCGGTAAATAGCAATTCCTCTAGGTTCTACTTACGGAGAAGCTGAAGAACTAGTCGTTGGCTGTGTCAATGAAGCTGTAAAAAAAAAAAAAAAAATCTTATTAATGACAGACTAAACCGAAGACTGCTTTAACATAAGTGAAATCTAGAAAATTCGTGCGGTAAAAAGCTTTCCATCTTCATTTGAAGTCAACAATGTCTCTTTACCACAAGGGACAAATTCATGAACGGATGGATACTTTTAGTGGAGGAAACTTAAGTCACCTGCGGCTGTCGTGGTTCCAAAGAGAGACGGAACGCTGGTTGCAGGCGCCGATGTGCTCGCAACCGCTGTCGCAGGTGCGGTCTGGCCAAACGTGAACGTGCTCGCTGTCGCTGGAGCGCTTGTGGTCCCAAACGAGAACCCTAGCATCAAAAATTAAACGAGTAAATTCTGTTTATACGCGACTTCAAATAGTACCACGAGAATCAAGAAGTGAACAGTAGCGGTGCTGACCAGTGGTACCGGTGGTAGCTGCAGGGCCGAGAGTGCTCGGCGCCGGTGCTGCTCCAAACGTAAAGCCTTTGACCGTGGGAGCATGGGCCGCCATCCTACAGGAGGGGAAAAAAAATAAAGAAAGAAAAGAAGCAAACGTTTTTGCATAGTTATAACTTAAACCGATACAGACCTTGAACTGAGGCGAGCTGTCGTTAACTGCGGTGCAGTGCTTAAACGTTGCTTGCTTCCTCGCTTGGATTCAACGTTGCCGTTCTTAAATAATTAGGGTGCTCGCATGCAGGATTATTCAAGGATCATAACGGAAGTTTTTGGGCCATCGAGACAAGTTAATAAAGGTAGGAGCGGTTGAAGTCGCTGGAACGCCAGGTACAGCTACAAACGTCAGATCATTTGCGGCATCTCACATCTCGCGGGTTATATATGTTCAAAGAGTAAACCAGTAGTGGTAAATTGTACCACGGTACTTTACTGCGGTCAAGCTTAATCTTTTTGTAAGTATAAGAGTGTGTTTTGAAGTGAATAAATGAACACTCACGTTGGTCTCTACGAGCCCGCGTTGAAAGATGGTAAATACGTAAATATGAGACTTAGTAGGGAAGCAGGGAAGCGACCGTCCGCGCGCATTTGGCACCCTGACGAGGAAAGCCGCTAGCATCACGTTGGCGCTAACGTCGCAAGCGTTTGTACGTTCTTTTTTACCCGGCATATTTAGGTTTATTGAGCATAGCATTTAAATAAACGACTGTTTTGCAATAAAAAAAGAAAATTATAAGAATCAGATCTCTTATCGTTCTAATCTGGTCACGATTTTATGCTTCCTTGTCTTGGGATTGATTGACACATGAATGTAACATGGGAATCTCAATCATTTATTTTCTCTCTTACATCCTCCCACCATTTCACTACACTTTCACCAACATTCTTTGTGCTAAACACTCACCTGTCTTTTAATGTCACAGTGGTTGCAGTCAATATCCAAATTGCAGATGGGAAAGCACACCTGCTGTGGGAAAAAGTTACTGCAAGCACGGAAGAGCACATTCACCGCAGACACGTCTAGTCGGTAGACAGTTTTGAGACTCTTTGACATTGGTATTTGCAACTTTTAGCTATGGTGGTACCGTGATGTAAGAGTTGCGCTCCCTTGCTTCTGGATGATAGGCTTCAGAATAAAGGTAATTGCCTACACCTTCCCGACGTGGAAAAATGAAGTCAGGCTCTAATACTGTTCGTATATAGAAAAACTAGAATTACTTACGTGTCGCAGACCCAGCCTTATACTGCTGTTATACGACGATCATCCAGATGACAGCCATTTTGATAAGCACCAGTGTGCCCCTACAGATCGTGAAAGTTGCAAATATCACTTTCTCAAGCTTTGATTGCTCATTGTATTACAAGATATTTCACATTTCCTCGTCACTGCTCCACGCATCGGGCAGTCCGTCTTGGTGATCGTCCATGGCACGCTCTTTGTCAGGATTTGCTGTCCAGCACAGGATAGTGTGGTCCATTGCACCACTGTAAGCTTCTAGGGTCAAGGGACAGAGCAGCACACAGTTGGCTTGCCCGAAGTGAGCCCCTTTTAGGGAACTGATGCCACCATCATCACGAAAGTCCATAGCAAGCAAACGACGTCCTGATGGTACCAAGATCACTTCGGAAGATATGGCCATCTGCACGGGCCTCCTGGTGGTAGAAGACAAGCAAACATAGGAGTTTACTAAGTTAACTTTAGCATATAAACTGTCTAGCAAATAAAATACCCCAGGGTAATTGTTCTGTTTCAGATTCTGGCAGTATGTGAAAACAACAAGCTGTGGAAGGATGGGTAATTGTTCTGTTTCAGATTCTGGCAGTATGTGAAAACAAGCAGCTGTGGAAGGATGACCGCAAAACAAATAAAAACTACATAGAACAAGTCTTGTCAGAACATGCTAAGGGCATCCATTCAACATTTAAAAGATTTAAATCTTTACATTTATCTCAAAAACACTTTGAGTGAATTGTCTGGAGGAGCAAAGTAGCTAGAGGCAACTAACTCATTGGGCACAATGGCACCAAAGAAGTGAAGTTCACGACGGCGCGCAATGTCCCAAGCTCTGAGACGATTGTCAGCACCGAGGGAAAAGAGCACCAGGCCATCTGGAAGGAAGGCTAGCGAAGTGGCTGCGCCACTGTGGCCCTTCAAAGCCGCGAGGGCGCCTCTGGCACAGCGAATGTCCCAGAGCATCACCTGCATGGAAAGCTTGGCGAGTCACTCCACGGATCAGTGTTGTGGCGCGGTTCCATTTCCCACAGCGAGTGGGTTACAGCCCAAAAACATGTGACAAGAAAGTAGGGCAGTTCCAGATTGTGCCATCTATTCCATGTGTCTGCTTTTTCCCTCGCTGTCGTCTGCTATCAAGGTGACCAAGAGCCTTGACACGAGAGTTATCTCTGTATCTCATCCTTAATTATGATCACTTTTCAATAACACCGGTGGAAAATAAATCATGCATGCCTTGTTGTCCTGAGAGGCCGTGGCCAAGAGGCCGGCAGCCGATGGACTCCAGCGCACAGCTAGCACTTTGCCTGAGTGTCCCCTCAGCTCCTGGCATGTGATGCCGGTTCGAAGGTCGGCCAGGGTGACCCAAGGTCGTCCTGTTCCCACTAGAACGACAATGGCTAAGCATTAGGCTAGGCTCACAAACAGTCTCACACCAACAACATGTCATTTAAGGACAATGGTGAACAGAGAGTCCACACAATGACAGTACCCTAAACCTTTTACTTGCAGATACATTTGGTAAACAAATATTAGCCAATTCACTGCAGGCAATAAGTTCCAAGTAAGCAATAGATTAACCGAGTGACCAAAGTTTAAAGAGCAGCTAGCTTCGACCTCAAGGCTTCTGCAAAACACCCCGTCGCATAGCTGATCTTTTTTGTAAATCAAAGTGGTATAACAATTAGTCATTGTCTTTAAGATGCACAGAAACAAGTCGCCTGGTAGCATCCCAACCATGCCTTGAATGCTAAATCTCCTACCGAATTCCCTTGGTCGTACACGGATTTAGAAGTTCAATCAAACTTATTTCTGTCCAATAGCCACAACCTGCCGATCTTAACCGTTATTGCAGAGCAGTTGTCACCATGTAAGGTGAGTTCCACCTCCAAGCACAGTGTGCAACTCACAAGCAACTATTGTGGGCTGTGCCTCCTCCAGATGGTGGCTGTACACCTTGGCACCCAGTCGAAGGACCTCAGCCACCTTGAGGGCGTTGGCGTCCCACACTCGCAGCTCCGAGTCCATGCCGGAGGAAGTGAAGAGGCCCGTGTCGCATGGGTACCACTGCACCGTGGACACTGCAAAGCGGTGGGCCTCATTCCTGCGACAGACAGCGTCCTTGTCATTACGGCACATCTCACAGACTTTCCCGAGGGGTGTCCATGGTCGTATATGCCAATACGCCACAGCTTGGGGCATGCGGAGTGAAAGCTTGCGTTGCAGATTCCCGGGATTCTGGGCTTAATCCCCACTCCTACCTCGTTTTGATTAGGATGAGAGTCGTACTGGCGCGAGATCATGCATAACTTCTGCGTGATGCACGCATTAAAGACCCCAGGCTAGCAGTCGTACTGCACTGGCAAGAATTATCATCTGCATTGGAGATACCAGGCACCCATTGTGGCTGGCTAACTTCCCAATGCCTGAACATACACAAGCACTCTTGTTACTAAATAAAAAAAAAAAAAAAAAAAAAAGCAACACCACATTGCATTTGTGTTTCTGTGCAAGGTATGATGAGAGAGGCATGACTTCTCCAGTGCTCCCAAGAAAAATTTGTAAAGGAGGGGAACGGAAATATCCTCTCTTTGCTTCGGCACTAATCAAGAAAAAGGCTGTGGAAATGTGATATGTGTGCATTCCTTCGGTTCCAAGTTTTTCAACTGGCGACGAGGATGGGATCAGAGTGATCATGGTGATGATGATGGGAGAAAGACCTGCCTGTCTAATTTGCAGACGACCCGACTGGTACGCTTGACTCGATCGTATTCAGAAAACAGATCGTGGACACAGAGACCGCCGTCGGCTCCTCCCGACAAGAGACTGTAAAGAAAAAAAGTTTTGGCATGATTGAGGAGTCACTTCGTTGTGAATAAAGCTCACTATCTTCCTTCGACGGGGTCCAGGGAGAGACAGTTGACGCCCGAACTGTGCGACTGTTCGAGGTCTTGACACCGACTGAGTTCGAGGTTCTGAAGTCGCCGCGAAGTTTCGGCCGCGCGGAACGCAGTCGGGGATAAGAGTCCGCATTCTAGGTTTCGACGCGCGCTCAGCATGATGATCTTCGGTGGCAGTGGTCACAGTATGCATCGATAAGCTACGGTGATCGCAGCAGACGAAGCATTTTAAACCAACACCTCGATGGTACCCAGTGATGGTACCTCACAAGCACAAAACAAAACCCCACACCAACTTGAAGTTGAAACAGTTGACATTCGCGAGTCGCGACTCGCGTACGATGACGCCATGAGGCCATGACGCTATGACGAAAATGCAAGAGCCATATAGCTCACATCCGGAACCGTGTCTTAAATAAAAAAAATATATTTTTAAACACTTTTTTAAACTAGTCAGGTTTTATCACTTTGTATGAAAGACGCTAATTTAGTAATTTCATATAAAACAACGTTATTTTAGTACAATCAAATGACACCAAGCGCTGCAACATAACGTCCAAAATAAATTGACTTTGTCTTTTTTTTTATCCATTACCATTATTAGTCTTTTCTTGGGCTTGGCTTGGTTTTTCGGCTTGCTGTGCTGACTTGCAAACATGCTTCTCCTTGCTTGCGGACCAGCGCTGTGCATCAGCTGCGCTGTGTACAGATCATCCGTCGCAGCTGTAGGAAGTTCCCGACTTGAGCATGTTAAAAAGCACCAAGGGCTTGACGGACAGACTATGCTCCTTTTAAAGAGCCGTTAGTACCGTTAGCGTCGAAATAACGGCGAGCAGCGATTTCCCGCAGAGTGTTGCCCGAGATCGACGAGGGGATGCTGATTTTTCCTCACAAGGTTGGCGTCGCTTTCATTGATTGCGCGATTCTCGCCGAAGCGCCGGTTCTTTATTCTATATTGTATTTTTTTGTGCGTAGTTGCCTTGTCGTGACTGCTTTGTTTTCGTCATTTTCGCAGCCTGAAGATGTACAGTTTTGAGGGAGATTTCAGGCAGAAACCTGAACAGGCTCTCGGTGGAGCCAGCCGCAAGGTAATCTTGTTAGGGGAACTTCTTGAGTGTACTACGAACTATCGGGGTTTCGATCGTCTTTTGTGCACGCACTGTCTCATTAATACTCCATAATCCATTACCTCACAACGAGAGATATCCCGACGAAGTTTTGGAGATTTAAGGGGTCTTGTCTCTCAAGTCGAACCAGTGTCATCGGAGGTGGGTTGGAAACGTGATTAGAATTGCTCGGTGACTTCAAGAATGTTCTGGAAAATCCTTGTCCGCCTTGTTCCTTCGGATGGCGGTAGATTCAAACCTTCGTGTGCTACAGCTGACAGTGTCTGGCACATTAGCTCCAACATTAGTTGCTACTATTTTTGTCTCAACATCACTGTCGGTTTGTTTGGGGGGGGGGGGGGGGGGGGGGGGGCAGCAATCTGGGAGTTATTTTCACCTTCGTGTCATTCCGGGTGAATGCCCGTGCGCTATCACCTTGTCGACGACGACTGTAACATGCCGGACTCTCTAATTGCGCGGTGTCCCGACTCAAACCTTTCAGGTCTACCGCGATGACTTGCTCAAGAAAAGTGCCCTGCGTCGACAAACCCGCGAGGTGGGTAGATCCCGTCGTTCCTGAAACATAATCTTTAGAGGCATGAGGTGCAAACGGGTTTCCACAACACCCGCAGGAATACCGGAGGCAGCAGCTGGCAGCACTTCGCATCAACGCCTGTGTCCGAGGCTTTCTCAGCAGGCTACACCAGGTCTGTGCATGTCTTTTCCTCATACGTAACACCACTCTTAAAAAAGGAGGTAGCTCCAAAAGGAAAAGAGAGCTTGACAATTGTGTTTCTGTGTTGTTCAAGTTTAATGGCGACACGAGCCAATTAGGTTGAGGAGCTGTGGTTATAGACGGCTGTAAAACGCTATCTTGTCACTCTTCACACATGTAAAGCTCGTGGCAAGTCCTTACAAATGTTCACATTCGTAGAAGCATGGGAGCACTCTGCAGGGAGTGGCGGCATGGCATAGCGGTGGTGTCATTTGTCTACCATGAGCCAACATCACACTATTCGTCGAGCCCTTCGGGGCTCTACAAGTAGTGTTATGTCGCCAAGATGTAGGCCGACTATTTGGCTCTTAATATTATTTTAGGGCTGTTATTTAATGCGTATGTTTTACGGATTTGACGTAAAACTACACGGGAGTCACAGTCACGTGGTTTTCTGAAGATCTCCAACAAAAAGGGTCAAGCAATCAAACGAAGGGGACTTCAATATTTCTCGCCTTGCATTCAGTCCAATTTCGCTCTCAATTGTGCACCGCTTTTTGTAGTTGCAACGGAATGATTCCGTTGGCTGTCCCCGTTTCCACCTTGAGAACCGCAGTGAAGCAAAGTTTGGCTCCTCACGATGTGTTACTGATTTCACCCTTTGTGTGGCAAATTAGAATACTTGTATCTGTATTCTAAATCAGGTATTTGATGTTTTTAAAGGCACGCACATTTCACACGCAAAAATGCATCGTTCCCCCCCTCCCCCGACAGCCAGACCTCATAAGGACTACTTCGCAAGGCATACAAGCCGTGCACAAAGTTAGATTTTCTTCTCAAGGTGACGGGTACAGGTGCAGTCATATCGAGAACACTTTTTCACCACGCGGTTTCTTTTTTGGCCGTTGTCCTTTGGCCACCGAAAACGATCATTTGCGTTTGTCACTCGCTTCAACGATCGTTTCCGCGTCCCTCGGCCGTCGTTCCAGGCTCGCGAGCTGCGACGCGAGTTTGACGCCGCCTCGAGGGTGCCCGGCGACCTTGGGACGCTCCTGCGGTCCCTGGCGTTCTTCTACAACGCCGACCTGGACGGTCAGCGCCTGGTCAGTTAGACACGACGGTCGAAGTTCTACGGCATTTGGAGCGCGCCTTCGACTGGTTGTCGACCGGCGGATGTCGCATTCTCGGCGACGGGGTCTGTCAAGCTGGAGAGCTAACCGCAGCAGAACAGGCGTCTACCACATCCACCGCCGCTTCTGTACCTCCCCCGGGATCACTGCAGGCAGCAGCATGAGACTTTTATGACGCCGTCACACCAGTCGGAGACGCGCTTCATGCACCGTAGTTCCGCCCCTGCGAGGGCGGCTCGTCCAATGGGAGCGCCCGGTTTCTCGCGTTCAGGTCTGGCTGAGCCAGCTGGTGCTGAGCCGCAAGGAGCATGTGGCGAGTCAGGTGGAGGACCCCGTGTGGAGGCTGCGGATACGGAACCTGCTGGCTCTGAACACGCTGTGAGTGGGAGGTCGCCAGGAATGCACGTCATACTCTCTGTCTTCCGAGTTACATGTGTCTACAACGAAAGCTTGCACGCCGGACTACAACTCCGGATGATGTCTGGTTTACACTGTCAGCACTTGTGCAAGCAAGGTTACTTCTGGAGTTGCGCACTCCTCCTCCGGTCAGATTGAACAAAAAACCGCTTTACCAAAATTTTCTAAAAAAAGAAAAAGAGATTTGTATTTGTGTTTTTAAGTGTGATATAGTCTGTTTCAGGTTTCAAAGAGTACTGCAATGAAATTCTAGTGCCTATCTTACTGTCTAAATGTCGACCATGTTCTGGCCACACCGCAGAGACACCAATTTGTGAATGGACATTTGGGCGAGTCGGTAGTAGTTCATAGTGAAAAGCAGCGTGACTCGGACGAGGACGAAGAAGAGAGATACACTGGACGAGCACTTTCGCTCTGAATTGTTTTTAAGCGCTTGTCCAGTGTACAGTAGGCTCGCAATAATTCCAACTCGGATATTTCATAGTTCTGGTTAATTCAAACAAATTTTAAACTTTTGGTTGTCCCGCTATGTTTTTATTATATTCATTAGCCGCTTAATTCTAACGGCATTTTCATGTAATTTATACTTTTTTCTCTTGGCCCCGTTAAAGATTTCCAGACTTTGGTCAAAGATTTCTGGAAGTTGCCCTCTGACACTTCTGAAGTAAAGAACAGAAAACCGATTTCGCCTGCGTGTCCTAGTTGTTGCGTAAAAAAAAGATAAAGATTGGCATTTCGGGCACCCCTCAACTCACTCCCAGCCTTCAGGGTCACACCTGGTCCCCCTCCAGTTGACATCATTCGGAGTGCCGTGTAGCTTCCCGTGTGCTCTCTCGGAGGACGCTTCCTCTCCCTCTCTCCGCTGACATTAGCGGGTTTTATGCTGCAGCTTAGAGCCGAGCGAGGTCACATAATATTTTCTCCGTAGTTCCTTCGGCTGCCACTTGGGGCTGCAGGTGGGGGAAAAAGCTTGACTTTTGCTTTGCAATTATGGAGCGGACTCGCGACATTTTTAATGAAGGAGGTGTTTTCTCTATTCTCCGGGACACGATAAACAACGTAAAAATAACGAGATGCATATTCTTTTAATCATAAAATCGTTGCACCGCCCCTTTAAGTGCGCTTCTTTCCGAGCACCAATGCACTGCAGAGAATCCAAACCCGGGGAGCTTTCTTCCGCTGGTGTTGCTTCTCCTCAGTGCACTGGTGCTCGGTGAGAAGCGCACTCAACGGGGCTCAAGCAAGGGGGCACACTAGCTATGAAAATGGGCACCACGCAGAAATTTCCATAGCAACTTGCGCGGACGCTGTGACGTGGTGGCATGGCATAGGTTTGCGTCACAGCGTATGCGTAATTTGCTATGAAAACTCGTGCATACCCCGTTTTCATCGCTCGTGTCCCCCACTTAATGGTTCACATTAGACAACTTCTTGTCCTGATGAACAAGCTCAATTTTGTTTTGAGTTGTCATGCACTGTCTAAACAGTCCACGATAAACAACATTTTTGAAGGATAAATAAACTTGCGTCATACTACGTTTTACACATGTTTCATGTGTAGGCATATCTGCTTATGATCAATAGGCCTTTATAGAGAAAAGCATCAAATATTTTCTTTGTATGTTGCAAACCATAATTTTATCTTGCATCATATTTTGATGAATTTCGGATAGTTCTAACTTCTGATAATTCAAACAAAATTCGTGGCTTCCTGGAGTTTGAATTAATGAGCGTCTACTCTATCTCTCTTCTTTGTCCTCATCCCTGTCGCACTGTTTTTCATCAATTTTTGTTTGAAGAGACACTAAATCATTATTTAAAACGAATAAACCGATTCTTGAATATTATTACGTTGAACTTCCCTTAAGAGCAGGGCCGCTCCGCGGGAGTATGGACGTCGCGCTTCGAGGATACGTAGGCTGTCAAACTCTGCCGAACCGAATTTCCCTTCTCTCTTGCACCTTTCCAAGTACTGCAGGGAGCCTCAACAACCTCTTAAAATCTTTTACGAAGAGAGAAGACCCTGGTGCCATCCGTCGAGTAGCTGTGGGACACCTTCAGTTTCCGCGTATTTCCCATCTTTTTCAAGCATCGTCCTTTCTTCCTTGGCTCGAAAAACATTTGACAGTGTGTTAACCAACCGTTTTTCATAGATGGTACGCACATTTTCCCTCGCAAACACCGCGAAACCTTCGCTCTGGTGAAATGCGGTTCCAGGGTCACCTCATAGATGGCGACGGCGCGTCATCTCGTCGTAAGAGGTCGCAAGAAAACTCGGTCGTGAAGTGTATGACGGGGCCTTCAGACGCGAGCGCGCTAACCATCGTTAATCCAGGCTGGATTCCCCGCAGGGCGCTGGCCCGCGAGGGTCACCCGACGGGCCCGTCGCTCCGAGTGCTCGAGGTGTTCGGCTCACCCGAGACGTACGCCAGCGGCGGGCGCATTTCGGGTGACACGGCGACGGCGCTGTGCCCGTGGCTACAGCAGCTGTGGCTCCACTTGGCGCAGCGGTGCCACTTCTACTCGCAGCTGCGCAGGCTCCTGGCGACCAGGGTTCCCGATCCCGGCCCCAAGGAGGAGGGCACGCCTCAGGTCAGGCCTCGGCGACCTTGCACGTTTGGCGTTGAGGATAGAGATAGACCGAAGTTCTGACCGATTTGAACGATTTGGGGATGTTGGAGAAACTGACATACGTGTGCAGTCCAGGCACTTAAAAATATTTTAAAGTTCAGTGTCCCTTTAAAGACGGGGTCTTTCGTACACCTTAGAGGTAACATGGAATATGATATTTGTTAAAAAAAGCAGTACTGATATTTGTGTGTCCTTGCTGCCTTTTCTTGCCAAGATAATTTTCATGTAAATAATGAACTGCAGGACTTTTAATGGGTTTGGGGGATTTATATGAGTAATTGTTTTTACATTATTTTAGCACAATAATAATAGAATCACTTCAAATTTTACAAAATATCGCCACCGTTAATGAGTTTAGAATATGTTCACAAAACATATAAATTAGGAAATGCTGTTTTAGTTCACAAAAGCTCAAAGACGGAATCCGAGTCAGACATCAGAAGTGTGTATGTGTTTTTAAAGCAATGTGTGATGCATTGGGCTGTATTTTACATCCAGTGTCTGAATGTTTGTCTATCTAGAGAACGATGTCAGAGTTCTCCATATGCTAAAAAGAACACAAAATGTGACCTTTCTGGAAAGATTATGGTTAAAGGGTGCATTTTTCTGATCGTGGCGTTTGTTGGGGTTGAGTGCTCCGCATGGCGAAGACGCACATGCAGAGCACTCAACTCTAACGCAAACGCACAGCGCTTGCATTTGCTTCTATACACAATACTAAAACTGTCTAGTAAGGTACAATGCCATACTGGCTGCAGCACTACATTGGGACAACGAAAAGTGCTGTTTGCACTTTTTCGGGCAGCGGTTCTCCTGCTGCCCGCTCAGCAGGAGAACCACGGGACCCTCGCCAGAGCGCTTCCCATTTCTGCCGTGGGAGGGCGAGCAACGAGCTGGAAACGCGAATAGAAAAACCAACCAGGCACAACGAGCGAGCGTAAGAATCGACGAAAAGCTATGCTGGGAGAAGCAAGAAAGCCGACGATCGCGTTGGCAAATAGTTTGGTGTCAGGCCAAGTCGGGTGCCTTGTCATTCACAAGGAGCAGGCTCTCATGCAGCTTCCTTATTTGATGCATATATGCGTGCGTCCGTGCGCGGCATGCTATCAACACTGGTTGAAGCTGCGTGGCGTGGACGGCACCACGAACACGGAGCTTGAAATGGGACGTCTGTGTGCGGTGTTGCAGCAAATCTTACTCGCTGGCTTTGTCTGAATCAACCTTTACCACTTGTGGTTGTGACGCTCCGAGTGGAGCTGGTTCACGGTGACCTTATTTTAATGAAGACGGACTTTGACCATACACCTTTGACCTTACACTCCGCAGTTACATTCCAGGATATGGGGCGTTCACTGACCGCGCAATCCCTGAATGGTTGCTGCTTGCGTTAGCTTTCCAACTTTTTTTTTTTGTCTCTACAAACTTTTTTGTAAGAACTATAACAAAGTTTCATTCTGTTATCTCCATCATTTTTCTTTTGCACGTATGTACCTTGACTTCGGGGTCGTGGAAATCGGGAAGGAAATCCGCAAACAAAATAAAGCGTCTTTCCCTCCTTCGATTTACTTTGTCACGCACGTTCTCCTATCATGTCTGCGGCTGCGTCATTCTGGCAGGACGAATGTTCACGGATCGCAGAGCCCGCGTCGTGGTATTTGTAGGGATAGGCGATCATTTGATGTTTTTTTGGAAATCAATATTCTGCCAAAAAGTGGGGTGGGCAATAACTCGGAATATTACGGTAATCACTGACCTTAAGGGTAGGTCTACTTACTTGATAAGTCTTTCACAGTTTCCCAGTTGCAAGAGTTGTTGCTACGAAATGTAGGTCACTCGCAGTGTTTGCACATGAAGATCAAATATACCAGTTTTTGTAGTTGCAAAGACTTCGTGCTTTTCCGTGCAGGCCTCGACACCGATGGCACAAGCACTGGTGGATATCCTCCTCCAGCCATTGAACTCCTCGGTGGCCGGCGGCAACGAAGGCGACTGGTATCGCCGCAAAATCCTCGAATCTTTACTTGCCGGGTTGCTGGGAGACTGTCCTCAGGCAAGTTGGAACACGCTCGAGTCGCTGAATGCTTCTAGAGTCCGGCACTCTCGCCGCACGTTGTGAAACAAAACGGAGCTCGCTTATTGGGTGTCTGTGGCCACCGACGGGCTGTCGTACACAGACGTCGGATTAATCTCCTGTTATTGCGGTGAGGCGTTGTCATTCATTTTGCTTTTAACACCTGCCTTTTTCTCGTGAAACAAGAAAGAAATGTTTTCCCAGGGCAGAAGGGGCTTCTATTTTGCCTGACTCTTCAAACAATGCAGCACCAGTCACCCTGACTCTTCTCCTTTGTCATTCGCGATGTTTTAAGTAGTGGTCATTTGCATTCTAGCTAAAGATGGCTCTCTTATCTGCTTTCTTGAGCGTTCAAGATAACTTCTGTCAAAACTGTCAGTAACAACCTAAAGCATGGCACAGATGGCTAATTCTTCAGCTACATGGGTAATTGCATACACTGGCATCTTGAGAACTCGCATCCACCATTTAGTCTACTTTTTGCGTACGCAGGGAAGTAACTGACGTACGCCGCCGGCCAAAAGAAAGACGTCACAACAGCTTCTTGTGCAGTTCTTTGGCCTCTGCTGATCAGAAAAGCAAAATTTCGCGTGGCTTAAGACCTTCCGTCAAATGCAAAGAAGGTACAATAGCCTTTGACGGGTTTCTGACGAGTGGTGCTCGCTTTTAGAATTTAGTGAAGATTTGTCCCCGCTAAATTTGGCGGGAAAATTGCGACATCACATGACATGATGTCATGACATCATGTGACTGTGACACTGATCTTGTGACACCATAGATCACATGGCACCGTGAAGTCATGTGATAATGTGACGTCGCGCATCATGTATTGCTGACGTCACCTGACAGCACGTGACACTGTGACGTTTTGCGGTCTAACCAACACGAGTTACAAAGGACCACGGTAAATAGAATGAAACCACTATCAACCATTGCTTTAAGAGGGCAACCAGTCTCGGCCATGAGCACAACCCGTCTCGTCTCACCAGGTGGTGCGACTGGTGTTGCCCGCGCTAGAGTCTCGGTGGCCGGTGCCGGGAGAGCCGTTCCTGAGGGCGGTGCTGTCGCTTCCTCCGTCGGCGTGGCTGCTCCAGGCGCTGGTGCGGCTCTCCAGCCCCCGGGAGCCCCTGTTCCTGCCCGCAGTGGCCCACCTCACACCCTGCCTAGGCCGGAAAGGAACGGTAATCTACCCTCGCTCGGCCGCGTATCAAACTCTACGGCATTTTTGAGTGAACCCTCCGCACCTTTTATGTTGCGTCTGCATGCCGTAGCGACCGAAGCAGGCGGCACGCACCTCTTATACACCTAGTTCAATTAGGCTTACAGGGGATAATACGCCCAACTTATGTGGTAAAATTTGTTAGCTTCTGAACGGTAAATACCGTTACCGAGTGCTTTTTTATGCTTATGCAGTCGAACCCAGATATATTAAATTCAAAGGGAATCGTAAAATAGTTTGATATATCGATACTTTGATATACAAAAATTTGAAATTTCCGCGCGTCTCTGCTAATACCGAAGGCCGCGGCAAACGGAACCTTACCAGATAGAGCCACTAAGAGCCGCTTAATACAGTAGAGCTTAGTTGGCGAAGATCAAAAACACCGAGGCGTTTACGCGGCCGTGTTTGCGATCGTTTACGCCTGGCCACGACCTCCACACAGCGCCAGCAAGAAAATAATTTAAAAAATGAAAGAATGGAAAAAGCGAGCCACATAAAGAGAACTCTCAATCCATATAATAAAATTAGGCAAGCAACAGAAAAGAAACCTCACTAAATTCAGGCAGCAAAAAAAGAAAAAAACGGGCAAAGCAAAAACGGCCAAAGGAAGAGGTAAACAAAGACAAGGCGTTCAAAGTGCGATTGCTCAAGCGTTGTTGTCAACTCATCACACTCAACTTGGCGAAGACTTTTTTTTTTTGGCTTTCAGCGGCGTTTGGAGAAAAAGCGCACGCTACCATTCCCAGCAGCGGGCACCCCCTGCCCTCCCTACGCGCGCGTGCCCTTCCCCTTGTTTTTTCCAGCCTCCTTTTTTTTTTTTTTGTTTTACAACTGCTCTTCTGCTAGGTATCCCTGTGCACGTATGCTGGCTTGGCGGTCTGCCAGCCCCGCAACGCGAGCTATGTGTTCGCTGCCGGTGCAATCTGACCCTTGGGGAAGCCACGGGCCCAGTTCACTATGTCGAGTGTCCCCGCTGTGGAAGTTCGATACAGAAAAACAACGCTCCTATATTTTTACGTGTGATTTTCAAGAGGATGTTTGGACTGTTCGGTATAAGCAATAATTCGAAATACCCGGGTGTGATATAACCGGGCTTGTCTGTATACATATCACGTACGTCTATCGCGATAGTAAGAGAAAAAGTCACATTTTTCGCAAACAATCTGCGAACAAACGAAAGTGCTAGCTGTAGCAGGGTCGCGCAATGCGGGTGGATCAGTGCCGTCACGTATTTGAGGACGGAGGTGCGACGGGGTTATTTCTCATAGCCGTCGTGGTTGGCATTGTGGATACCACTGACGACCACCACCAGTGTTTCATGGAGTAGGTGGGTAAGTGCGGTGGAAGTCTCTAAAACAATCCAGCATTGCGTATAGCAACTGGATACTGCCAAAGTGAGATTTTGCATAACGCGAAGAATGTTTGGAAACGAGTCTTTTAAGCAGACGGCACGAAGGTTCTTCCTTCGTTGCGCCACGGCCGAGGAGAAGTTCCGACTTCCCTTTCCTTTTGCCAAGAGGGGAGAGAAAAAAAGTTTTTTTCCTTCACGCGCGCGGCGACGACGACCCACTTTGCAAGGTGTCGCCCGTAAAGTTATCGCTTTAAAACAATTGAATTGCTGTAATGCTATGACAACAGTCCTTGGTTGGTCGCTGAAAGCCCCTTCCGCTGGAAGTATATACGGTTAGATCAAAAATTGTGTGAATTGGTTTCAGATATGATAAAAAAACTTTTTGGTGTCGACGAAAAATATTTTTAAAATTTCAACAGCTGTTCCTGAGCAGTTTACTTCGTGGATGGCAGATCGAATTCAAATACGATATTTCGCGGACACGCAAGTTAATATTGTCTCTGTCCTCGCAGCTCGTTTCTGCGGGGGGTGACATGGAGGACGGGGACTTGGGAGAGATGTTGGACTCCAAGGACAGCAACGGCCAGACGGGACAGGAGCAGACGCTGGCCGAGGAGGTGCTGGAAGACGCGCTGGCACGTCTGGACAGCCCCGAGACGGTCTCTGTGCTGGTGGAGGGTCAGCCCCACAACATGGAGCCCCTGTGCCAGCTCGGCTGGGCCCTGCTCCTGATGAGGCCCATGGCCCTGCACGAGTGCCGTCTGCTCTACACGCTCGCCTTCATGCCGAGCTTCCTGCGGCGGCTGTGGCTGGCCCTCTGCGACGCGCGGGCCCCTTCGCTCTTCACGTGAGCGGAAGTCCGGCACTAGGGAGGCTCTAGGGAGGGTGGGCGCTACTCAAAACGTGGAGAGCGTTTGCAATTTGATGGCGGCGCCTGAGGGGGAGGATTCGAGAAAGGATATGCGCCAATCTTGCCTGCACGAGAGCAGGCGCCCGCTCTGTTGCAACTCTGTTGCTCCATGCGCCTTTCCTCCTCTCGCCTCCCATTGCAAGCAACGAATGCCTTGGTGCAGCCTCTCACGCTTCCTTCTCGCTCCGAGAATTGCAAACGTCGAGAGACGAAAGCAGGGTTGCCAGACAAGCAGCAACGTCCAAGATGGTGGAATTTACCATTTTTCGCGTTAAAAAAATACTTAACCTATCCCAACAAAACTGGTGGCTATGGAAACATAATCATTTATACCTTGCGTAAATTATTCAAGCACCTTAATGGGCTCTTATGACCCGAGTTAGGAAATAAAACGACCCTTTGCCCCATAGACTCCCAGCAAAATTTAGCAATTAAATGGCGTCCATGTCCCGTGATCCCCGATCTAGCAGTTGCACCCACCCTCACTTGAGCCTCCCTATCCGGTACCTTGTGCCGTGTTGCTCGCTACGGCAAGGTTTCCGTAACACACAAAACAGAAAATTACGGCAATGTTTTCGTAACTAAAGAAACGTGGAAATTACTGCAAATTTTCTGTAACAAAAGAAAAACGAGAAATGAATAAAAATGTCCGTAGGCAAAAAAAAAAAGGGAAAATCTCGGTAAAGTTTTTGTAACGGAGGAAAGAGAAAACTGCCACAATGTTTCAGTAACGAAGAAAACTGAGAATTACTAAAAGCATCTGTAATAATAGAAAGGGGAATTACCGTAAAAATAATTTAAACGGGGGAAACGGGAAATAATTTCGATGTTTCAGTAACGGAGAAAGCAGAAATTTGTTGTTTTTTTTTTGCTTGCTGGCTACTTATTTTCTATTGTGGCACCTCGCGTCACATTGGTCGTTATCGCAAAGCTTGTTGAATGGATAGAACGAGAATTACGGTGTAGATTTTGTGACGGAGGAAACGGGGAAAACATATGTTTCTTGCCGAAGGCCCAACCACGTTGGACATTCTTCATGCGCTTCGTCCGTATCAGCGTTAGCGTGCGTTGCTCCGTGCTCATGTCAGTCCCGGGTAGATCGTGGCGACGACCCTCCCGCCACGTTTTGGATGATCTCGAGCGATGTGCAACAACGCCGACACTGGCACAGCGCGTGAAAAGCGGCCCCTTGTGGTCGGGGCTTGGGGAGCCGCTCATTTTAGGTTGCGGCAACTTCTGCCGCATTGCCCATTATGGCAAAGAATCCCCTAGGAAACAAACGGGAGCTACGGATTTTATATTGCAGCACCTTGCGCTGCGTTGGTCATCGTAGAAAAGCTTCTGTAATGGAGAAAACTAGAATCCACGGCGAAGTTTCCAAAATAGAAAAGACATGAAATTGTATTTGTTTTTTCTTGAAAACTGTGAATTCTATATTGTGGCATTTTGCTTTCAGTTTCAGTTTTTTTTTTGTGTTTTTTCGAGGAGGGAGGGGAAGGGACTTTGGAAAGGTCCTTGGCGCTAATGGCAAACGCTGTAGCCTGACACGGTCACCAGCGAAATAATGAAAGAAGAAAGATTGCATGAAATTAAGGCCGTAGTGTATTTTTCGATTAAAGTGAACTCTTTTGTTTGTTGTGGTAAACACAGTTGGTGACTTTTTACAGTGAAGCTGTTAAGAGCTAGTTTCCCCAGTTTCGTGTCCAATACGAAACAAATGTCGACACAAAACTACACAAAACTCTGGACAGCTACTGCCATCTATGAGCGGCGGCGGCAACTAGGCTTCCCATCTGGTTGCCGCCGTCGCTTATAGATGGCGGCAACCTTTCCAGGCCTTTCCGTCGAGGTGCGCGATGGTTCGGTGGTCACCATCGTGTACGTCCCCCCCGCGGTGGCCAAGAGAGACATTGAAGCATTCACGACGGACGTCTTCGGCTGGGTCATGCTCGGCGATGACACGTCTGCCGTAGTGACGGGTGGTGTTAACGTTCACACTGCACGCCAGGAGGGAAGTGGTTCACTTTGTTTATGCTCGAGCGCTTCGGGCTTGCGTGTGTGAACGAACCTACGGTGCCCACGACCAGGCATCGGACGTGTATAGACCTCGTCTTCACGAAGAATGTGCCTGTGGTTGTGTACCACAGCGATCACAAGGCCATGGTCACTGTGGTTACGAAATAAATAACAGCTCCGGATCGTTATATATATATGTCCGATTCTTTTAATCGTTCTAATTTCCCAGTCACACCTTAATCCTTACTTTTATAAATACTTCATTCCCACCATAGTACAGCTTCGCTGGTCTTCCTTCTATGCCAGAGTAGAAAGGCTAACAGTTTTTATTGCATGGGCACCATGTTACGAAATTTCGGTGAGGTGGCTTTAGTCTGGGGATGCAGGAAATTACGCCCATGAGTGGTGTTTGCTGTACGAAAGTTTCTATCATTATGACTGCTAGGCATTCATCCAGCAACCATGAGTATTTTAATTGCTATTCAAATATCGCTGTACTCAATTCACACTTTGAGTTGAAGAGTTGCTCTGCTATTAAATGGCTGCCGACATTTTCTAATAACTCGGAATAGTTCGGCATCTTTTATTCCGGCCCATTTTAGTTCCGTCGAGCATGCTCAGGAACCTGGCAGAGTGGCGCCGGCGATGGCGAACACGAAAAAGTCATAGCCTTGTTTTCATACCTGTTACAATTTCGCTATAAAAACTAAAAACCTTAACGAATAGCATAATGGTGTGTTGGAATTGCTCCACCGACCGGCCGTCCACAGAGATTTTGTCGTACAATCCGCAAAGCGCGAGCATTTAGATTTGAGAGCCAGGGTCGTGACGAGCACGCATATCCTTGGCGTCGGTTCTCGCCCGCAGTCCCGGAGGCACCCCTCTGCTGCAGCTCCTGTCGTCGGGAGTGTGTCCTCCGGGCGACGTGGCCAGAGGCTTTGCCTGCCAGCTCAGCCTGTTCTGCAGCCTGCTGGCCCACCTGCTCCCAACCCTGCACGACACAGAGTTCTACGAGTCGCAAAGTGAGTGCACCCCTCGTCGAGGACGCTACGGCGGAGAGAGTGAGGGCAAGCATCGTTGCTACTGTCCCTAGTTCTTTTCACGTGGCTTTCTCTCGTCGTACTCTGAGCTTAGAGATTGTGACTCAGGTGAACAAAGTGCACTAGTCGATGGTTGACCAGTGACAAAAAAAAAAAGAAGCGGGCCTGTGTTTTTGTGGTGCTTTGCTGCATACTGCGTTTAAATGCGATAGCATTGCTTGTCTTTTATGAAGATTATGCAGTGTAATCTTGTTGATACGATTTTCGCGGGAACTAAAAATAAAACGAATTATCTGAATACCGTATTATCCAAAACGGGCTCCAAATGGTCACAAAATAAAAGTGGTGAAAAACAAAAATTACGAGGACACCTAAGCACTACTTATGAGTTGTGAATGCAAAAGCTTGAATGTTGTTCTTCCGCTCCCTTAGTTTGTCTGTGGCGTACTGGCGTGAACGGCCACGTTTCGCTACTGCTGAGGTAGCAGCCGATGTCCGAGCACGTGTTCGTGTGAAGTGGCCGCGCCGTGCTGAGCTCGGCCGTGCAACTTCTCCAGAGTTGGCCCGTGCGAGCTGTGCAGCCAGGCATGCACCTCTTAGCGGCGGCCGGGCCGCTGCGTGCACTGCGCCGCCATGGAGCGGGCTTTTCTAGTCGCGTTCCTTGGAACTATGCCACACGAGAGCCAATGGGATCCTCATTCCTTGAAACTACGGCGTGCGCCAGCCAAGGGGAGCCTATCCATCAGATTTCTGTTGCAGACGACAGGCTTCGCTTCACTGGGACGGGGGAAGGTGCCGTTTGGCGCGGCTTCAAAAGCTGATGACAATCGTTCACTCCATGGGACAGTTAATGCTTTCGCATACAAAATTGCTACAATCCCATAGGCTGTGCAATACTGCCAGTAATGTAATGCCCCCGGGATAGGCCTACTTATTAATGCGAAATCATTAACTGTCCCATGGAGCGGAGCCGGCGTTGTCCGTAACCGCGAAAAACGGCAGAGAAATTCCCTCCGCGGAACGGCTCTTAAAATGGCTGGGACGCGTAGCTCCAGGGAACGCCACCCCACAGAGAAGCCCTCTCAGCGCCGGTAAGAGAGAGAGGATGGCACTCGCGCGATTGCCCCGGAGGCCCAGAGGGTGGGGGGAACACTGTATCACGTGTTCTACTCTCTGCTTTCACCCATGTCCCGCCCCACTCCCGCCACCGCTGCGGCAGCTTCTGCTCCTCTCGTCGCCAAGGGCTCCAAGGAGTGCTCATCGGCGTTCAATTGCATGTTTATGCTTTCGCATTCACAACTCGTAAGAAGTGCTCGGGTGTCCTCGGAAGTTTTATTTACAGTAATCCCTCGTTATAATGAAATCGCTTTTTTAGAATTATCGCTTTTATTGAAGTTCAACGTGGTTCCGAGTGAAATGCATGCATTTTGAAGTGGATTACTCGAAGTGCATCTGCGACCCACCACGTTTATTACGAAGGCCGCGGTGCCGGAAGCATGCAAGCCTATGCGGAGGTGCACAGAGACCCTTGCGTTCCCCCCTATCTTTACCGAGGCAAACTGGGAAAACAGCAAATAAGAAAATGGAGCAAACGGGTGACAAAGGGCAGAGCGCCGCTTCCGACGCTAATGCGCCGACGCGAGCAGGGAACAAAGAGGAGCAGCGTTCATATTCTGACGCTGCCCAACTCTTGGCGAATCGGGTCAAGGGAGCGATGGAACCGATGGAGCTTGGAGGAGATCATCCCTTTCATCCCTTCGGGAGTCCCGACGCGCGCACCTGCGGCATACACGCACGCGTGCATCGTATGGAAGAGGGAGTGTTTACCAAAAGTTGCTTAGATCTGCGAAGTTAAAAAAAGTGGCTGGTCCAAGTCTGAAATCGCCAAAGAATACAACATCCCGGCATCGGCTGTTCGACACTGTCCGCAGTTTTGCAAAACAAACAAGGCATATGGAACAGGTTCGAGAAGTTTCTCATGCAAGAGAAAGCGCGCCCACTACCCGAAGATGAAAAATCGCCAACTGCTTTGCGCATGTCAAATCTTCTCTCGCGAGCACGCTTGCAAAGTTGGCGCATGATTCCCTGAGTTGCAACGATTTCTACAGGAGTGTGTGAAAACATGTTGGCGAAGTCACTGAGGGTAACTTTGATTTGTTCGTGCTTGTCGATGCGGACATTCTCGTTGTTGCTCCTGCCACGGATGCCGCGATCCTTTACCTTGCATGCGGTCTGGTAAACACAAAGCGTCATCGTTGAGGCTGCTCCTGAAATGTCGACGACTGCCGAGACGCAAAACATCCTATGGCTGCTTCAAAACAAAGTGGAGTGACGCGGCGGTGACAGCGTTCTTGCAATGCCTGGAGCAGTTTGAGGAGAACTGATGCCTGTATGAAAGTATCGGCAAACTCCACTTAATAATTTTTTTACTCGGCAAAGCTTTCGTTTGTTGTTCATAACCAAGGTTTGTTTGATTAAATATATGGTCAGTGTTCCTCAGTGTTCCCGTCCACCTTCAAGGCTGCTGGTGCTGTTTTGCTTTGCTTTATTGCTTTTATCGAATTACCGCTTATATCGAATTTTTTTTGCCGTCTCGTTGACTTCGGTATAATGAGGGATTACTGTATTTATTTTTTTAAATATTACCTTGAAGTTGCTTTTAAAGTGCAGCTCTTAGGCGCCCGTTTCCGGTTTGAGCGGCGTTGGCTTCGCCGTCGGCGTAATTGCGCTTGCCATTATGGGAAATGTCCCATAATGCACTGCGCGGGACCCTTGCGACGTCACGTGTGACGTCACAAAGGTCCCGTGCGGTGCATTATAATGTCCCATAATGCACCGCGTGGGACCCTCGTGTGACGTCATGAGGGTCCCGTGTGGTGCATTATGGGACATTTCTATGATGCAACATGCGGGGAGGAGGAGAAGGGGGACGGGAGGAGGAGTGGAGGGGAAAGAGGGAAGGAGGAGGAAGGAGGAGGGGAGGAGCTTGGAGGATGAGGGGAGGAGGATCGGAAGAGGAGGGGAGGAGGAGTAGCAGGGAGGATGAGGAGGAGGGAGGAAGGGTATACCCTCCCCTCAGTACTCTTCCCTCCTCCTCCTCAAGAGCTGCGCTTTAATCGGCGTTACAGGGTGTTGTAAACGTCTCATTTTTTTCGTTTATATATTTGGCACTGCTCTTCATATTACGTGTCGAAGTTGCGGCGGTTTTTCGCGGTAGTTACAAACAGCCGCCACGTGACTACCACGGTCATAGCATGACCTCCAGTCATGCGGCGGCTGGCCGTAACGTGACTTTAGCTGTGACTGCCGCTGTTACACAACAGGTTGTTCGTGGCTTATTGCAATGCAGTTTTTGCTAGTAGACTGGAATATAAATGTATCACTTTTTAATATCCTTCAAAACCCTCTTCTGCAGTCGTAATATCCGATTTGAAGCCAAGATATGATTCTATTTTCATATCAAAATACACTGCTTTTGTGGGATGATGGCTCGGAATGAAAAGAAAAACATGTTATATAGGAAAATGTATTATGTGGGATCGTATCGACAATGTTCCACTGTATTGAGCTGATTAAGTTGCGATGACCCCTATGGCAGATAACTAGGCATCAAACATCCACACATTTTCATTCAAAAGATTGAGGTACACCTAAGCATTCCTTATGAGTTGTGAATGCGAAAGCATGCAAGCCGCTCGTCCGCCCCCTTTTTTGTCTGCTGCATACTTTTTATCGCCGGTCGGCACATGTGCTCCCCTGGTGACCTTTGACGCTCCGTGCTGGTGAACACGCAGCGCCATGGGGTGAGCGGTCGTGGAAACTGACGAGCGCAGCGGCCAATGGGAGCCCAGTCGACGCGCACCAGTCAATGGAACCGAAGGAAACTATCTGCCGTTTTTGCGCTTCAGACTGATGACGTCAGCTCGCTCCATGAGACAGTCAATGCTTTCGCATTTAAAAAGGTGGTCATAGTCAGCATGTTGCTGCTTCTGTTCAGCTGTCTCCTCTTAAAAAGCAACTCCGGCCAAAACTCAAAATGAAGTAAATTACTGGTATCGCTGTAGTGACACAAAATACGACCCCAGCCAAAATATTAGGTCCGTGGGACGCCGCATTCTCATCTAATGCCGATAATAAAACTTGCTACCCGCCGGGAGCCGCTGCTTCTTAGCGGGCGGCCAGCGGGTTGCCGATCGCTAAAGCAACATTGGGCCGTGACCTCAGTATCGTTCTCATTTTTTTCCTCCGGTCCGAGTGTTGCGCGGAGTGCGCTTCTTTGAGCCGCTACCACCGCTACTTCGGCTTGTGATTGGCGTGTTTAGTCCTTGATTTTATCTGTAGCCCGTGTAGCTTCGGTATAGCCTTGTGCTTATTTGCTTGTGAGGACTCCAAGACTCCTTTTAGCGAGCAACTCGGTGCTCCCAAGACTGCCCAGCTGTTCCTCGAAAGATGCCAAGTGCAACTTGCAGCGCTGTGGGCTGCTCAAGCAACCCGCTGCGCAACACGGAGGTGCTTTTTCACAAGTTTCCAGCGGACCGGAAATTGGAGAAGGTGTGGGTGAACGCTGTTCGACGAGTGGACTGTGGACTTCGACTTTTACGTGCCTGTGGAAAAAAAGAATGAAAAAACAGATGTGTACAGCCCAGCACATGTGTGTTCGGGCACCGCGGCCCGCGCCGAAGAGCCTCAAAGCTTCGTGTCTGGGACTGACACGCAGCTCGAAAGCGCGAGGGCCCCCAGTACTGTGCGTCACTCACGCCGCTCCATCCATGTAGACCCGATGACAATTTAGGCCTAGCGACGAGTACGGAAGACTGGACACACGGCGACAGCCGCCGAGTACGTCACCGAACGAGTTCACTCGTTTTCCAGTCGCTAGCTTTTGGGTATACAAGCGACGAGTACTGCATAGCGCATGCACGGCGGCGGCCACGGAGTACGGCACCGTACGAGTTCACGGGTTTTCCAGTCGCTAGCTTTTGGGTATACGCACTAACTTTTGCTACATATGCTGGATAACTACCATGCATACAGAATTAAAACAAAATCAGCTTACCTCCTATCTTTAGACGGCTAGCGCAACAGAGGTAGGTGCCGCTCGGGTTGAACGAGAACGATCCTGACGTCATGTTCACATGGCGGCTGATTTCCAGTGTTGCCGGGGCCTCGAGCGGCTAGTTTCAGTTTTGTTGGCCGCGCCCCAAACAAAACTTTGAGGCGTCGATATCTTTAAAATTACGCACAATAACGAGAAAAAAATTACACCTTGCAATTCAGGGACGCTGACTGCACTAAAAACAGTCATAATCCCAAAATCAAAAGTATGAACCGGAGTTGCTCTTTAAGTACGCCCCTTCCCCCTGTGAAAAATTGTAAAGGCAGCAACGCATATAGCAAGCGCTTTGTCCCGCAAGCCATGCGCACGCATGATAAGGAGAGGAAAACGGCACATAATAACTATAGCTTCGCGAGTCTCTTCCTTGGCTCTGTGCTTGAGTGTAGGGTTCAAACCCTTAAGGTCTTGGGTTTGATCTTCTTTGGAGGACGACGTGCTTCGTGTTGCAGAAAAGATTTTCCAAGGGAGCTTACTCAAAGAAATGGTATCGCGTTTTCACCAGTGCAGAAACACACATGCGCAAGTTGAAGGACCATACAGACATAGCACTGTACTCCTTCAACTTGTCCTTGTGTCTTTTCGTGCTGCTTTGTTTTTTTCCTTTTTTACACATACCTTGTCTGGACCCGTTGCTTTGGCAGTGATTAATGGCGCGAGCGGGAACTTGTCTCGCAGCCGTGGGAGACCCGATGCCCTTTTCGCTGGACCAACTGGTGGAAGTGAGCGGCCAGCTGCGGACCCTCTGCTTGGGACTCTTGGAGCTCTGCTTTCCAGAGACGCGGACAAGTTTCTCGGAGCGCCAGAGCCAGCTCGTGTCCGAACTCTGGAAGCCGATGTTCAAGGTAGTTGAAGATCTGGCCCGTGGCCTCGGGAACTAGGGATAGGGCTACTCGGAACATTCAAAGCAGAATGCTTTTATGCACTAGTTTACAAGTCTAGAGTGTCACGTTGCGTCTCAGTGATGCTCCGTGGTGTCATGTGACGGTGCCGTGTGATGTCACATTACACCGCACCGTGGCATTGTGCGACGGGGTCACATGACCACGTCTTGCTGATGATGTGGCATGATGTACGACGGTCGCAGGGTTGGTGAACTATACAGTGTGCACGTTCGTCTGCTCTTTATGCACCTTGTGCGTTTGCTCATTCTCCAGATGTGCCCTCGTGCTTTTGTTTCCCCCCAAGTGATGACGCACACTTAGCTACCTAGTCATCGCACATTTTTACGCTTTCTCTATGTGGCCCTTTGATTGGCAAGCCCCTCCTTGTGTTCCGACGGGCATACATTTTGGAATACTCGCTTGCCGTATAGGTCGCATGGTCAGATGATCGCGTGACGTGAAGTCAGGTCGCACAACCTAGCATCCATCTATCGCGTGACATCGCATCAGATTATGTCACGCCACGTCCCTGGGCCCGCAATATTCGAACTGTACATGCAGGTTGGGCTTTATCCGTAGAGACAATGTGACCAAAATTTCTGATAAACATGTGACGTTTCCCGGTCACCCTTTATGCAGCTCTTAGGCTTTACTCGACTTTTCACCATCCCAATTCCAACTGTTGCCTTCGCACGTGTCCTACCGTCCACAAACCCTCGCACCCCGCTCTCCTCCCCGGTGCTTCCCTCTCCCCCATTCCCCATTTCCCTAGCTCCAATCTCCCTAGACCCTCACAAACGTAGGGCGGACGTCCTTTCGAGCCATTCGTTGACAGTCCCTTCGACACGCAGGCTGCGGTGGCGCTCGTGCGGCAGCTCTACGCCCGAGATTCGCGGCGCTCCTTCTGCCCCGAGGGCCACTGGGTGTCGCCCAGGGCCAACCAGATCTGCCCCGAGCGGGTGAGTTCTCCGTCCCGACCCCGACCGTATGTTTCCTCAGGTTCCGACCAACGGTGGCCGCGCTCTGTTTCAGGTGCCCGACTGGAACCTGCAGGTACCTCGATTGGCCAGCTGCGGTAGCGTGGCGTCCAGGAAGCAGCTCGGTCAGTGGTTTTGCGTTTCGTGCACTCTTGCCGGCGGATTCGCAGCATTCTCTCGATGAGAGTCGCTTTGACAGGTCGTGCTCGTTCTGTCCTGAAGGCCAGTGTGCGTTTCTCTGCCCTTGCAGAGGAAGAGGGACCTCCCCTGGCTACGAGCGAGCTGCGCAGCGTGGCCCTCTTGCAGGAGATGCCCTTCGTGGTGCCTTTTCCCGTGCGCGTCAGGGTAAGGCCTCAGTCTCTCTAAATGCAAGGGCATCTTTATCCAGCCCTACATAGTTCCGCCCGTGGGGTTCAGTTTGTTACCATCGCGGCCAATCTGTCCAAGCAGAGAAGGGAATCGTCTATTTGAAGTTCAAGTTTGAGTTTAGTCCTGCTTTTCGATACACTGCTCTTCGTGTTTGGTATTACAGAGTTTTAAGGAGCGGGTGTTGTCAAATGGTTGGCGTGCAATTTTTTCTCGCAGGAGAGGTGGTGGAGACATCTTCGTTTTATTCCATCACAGAGAAATCTTGAATAGGGATAGAAATGAGCATAGCTATGAAGAATATGAATCTTGTGGAGGGGAATCGTTTAAATTTACCGAAAAGACTCTGCAGGACCAGAAATTAATTTAAAAAAATTTGTTCATAGAAATATTTTCTTTCCTTATCTGCACTCATGGACAAATGGGTTGAACGCATTGCATTCTACTCTGTTGGTAAACAAATAAAGAATATGTGTATGAATTTTTTTCGGTGGGGAGGGGCTAACTTTTTGTTTTACTTTCAATCCTGTACTTTACACGCTATTGCACCCTTCAAGCAACTACCTTTTGTTTGAATATAATTAGTGTATTTGTATATCTTATATGCCTGTCATTGCACCTTGATCATGTTTGGTTTGGTGGTTGCGGAGTTCTTTTAATTTTCATTTTAGCACAATCTTTACGCACGGTAACTTCCCGCCTCCTGGGGTACACGAATCTGGTTCGTTCCATTCTATACACTATTTCAGTGGTTACGAGAATTACAGTCCACACGTGTCCAGGTCACGGCCCAGCACACGCACGTTCATTGTTTGGGAGGCGAGCAGAGTAGGCGACAAGTGCACGAATGCCAAGTATGGCACCTACCAGAAGTGCTTTTCTGGAATGCTCTATAGACAATTTGCTAAATTGCCCAAGCACCAAGGAGGATATGCGTGCTACTAGTATCAGTGATGTGATTGCTGCGCCAAGGGGCTAACCCTGCTACATCCTGCTACATTTTGCCGAAATACGGGTAATCTGCGCCAAGCCTGCGCCAAAAGACCAATTTTGGTCGCCTTTCAAACCCGAAACTAAACTGAGTACCGTAATTGAGCATGCATGAGCTTGGCCGCCCAACTAAAAGTACCCTGTATCAATCGTCCATCTGGTTTTGCATAGTTTTTCCCGCCACCTCTTGTTTCACGCTCTCGTCGTTCATGTGTCTCACCTCGCGTCTTTTTTCAAAACTTTTCAACGATAGACGCGGGCATGTGTTGACGCTCCAGTGCTTCAGTCGTTGTACAAAGCGCTCCAAGTACTTTTTGACCCTGACTCGCGATGTCTTGTTTTGACCTGACTCTCTCAGGTTCTTTTTTCTGTGTGTTTAGCTTGTACCTCGCCTGCCGGCTTGGCAAGCACGTGCCGCTGGACTGTTTTTTGTCGTATTTTGCATACAATTTTGGGAACCAGTTGGCGACGGAGCGGAGTGGCATGGTGTCTGTTTTGATCGAACAGCCATCTCCGCTCGCGCGACGAAGCACGTGCAAATGAAAGCCTGCGAAAGTTGCCCTCATGTGCATGCGAACATGACTGCACACCAGCCGGGACCCATGGAACCAGCCGGGACGCTTGCAACCAATGTTTTAAGTCTGCTTACTTGTGACGAAAATCTGGCACGTCGGGAACCAGTAAAACGGTGGCAAGCGATTTTTCTGAATCGCTTGGCAACGCCCACAGCACTGTTCATTTGTGGGATGTCTCAATGTCTCTTTGGAGACATTGAAAGTTGGAATTCATTACTAGCCAAAGGCAAAGCGAGGCTTGCAGCAACCTTGTAGAAAGTTTTGAAAAGCAAAAAGAAAAGCACCCGCGAGTCTTAATGCACCTTTGTCTTGTATACAATTTCGCATTGCACTGCAGTAGTTACGTGTTTCATCAGTCGGAGACAGCTTCCATTTATTATATTATATAACTATGTAGTCAATCTAGTGGTGTGATATTTACTAATAAGCTGGTCATTTTCAAATAAATTTTAATATGCGCAGTTTGGTTCTTATTTATCTATAACGGTACATATATATGTATAACTTAACTGGAGCATTTCAAAATGTATCATGTCATTGTCATTTCGGTTACATGTTGAAAGACTCCCAGGTGGTTGAAGTTGGCCATAATTTGTTTACTGCGGCGAGCGAAGTGGCCTTCATTCGTCCAGCACTTAAAACGAATATGTTTATTTTTCTAAGAATATCTGCTCCAAAAGCCACTTTTGCTGCTCCGAAACACTGTTTTGGCTGCTCCAAAAGGTGCTCCAAAACGGCTTAGGCCAATCACATCACTGAAGTGTACTTACACGTGTTGCCATCTGCAGCAGTAACTTTCTAAACCAAATCTAAAACAAATGGCGCATTCATTGAGGAATAGATGACCGTGGGGGTTTCTGTACCCACATATCGAGCATTCTCTGTGGTGCCTGGTTAATTTCTCTAAAAAATGTATTGTGAGACCTCTTCGACCTTTTTTTTCCGGCGTAATTGCTTGCTTAGGATAGAAGGAGAACAGATTTACGCCAGCTATTTCAAGAAACTGGCGAGCCACGGCCTGAGCAGAAAGGGTTTTCTTAAAATATTCAGTTGCTTTTTTCTCACTTCAGCACATAGGCCAAGGTCATACCTTGTGCAATAGAGATTATTATTAACCTTAGATATCACAGACGCCCCTGTTGACGGAAAGAAGGGGCAGGAGGGGAGGACGCAAGCAAAATGGGCGCGAGCACGTCCGATTGCCGGCCGAGCGACCCACTTCCCGCCAGTGACGTCACGTTGGATGGTGGGGAAAACTGGGGAAAAGCTAAGGAGAACGAATTTTTGTTTTAGGTAGTGGACAAAGTATCACTTTTTTAATTAACCAGAGTGAACCTGGTGGAATGACAGCATTTTAGAATGGAGAAGCCACCAGCATTCAGATGATGCCCTTGGATTATGTAGCTGAAAAAACCGGTGGAGCTCCCTTTTTAAGAAATACTTATCCCACTTATGTGTCACTCAATGCAACACAATTCTGCAGCCAGTATTGCATGAAAAATAATCCTTGCTCAAAATCTTACTATTATAAGCATGCTGGTTACAGACATCTTGTGTGGAGAATACAGCATTATTTACAGCTTACATTTTTTTATAAATGTATAGTACCAGGAAACACGCTAGGACAATATTTACTATTTTATATTGCGCGAAGCATGGTTTCAAAGTTGGGAAAGCCAAATTTCTTGCCGGTTTCAGGTGCTGCAGAGCCTGATAGCGCAGGACAAGTCCGAGAACATGCGCGAGCTGTCCAACTTCTTGCTGGGACCCCAGATCCACCTGGTGGTGAGGAGGGACTACCTCTATGAGGACGCTCTCGAGAAGCTCTCCGGAGAGCTCAACCTCAAGCTCAAGCTCAGGGTGCAGCTCGTCAATGCGGCGGGGCTCGAGGAGGCAGGAGTGGACGGTACGCCCGACCTGCAATCTCTAAACTCGACTTACGTCTTTTTGTTTGGTCTCTCTCGATAAATAGCCCTTTGCAGATTTGTTAGTGCTCTGCACTAACAAATCTGCAAATCTGCAAATCTGCAAATCTGCAAATCTGCACTAACACTGTGTCGTGCTCTGCACGACACAGTGTTAGTCACTGTGTCGTGTGTTTGTTTAGACAGCGTGAAGTAGTCGGCCCCCCACGGGTTTCCAGTGTCCCCGTTGCAGACGAAAAATTTAGCCAGTGCGGTACGACTTTGAGCCTGGATGTCTTTAATGCGCGTCATCATGCGGTGGTAATGCACAACCGCATGATGACACATGATGATGACCCAGGATCTCAGAGTTCAGCAGCACGAGCTTTCGCTCAGTGTGCTCCGAGCTGTGGTGCGCTTAAATGCTCTGCCACTGATCTCTGTCTCTCTGTGAGCACTTGTTGCTGAGGTCATAAGTAGATGCAGGGTATGCTCAAAACTTTCAACATGTGTGCTCGCACAGCCTTGCATAAGTAGCACATACTTACAGAGTGACACAATCAACACAAACAAGTCATCAACTTTTTTTTTTATCAAATTTTAATTGTGGTTGTTAAAACTAATATAGTATGGTTGATTATGCTTGTGGTGGGAACTAGTAACTTGGGTGGTAGAATTTGGTTTTTGTCATTGGTACCATTTTTGAGCTTTACCCCAAAAACTGCCGGTCTCGAGTTCATGCTAACTCTGTACATAAGTGCTCAACTAACAAACTGTGTTACAAACAGTTTCTGCACGTGCTCTACAGAGAGCCAGCTATTGCAATCTACACACAGGTCCTATCCAATGAAGGGAATGAGAAAATATTTGCACAGAACAGGGCCATGTGCACTGGCGAAGCACGCAAGTGCTGCACATCTGCTAAGTCCGCAGTGCTGCCTCATGCATCAGACAGACCGTTGCTTTGTCTCACTCACATAGAACAAAAGTTTGTTTCATGTGAGGTGTTGTATCGGGCAAAAGGGAAAGACACTAACTGGCTATGACGTCCGGCAACGATTTGATCCGAGAATATCATATTGCTAAGGCTTAGGTTTTCTGCATCTTTATTGTTTTGTCTTTACTAAGTCTAAATATTTTGCACCGCAATCACCCCATGGAGGCAGGAAGCTTCTGGAGGTGTAATGACGCCACAAGAGGTGAAGCCGGGAGATGCTTACAGTTTTGAGGGACACGCCCCCAACGATGACCAAAACCGACGGACGCTATTGGACGAAAAGGAAACCTGATTTGGCGCCAACAGCTATTTTAGTAACCGCTAGGGGCGTTCCCACTGACCGCGACCTGTACTTCCGGCTTCACTCGGAATTTTCTCGTTTGGCCTGCTCGAGCCGGTATGTCGCCTCCTCTTCTTTCTACCTCCATGGTTCACCTAATACGAAGGACTAAGCCGCTGCAATCCAATCTGAATCCACGACGCCGTTGCCCTCGCAGGAGGGGGCCTGATGCGCGAGTTCCTGGGCGAGTTGATGCGCACGGCGTTCGACCCCAACCGGGGGCTGTTCCGCTGCACCCACGACCGGCGCCTGTACCCGAACCCCGCGGTGTCCCAACTGCCGGACTACGGGCCCCTGCAGGCCGCCCGCCAGTACACCTTTGTCGGCCGCATGCTCGCCAAGGCGCTCTACGAGGGCATGCTCGTCGAGCTGCCGCTGGCGCACTTCTTCCTCGCCAAGCTGGTTTCTCCCGGCCGTGGCGATCTCGACCTCCACCACCTGGCGTCGCTCGAGCCGCTGGTCTACCGCAACCTGCTCTTCCTGAAGGGCTACCCCGGAGACGTGGCAGAGCTGGGGCTGGACTTCACGGTGCTCAGCAGTCAGCTGGGACACTCGACACTGGAAGAGCTCAAGCCTGGCGGCGCGAGCATACCCGTCACGGCGGCCAACCGGATAGAGTACATGCACCTGATGGCAGACCACCTGCTCAATGCGAAGCTGAGGCAGCAGTGCCTGGCGTTCCGGCAGGGGCTGGAGGAGCTGCTGCCGCCACACTGGCTGCGGCTGTTTGCACCGCACGAGCTGCAGGTTAGATGCCAAACGAGCGGTACCGTCCGACGCCGCCTAGTCCTAGAATAACTGAAGTCCGCAAACAGCCTCCTATAATCCACACGACGTCGTTGCCTTAGAATGGTGCCAACTCGGCTATGCGGGGAGCAAGTTGCTTGCCTATTGCGCAGAAGTTGTAGTGATGTCGGTACGACGCCGAGCTCCAATTGGTAGGATAGTGGGTAGATATCAATGCTAGCTGCCTTGAGGTCTACCCGCTATTCTTCAATTAGAACCGATCAGAGCTTGACGTTCTGACGTTATCGCAACCCCTGCGCAAGAAGCAGACGAACTTGCGCTCTGCATTGGGCCTGAGCTTAACGCTAAGCATCCTTTGATGCATTGTCTGGACACAAGAACCGGCCTCGACCTCGCTGTGACAACGTTGAAACGGTAGTGCGCGGGCCTCGATTATTTTAGCTGGTGTTGTACGGTCTGCATCAAGGGGGGTTGCTAAAGATGAATGACGACCAACCAGCAATTGACGTTGGTTGACCTCATTGTTTAATAAGTGCCAATTTCCCTCTAAGGTCGTAGAAGTGCCACAAGTGGTGCTATGACGCACGAGTGGGATCGAGCACACCACGGGAGCGTCCGTAATGTTCGGGAGATGGGGTCGGTTGGGGGGAGGAGAATTTTCCTGCCCTTTTCCCAAATTGTTTACTGGAAATGTTTAGGGGCAGGGGTAGGAGGGTTGATTGTCCCTTTCTTTCGGCCCCCCTCTGTTCCAACGCCACGTCAGCACCATCAAACACCATTAAGATGTTTGATGTCGCAATTTTGGGGGAAACCATGTCATGCAAATCAAGTAAATCAGCACCGAATGTTATTTGTCTTATTTGAATGCTGCGCAGGAAAAAAGTACATCTGGTCGTGTTTTGATCTCTCTTGTGTCTAGCCAAAAATTTTAATGCCACGGTCGAGTCGCCCATTAACTTTTTGTCTCATGGTTAGTTGGTGATAATAGTCAAACCATTTCATCTGTTACTCTCCAATTTATACTTGGACTTCAAGAACACATATTCACTTCTTATTCCACGCAGGATGACGAACCTAGTTCTTGCGAGTTACTGAGCGGGTCTCACGTTACGCAACAAATTTCTTCCTAGTTTGTGCCCGAGGGAGGTATACTTGGGAAACACTTCTGGCTTGGCCAATCCCAATTGGCACCCCTGCCTTTTTCAGGTGCTCATCTCCGGGGCACAGAGTCCCGTGGACTTGGAAGACCTGCGGCAGCACACCCACTACGAGGGGGGCTACACCGCCGATCATCCGGTCGTCAGGGCGTTCTGGAAAGTCCTGGAAGGCTTCGACGAGCGCCAACGACGGCTCCTGCTCAAGTTTGTAACCAGCTGCTCACGGCCTCCGCTGCTGGGCTTCAAGGTGCGTGTTGCTTTTGACAGTGCAGCACACCCACTGCGAGAAGGGCTACACCGCAAAACACCTTAAACACTGGACCTATTCTCGTTTTCACCTCAAGAAAAAAGGAAGTTTTGCTCCATGTTCCTACGCCACGCGAAGTAGTTCTTACAATATTTGGTTGTCGGAGGCAGAAGCAATGTTTTTGGTGTTTGAAACGTGTACGTCTTGATAAGGTAACATATACCTAATCTAAAATGCACCTACATATATCTAAATTCTCAGCATAAAGAAGGAAATTAGTAATGCTCCACAAGAAGCCATACTTTTTTTACTACGGTTCTTGAGGTGAAAACGAGTATAGGAAAGAAACTTTTTTTTTTCCTACCTGGTTAGGACAGGGATGGCTCAAAATAAATGTTTGTCGAATACAAAATCTTTTTGTTGCCCAACCTTTACGTTAGTATACAAATATTTTTATTTGCATGCAAAACTGAAACTGTACCCCTGTGAGATGATGATAATAGCGTTTGTACCCAACTAGTGTGCACTCTGAGGCAACTCTGTGATCCAGCAAACTCTGAGTGCACACTATAGTCTATTTCGCAATAATTTGGCAAACTGTGGAGGCTGCGGCCCTTGCAAACCAATAAGGATGCCGGAACAAGGCACGTGATAACACTCGATGGTCGAGGCCACCGGGGCCTCGTTACCGCCACAGCAACAGAGCCCTCTGCAAGAAAAACTAGTTCTAAGCTCCTTTTTCTTTGAACGGCAATTGAGCTTGACGCGCTTCCATTTATAACGAGAAGATATGAAAAATAAAAAAAATAAATAATCGCAAATTTACGAGTTTCAATTTTATTTAAACCAAACGAGTGACACCACATCCGTATCTGCTCAATTTTTTTTACGCTGTAGCACCATGGCCGTTGACGATCGCCAGTGATCGCAGCCGTGTAATTGGCCGTTTCCGCTCGAAACGTTGCACTGTGCCCTGGCATTAGCACCAGTCTCCGATTTGTGGCTCAATTGACCGTACGGTTGTCTCACGAACTGTTCCTGAAGTGCTCGGAAACGTTGCTGCAGTGAGTTTTCATCCGAAGTTGGTCGGTTTCGAAACAGACGACTCTTGGCTAGCAGACGACAGCCGGTTCCTCTGGGCCTCGCGCCTTCCATTTGGTGTAGTGACACAAATGCTCACGTGACGTCGGGTCGCGTGCCTCGCTCCGGCCCTATTATTGGGGCGCGAGGCCCTAGCCTCAACAGTCCGCCAAGTTACCATAAAACGGAGTATAGCTGGGTACAAACGCTATCATCATCATCCCCACAGGGGTACAATTTCGGTTTTGCCCGCAAATTGAAAAAATTTGTATTGTATCAAAAATACTGAACAAAACAATTTTTTTTGTTGTTGCGACAAACATTATTTTGGAGACATGCCTGTCCTAACAAGGAAGAAAAAAAAAATTTTTTTTCCTAAGTTGTGTTTTTTTAAAGGGGTGGTCAACAGTTTCTATACTTTTAGTAAATGCCGCAAGAAAAAAAAAGAATGAAAGAAAAACGCAGCCAGAGGAAGCAGCCACGTGATCTGGAGCCGGCATTTAAATACCGACACCGTGGGGATCGCGAAGCTCGGTGACCAAATCGTTGGGACCGCATTGTTAAAAATGCCAACAGCGCAGTCCTTGCAACTTTGTCATCAAGTCTGGCGAAGGAGAGACTGAAAGAAAACGCCCGCTTGTATCCTCCAAATTCCGTGGCGACAAAGAAGCTTCTTGGTCAGTGGCGTCGCGTGCGAGCATGCCTGGGTCCCACTAGTGCTAATAAGCTTGTGTAAAGCGAGAGATGCTGCAACCCTCAATATTGTTGGGGCCCCTTTAAAACGCCCCTCAATTACTGACCAAGGTAGACGCTACAACTACAAGTCCGTAGCTTTTAAAATGGGTCTCTATTTGTTTGTGCTCGTGTAGCAGTAGCATCCCAGAGAAGCATCACATTGCACTGTTTGCTCCACTCCGGAAAGGCCGAGCATTTAGAACCTCTGCATACGGTAATATAGACCAGGGGTCGGCAACCTTTTTCAGCGGCAGGCCGAGAAGTCACGAAGCCGACACAAAGGAAGCCGGACAAAAAGTCGCGAAGGGGTGGGGTGGGGGGGCAGGTGAAAAAAAGGCAAAATAAAAGTGAGGACGTTCTCTGCCGAAGTATGGGGTACTGGACAATTCCCATCCGTGTTAAAAACTGCCGTGTGGTTCTTGAGTCTGTGTGAGGCAAGGAATAGGGGGGTGCTTTTTGTGGCCCGCCGGCCGTGGGTTGCCGACTCCTGATATAACCAGGTGTTCCAGCAAACTTTTAAAATATCTATAAAAATAGGGTGGTTGACCAAAAAAAAGAAAGAGACGCTTTTTGGGAGCAATATGCGAGCCATGGTGGAAGTCAGGGATTGCAACAAAAAAAAAGTGAAAGCCGTTTCCAACTCAATGTAATGCCGAATTAGAGCGCAGCTCTTGAGGAGGAGGAGGGAAGGGTACTGGGGAGGGCCAACTGACCGGAGGGGGGGGGGGGGTCACGTGACCTTGGGGGTTCACGTGACGATGACAATGCCGATTTTGTCATCAATGACGTCACTGATGACATCACCAGTGACGATGACAATGCGGACATTGATGACATCAGCAGTGATGATCACGATGACGATGCGGATGCCGGTGACAACATCAGTGACGTCACTGATGACGTCATCAGTGATGACGACGATGTGGATGTCGGTGACGTCATCAGTGATGATGACGATGCGGATGCCGGTGACGTCATCAGTGATGATGATGACAATGCGGATGCCGGTGACATCATCAGCAACGATGATGTCATCAGTGATGATGACGATGCGGATGCCGGTGACGTCATCAGTGACGATGACGTCATCGGGGGTCACGTGACCTCGGCGGGGGGTCACGCGACTTCGGGGGGTCACGTGACCTTGGGAGGGGTCACATGACCTTGGTTACGCCGACGGCGCTCAAGCCGGAAACGGGCGCCTAAGAGCTGCGCTCTAAAAAAAAAAAATCACTAGCAAACTATTTAGCTCATATTTAATAATTACCTTTTTAATTCCTGAAAATAAGCGTGGTTTCAATTAGAAACTTGCCGAGCGGCGTCGAAAACCCCTAAATTGGTCAACTTTGGGACGACTTGGAGCATATAGGAAGCACAATCTCTGCCTCGGCCTTCATGCTGGCAGCAAATGGGACAACAGTCATGCTTCCCACTTCTGTTCCTGATCGGCTGTCCGTTTCACGTCCCAGGACCTCGAGCCGCAGTTCTGCATCCAGTCGGCGGGGGCCGAGCCTGGCCGGCTCCCGACGGCCTCCACGTGCATGAACCTGCTCAAGCTGCCGGAGATACCGGACGAGTCGATGCTCCGCGACAAGCTACTCTATGCCATCGAATCCGGAGCTGGCTTCGAGCTCAGCTAGCGTCGGCTTACGGACCCGTGCCCCCAGACGTGCCACCGGCAAGCCCCGGCAAGCCCCGCCAAGCCAATCACAGATACGCCAAGAGCCGCAGCACCCGTTTTATTGCGGCACGCGTCGGCGACCGAATGAACTGTCGAGACGCCCTTCGTTCGAGTTTGTGAGTCGTGTAACATAGTTGGAAATAAACCGGACGGGAACTGCCGCCCCGTTTAGTTTTCGTCCGTCCCGGCAGGCGACACTGGCAAGCGACGTGACGGAGTCGTCTGCAAGTTCAGACGGGTCGGAGCGGACGGAACCAACCGTTCGGCCAACACCACCTACAAGACGAGGTCTGCGTCGTCACGGATGGATCAACGCAGCGACGCCAAGTCGGACACGTCTGTTGCTTTACAGTGTCTCCCGACGAGCTTCAGCATCTGTGCCGGTTGGGGCGGGTTTAGGATCTAGCAACGACGACGCGCCGGCCCTGTCCTCTAGGTGGTATTGGTTTAGTGCAACTTCAGCAAGGACGATCCCAGCGTCGCGGCGCAACCGGCGCTCAGCGTCAGGCCCAGCAGCGTCGCGGCCCAGAGAAACGCCCGCAGTCCGGCGTCGTGCGTGGTGCGCCGGTAGCGCACCAGGCTGACGAGGGGGTCGTCCTGAAATGCGGCGACGATGTCGCGCGCGCACGAGAAGTTGCCGACGGCCACCAGGAGGCACGTCGGAGACAATGCCCGCACGTCGACGATGCCGCAGCGCGCGAGCACCGCCGTGATCTCGGCCTGGCTTCGGCTTGACCGGACGCAGAGCCAGGGCGGTCTCTCTTCCGCCGGCGGGTCCGGTCCCTCCAGGCTGACGTGATGACACTGCGCGCGGATCAGGTTGATGCGGTTTGCGAAGGCCTTGACTGCGGCTCTATGTTGCGGCCACGCCAGCGCACGCTGCGGGGCCGGAAGAGCGGACGCAGCTTGCTGCGCCAGCACGTGCGCCAGCTTGATGAACACTGCTCCCGCCACGTACGCGTCGCTTCCGGCGTCGTGGGCGCGTAACACTGCCGGCGCCCCCTGTATCTTGGGTGCAAAAGGAACCGGTACGTTGGCCAATGCCGAGTGGAGGGTAAACAGGTCTGCGGCTGTGAGAAGTTCGCGCAGCCAGGGGCTGGCCTGCTGGCGCACCGAAAGCGATATGTGCTTGGTGTCGTAGACGACGGGGAAGAGGCTTCCCAGGACGGTCTTGAAGCGGGCGTAGGAACGTGGCAGTGGTTCCCTGAACTGGTGGAGGAGCAGGAGGAGGTCGAGGAGCATGTTGTGGCCCACGAGCGGCTTGCCGCTCCTCACCAGCGTCTCGAAGCAGCGACTGAAACCCAGGAGAGAGTCCCTGATGACGTCATCCCGGGACGCCGACGGACGCTGCGGCTTAGCCGACACCGGCGTCAGTACGAGACCCTCGCGGCTTAGCGTGCAAGCCACGTTTGGAAAGCGGGTCTTGAGGTCTAGGGCGACGAGGTGTGGATTGAGACCCGCCGGGGACTCGACCTTTAACGGATCTTTACAGTCCGCCGCGGACCAGCGACGGACTTGGTCGTACAGCGGCTGGAGGTCGGCGTCGTCGAGGTCCGCGTCGACGACGTAGCCGTCGATGGCGCGCCTGCACGCGCGGTCGGCGTACGGCAGGCCCTCGTAGAAGCACTTGTTGAAGTCGAAGCCGTTTCTGCAGAGGAACTCAATGGAAGACGCCTGCACGCTGAACTGAGGGTCCGTGCTGCCGAACGAGCGCGGACACAGGTAGATGGTGTACGCGGACGCTTTGTAAAGGTTCTCCGAAGGCACGGACGTGAAGGTGCACAGTCCGAGTTGGCAGACGATGTAGCTGGACACGGTCTGGCGGAGTTTTTGGTAGCGGGCGTCGGCGCTGTCGAACAGGCTCGGCGCGGCGGCCGGTTCGCGGACCAGGCCCGTGAACTCGGTGTCTACGGCCACGAATGCGGCGCCAGCGATTGCGGCTTCGATTTCGGGTAGGAGGTCGTCGAAGTTGGACAGTGTCACTTCTGTCATGATTGCGGTTTACACCCAAACGCCCAAATCACGTTAGCGATTCAGAAATCAACACAGCTATCAGACCGACGCGCTCCAATCGTGGGCGCAGCCATCTTTCAAAACATCGGTGACCAGCCCAACCAGCCGTCAACTCAAAACCAAATGATCAAATGTTGCTAAATATCAAATACTGTTCATATAAAATAAATTGTGGCATAAAAGCAAAAAAAAAACATAATTTTATCTTTAAAAAGTTACAAAAGTAAAGTAATTTTAAAATATTTTGTATAAAGCCATAGAATTTAGAGGGCGCTTGCTATCTCACAATTCCATGTACAATCCTTGCGGCAATCGCAAGAAAATGATTTGTCTATCCTCGTAAAAAAATACAACAAAAATGGCCACTTGTGCGGGAGAGAGGGGCTAATCTTTTTCTTGTGTGTTGCGTCTTGTCTCGCTCCTTCCACGCTACGTCGGTTGGTATTCGTGCGTTTCGTGAGCTTTTGTGACGGAGATTTGTCGGTCTCGTCGTGTCGAGGCGGGGGCAGCTACTTCACGATGCGGCAAGTACCGTAGCGCGTTGCGCTGAATGAAGGCAACGACAACGCGAGTTCGCTGGTAGCTCGTCGTCGCTGGACCCCCGAATCGCCTGAACGCCATGCCCACCTTGCGGGACAAACTCGCCGATTTCCTGCGTCAGTTGTCGTCGGGCACGGAGCGAGCCAGCGAAACGGCCAAGCCCGACTGCCCGTCGCCTACGAGCGCCACATTCATCCAACGTTATCTCAATGGGTGAGTTCTCGGCCGCGACTGCGATTGTTTATGTTTACCTCAGTGCTGGCGGCAAGTGTCGACGAAACAGATTGTTTTTTTTTTTTTTTTATTATATATATGTTTGTTACACCGAGATCCAGCTGATCGCCTCCAGCATTGTGGTAACTTTCTTTTGTGCGTCTCTCTGCGTCGACTTCGGGGTTTTCATTCCGACGTAATCTTTGCCACTTGAGATGACGCGCTGTCGCTCGATGCGTCATACGTCGCCGTGTAGGCCTCGGAACCGAGGTCGTAGCCCTCTGTAGGGGAGGGGGTATGGACCCCGTGTCTCCGTGTGGATGTAACGGAGCCGACGTTACGTGCGAGGTGTGGTAACGGAATCTTGAATGGCCCGACACGGGAATGGAAAGGCGACGTGACGCGGGTATTGAGAGCCAGTTTGGCGTTTCGTAGAAGTCGGATTGGTCGGAGAGGTTTTATGACTTTGCTCCTCCCCGTCGCGACCGTGCTGTTGGAGCCGGCGCTTTAACAACGTGCCTTGAATGCACTTTTCTTTTTTTCCTTTGTAAGGAGAAAAGAAAAAGTGAGGAGGGCGACAGAAACGCTTAGCGCAGGATTGTTTTTTAGTTGTGAAATGTACGGCGGTACGCTGTTCAAAAGGCATTAAAAGACCCCATGGAAGGTTTGCTTGTGCACGTGTTTTATGAGGAAGCGAAATGACATTTCATTCATTCGCGCCGCTCGTCGTGACGGCAGGTGTTGCAGTGAACAAGGAGATATATGAAAGATAACTTACCGGAAAGAATTAAGGAAAGAGCACCGCTAAGTAATTTGGTTGTGCATGGTTTCCTCATTTCAGAAAACCACTCCACCGAAGAAGGATTTACGGTGCAGGCTAGTTGGGCCCAAGTGGTTGTTTTGGGGAATTTGCACCCACATAAGACTACCGGAAGCTCTGCAATGTTTTTGATGCCTTGGACACCGTTCAAATTAAAATAACCCCACCTCATTGGAAGGAGTATCGATGACCTTAAGCTTCAGCATTGGCTAATTCACTGTAGCAGCTAATAGTGCTGTCATGCTGAGAAGGTGGGACTAATCAGCATCTTTGCTTTGTTGGTGCAGTCCAGACTCCTCCAAAAAAATGTTGAAAAAGATGATTTTTGGATTTAGCGATTAAGCACCGCATCAGTGAAGACTAGTTCTCCTTGCCCTTACCACACTGTAGAGCATCTTTTAAAGCACCATTGTTCTTTGACATGGATGAGGAAAGAATAAAACAATTAAAACAGGGACAACACAACCACATCTTTCAACTAGCAACAGACTATAGTCGGTTACAACTCAAGAAGGTAGGAGAAGCTCCTCCCACAAGCGTGATGTGCCCGTTTCAAATCTCTCCGCAGTGGAAAGAAGAGTTCACTGGAAACGCTCCTTATTCCACTTGAATGGGTTCCAACTTGTCTCCAACCCCCCCCCCCCCCCTTTTTTTTTTAAGAAAGCGACCTTTGTATTCATCGGAGGGGGAACCGAGCCCCTGAAAGCAGCCTTTGTATCCATTGGAGGGGGAACCTAATCCCCAAGAGTCGTATTTGTTTTCATCGGAAAGGGAAAACTCTAATCTCCCCTCGTGGCTTCCACAATGCTAAGTCAAAGTCGAAAGATGAAGTAATACTGTACACAAAGGCAAGACCCTCCTCGCGCGTTGGCCGCGATGTCACGGAAACGATGGGACGCTATTGGATATGGAAATGGCGGAGGGATATATGATCCCCTTTGAGGGGCGTTTGCCGCTACCTTCTTAACCTGTAACTGACTATAGTAAACTTTCAACACCGAGCAGCCGACTATACCCAGTAGGAGTAGGGGAGAGAAGGAAAGATAAGACACGCGAAGTGCAAGTCAGGGTGGTAGGGTTATCTCGGATTTTAAAAATTTAACCTCAGTTTTCGTCAGCAGGAGGGAAGGGTTTGACACATTGTTTTTTTGCTGTGGTCATGGCGAATGATGCTATGATTTCCCTGCCGAACCTGCTGTCATGGCCCCCCAGGATTTTTGTGTCATCAAAGAGGGTATGACAATGCAAACACGAACGGGCATGTTTGACTATGGGATGATAAGAATCTGGAGAGGCCTTAGAAACTTCATTGTGATGTTCGCAGAGTCTCCAGGATTTTTGATGACACAAAAATCCTGGGGGGGGCGTGACAGCAGATTTGGCAGGGAAATCATAGCATCATTCGCCATGACCACAGCAAAAAACAACCTGTGAAACCCTTCCCTCCTGCTGAGGAAAACTGAGGTTGAATTTTTAATATCCGAGATAACCCTACCACCCTGACTTGCACTTCGCGTTTCTTATCTTTCCTTGTCTCCCCTACTCCTACTGGGTATAGTTGGCTGCTCGCTGTTGAAAGTTTACTCGTCTGTTGCTAGTTGAAAGATGTGGTGGTGTTGTCCCTGTTTTAATTGTTTTATTCTTGCTTCATCCATGACTTAAACCAACACGCTCTTCTCCCAAGCATTGTTCTTTGGATGACTATTTTTTGGTTTTCAAGCCGTTCAACTGTCTCGTGTCGCTCAAAAATCTCTAGTTCCTTTTTTTGAAAGCCTGCTTTGTTTCTTGGTGCAATGAAGCTTTAATTGTAACGTCTACGAAAAGAGCTTGGAATGAGGGCATGGAATAGAATCACAATTTTTATCAGTTTGTACTCTTGAGATGGCACATTCAAAACACCAACCTTTAAACTACTGCTGATATATGTTCCCAGGAATGCAAATTGATAACATCAGTAGGATCTAATCAGTGTCTTGGAAATATACCCTCACACCCTCTCGCAGCCAACAGATCCAAGAAACTTTGTCCTACTGGCGACCTTTCCTTTTTCGCGGCAGTACTGCGGGAGGAACTGCAGGAATTAGGTCAGCTCGCTTTTGCACTGTCCAAGCATAGAAAAGTTTGTTAAATCCACCAACACTGTCAACTGTTCCTAAAAGCCTCGTAACAAGATGAGGTTGCTTTCTTTTTTGAGCAGTCCGCCGTGATGGCGAGAGCAGGCACCAGGGAGGTCATGCCCGGCTCCTGCGGTGCTCTCTGGCAACCTTGGTTCTCTAAATGACTGAAAACTGAGCAGGATGAGATTACTAATATAAGGACAAGGAAAATAAGGGTAGCATGACATCACACCACACAATCACAGTAACTGCAATCCTCTACAGACTGGCAATGCAATTGGTTAAGAAGAGTTGAAGAATGGGCAGAAAACAGCTATATTCTAGGAGTTCCAAAGAGAGGAGGTTAGATGACAACTTATTTGACATTGTGCAATGTATAAAGGTGGTGCAAATGAGTAAAATATCATTATGGATAGCATTTCGAGGCATTAAAGGGGCATATGACAGTGTGAGTCAGGAAAAACTATGGGCGCAACTGAGAGGGTAGGATTCAGATGTAGTACATTTGGTTGGGCTTTTACGGCAGGTACAGACAAATAACATAGGGGTTATAACGTGGGAAACAGAAATAACGGAACCAGCAGCAATAAAAGGAGGGCCTAGGCAGGGTTGTCCGCTATTGCTCCTGCTTTATTTGGTATGCCTGGGGAGAATAGAAAAGAAATTTGAAGAGTACAATTTAGGTGTCGTGTATAAACATGGTTTTTCGTTTTCCGGTTTTATTTTTGTCAAGGACCGTTTTAACGTCCGCTAGGTTTGTCCGGTTTTAACGTCCGTGAAGTAGTTAGGAGAATGTGGAACGGAGTCATGGTGCCATTAGGAGAATGTGGAACGGAGTCATGGTGCCAGGTTTGTCTTTTGGCAATGCAGTGCTATGCCAGAAATCTGAAATCCAGTCGAGTTTAGAGATCCGACGGGGGAGCGTGGGCACACGAGCACTGGGGGGCGTATTGTAATACACCAAATGAAGGAGTGCGTGGAGACATGGGCTGGACATCTTTCGAGGTTAGGGAGGCAATCAGTAAATTGAAATTTGAACAAAGACTATACAGAATGGAGGATACACAGTGAACGAGAAAGGTATATAAACATTTATATCTAAAGAGTCTAAACACTAAATGGACAAACCAAACCCGAAAGTTTAAATTTAAGTACGACCATCAAATGCTGGTGCAGAGCTGATTACCTCTGTAGAAAAGGAGGTGAAGCAGGCCAGGGGGAGACTGTGGGAGGAAGAAATGCGGGGGAAATTGGCTTTAACTACCGTAATATCCCGAGAGATGCTCCGCCCCTAAAAGGTAACCCACCCTATTGCTTGATTTGCCATCTTTTTTTAAACACTGAAAATCTCTTAGTAATCATAGTGTTCAGATCAATGATGCCCTCGGCGTAAATGTGGCTAGTTAGCTGTGGCGGGATATAAGCGAGCATTGCTGACTTGGAGGCACAGTCGTCTTTGCTTCATTGTCCCTAACCACAATAGCGAGTTTGGCAAGAAAGCGTGATCTAAAAATAGCGTGTTTATATATAAAAATAGCTTCTTTTTTTTTAAATTTTTCCTGATTGTACATTGAAAGTTAGCCCAATTCTTATTTTCACTCGATTTGTTCTCGATTTTAGGTGGGCTATCTCGCGGGATATTACGGCATGTATGGGGACAAAAATGAAAAATGAGGAAAGAACATAGGTAAAATTCACGAGGGAATTCATTGTTGTTTGAGGCTAGAACGGGAGTACTAAAGGGATGCTGATTCGAAATTTGGATTTTGCAAATAAGGCCGCAGAAGCGTTGAACAGGACACTATAAACTCCAAAACATCACTCATGCATCGATATCTCAAACAGATGGCCATAGCTTTGGAAAAGAAGGGCGAAATTAAGCGAGGAACGTGAAGTCGCGATTCTCCTGGAACAGTTGGGAATGACGGGAAGCGACCTTGCTTCTGTCCTCCTCGCTTCGGTTCACCTGCTGGAGGGGACGAAACTAAGAGAGGGAAGGAGGATACGACGTCGCATGTCTCTTCGGCCTTGTCGGCCATGCTCAATCGCGCACTTCTTTTCCAAGAATACGATCATCCGTTAGAGATATCGCCGTATGAGTGATGTTTTGGGGTTTTGCAGCATCCCGCCTATCGCTCCAGCCTTGTTTTATGAGCTAAAGTTTTCGGTTCAGCATCCCTTTAAAGGGATACTTGCCAAGGTTTTTATTTGTACATGGCATATGAGAGCCCAGCTACCCAGAACACAATTTACAGCTCGAAATTCGTTTTCTTTCTGTCCAAAAATCGCCGATCGAGAACTTGCCGGTTTGAGTGGCACTGCACTCTCTCCTCCATGGTCACATGCCGTTTTCTATGGTTTTGTCACAGCCACCAAAGATATAATCAAAGTCGTGGGTCATCGAAGGCACAAACTCGATACTAGACATGGACAAAAAATATGACAGCTATTTGTTGTGGCTTCTAAAAAACTGCAAGTATGTTGATTGAAAAAAGAAAAGAAAAAAAGAAGTTGCACAGCCACATGACACTCCAGTATCTTTCTCCTCCCTATATTTCTTCTTCCTCCCCAGTCCAGTTTCGGTTTTGAGCAGTTACGTGTTCTGACTTTTATTAAAAATATACGTGACACTGTAGCAAAATATTGATTGGGTAGTCTTCTGACAACCATAATAAATTGCTTGGCAAAAAATAAAAAATAAATTTTGGGGGCTTTGGGGTAAAGTACAAAAAAATGGATAGGCAGCGTACCATATGCCAAGAGGAAGACAAGACAACAGAAGACGCGGTATTGAAGTGCGTGGGGCTTACTCCTATTGCCCCAGACTGGGCAATGGATTTGACCGGGTTCGAGATGAGAGTGGAGGAATGGGTGAAAGGGCATAGCAATAACAAAGAGGAGATTTGAAGACTGGTGGAAATTATCTGGGGAGAGTCGGAGGGCGTATGAATAACTAGCACAGCTGGGGACAGGTGGGACGGAGAAAAATTGGTCTCTCTCCCACGTGGCTTCGGCCCAAGATCTCAACCCTGTCTCCCAATGGGCACGGTGTTGGGCTGGTGCTCGCGAGGTTTGGCCAGAGGAAAATTGCCAACTCTCTAGCAGGGAATAATGTTGTTGTTTTATTCCCCAAGTTTTCAAAGGCTATTCTGGCACTAGCCCACATTGCCCGGTTATAGACACAAAAAAAACTGGGGAAGGGAATTTGGAACGGGTGAGGGGAATTCTGGTTTTAGGGTAGGTGGCACAAGCTACTGCATGTTATAAGGAGTACAGCCATTAGTTACATAGCCATATATAGAGTTTGGCCATTCATTCGGAAGTATAAGAGGCAAGTGAGGAGGCGCAATTAGCCGAAATTGGGCTGGGCGTATTCCAGGGCGTCTTCGCAAGTTTGATAGTTGCCAACCAGAAGCTGGAATACCCTGGTGGTGGCTGCAAGAAACAAATTTAACAAGTGCATCAGAGTAGCTCTCAGTGACTGAAAATATGGTGCACCTGATGGTTCAATCACGGTCATCCAAAATCATGGTGGAAGAGCGCGACTAGCGGAATGATCAACATAATCCGTATGCCAGACGCTGAGGGACGGCAGATTTCCGGCCCTCGGTGCCCTGGCTCTGCCCGCTCCTCCCATTGATCAAACTCTCTCTATACAGTTAGTTAGCATCCATCCATCCTTAGGATGCAGTCTGGCTTGTTTCTTCTGGGGATGTATTTCCACACCACTCGTCCTTATGGAGTAGTTCCATGCTGCTTGTTCTTAGGGTGTTGTTGCACACCACTTGTTCTTGGAGTGTAGACTTAAACCACTAATTACTAGGTTGTACTTTGGCACCAATTGTTTTCAGGGTGTAATTCTACACCGCTTGTAGATGTGACATTTGTACACCTTGCCGGCGGCCTTTCTTACGCTTCACTATGTGCAAAGGAACATTTTGATAAACCGGTGGCACTGCGGAATGTCGCTCGGGTCACCTACTGCTTTTGTTCAGTCAGTGGGCGTTGTCGGTTGTACCTTTAGGGATAAAAATTAATTGGTTTTGGTGTTTATTTATTTTGTATCGTAGATACATCAAAGACCCATACAGGAGTGGAAAATATGACAGCATGCATGCATAACCTAGCATACTAGCATAAACAAATGCATAATGCCATAGCATAACAGATGAAAAAACAACAAATACTGTAAACAACTTAATTTTTGTGAATCACCTACAATTTGCGAGAGATAGGTCCCACAAGCAATGCTGGTAAAATATAAACACATTAGAGTCTATAGTGAGATCCCACCCCGTTGCGAAAATTAGAACCCGCATATAATTCCAAAAGTTCAGCTTTGACCTAAATCGCAAAATATTGAGCCTGCAAAAAATAAATCGTTTACAGTAGTCTACATAACAGATGTAATAACATTTGCTAATTAAGGTATTTGCTTACTAAGATTTCTATGGTATGGGGGTGGCAAACAGTTTCAAAAGCAACCTGTCATTTATTCCATGACATGAGGCTGAAGGTCATTCCCCACTCCCCCATTGAAATATAGAGATACACAGCTGAGAATTGCTGTTATCAAGTTAGCAAGTTCAATTGACTTGCGCTGTCGAGCTTTATGTTGTTTCAAAACTTCTCGTGTTTTGAAACATGCATGTTTCAAAACAGCATGTTTTTAACTGTGCTAGGTGTTTGTTTGCAATCTTTTTTGAGCTCATCATACATGAAATATTTACAATGGTCATGTGATAGATGCCATATGGGTCATGTAATGCCACATCATGTTGTTCTGTATCACATGATGTCACTGTGACACATGACATTCTTCAGAATGTCCCATTGAGACGTCTTGTGACCCGAGATCATGTGATGTGGTCACCTAGTTTGTGCCATGTCACGCTAACAACATTGCACAACGTCGAAAACTTCGTGTCATGGTGTGCCTTGCAGAGAGGGACTGCCCCAGCAGCCGGAGATTGTGCACGCCAAGTCATGCTACGACCTGCCCGTGCGGGAGGTGGCGCCGCTGTCGAGGCGCGTGGTGTCCGCGTACACGGGCCCCTCAGGAGGCCTCACGCAGGTGAACCAGAGCCCAGGCCGGCCGCTCACCTTTGCCGACCAAGTGGACTTCATAGACGACGACTCGCTCTGTGGCAGCAACGAGAACCTCGCCGCCAGGTGAGTCACACGTGGCGGCAGATGACCTTAGACAAAGCGTCCAACTGCTAACGTTAGCTGGTGGATGCAGGTGAGATTGCCTGGGTCCATATCACAAGAGCGAATGACATTTTAGCGAACGGCGACATTTGAGCGAATGGTCGTTTTAGCGAATAACGGGGGCGCGCGTTAACCCATCCGTCGCGCTGCGCTTTACGCCGCTTCGCGGCGACAGTCTGCTGCAACTCATTACAAAAATATGAACTCACTTGGCCCACCCGAAAACGCCGCTTCGCGGCGTCCGACTATTCGCTAAAGTGTCATTCGATGAAACGTGGGCGTTCGCTAAAACGTCATTCGATCAAGTGAGTGCCTCCCAGATTGCCTAATGTTAGCAGGCGGACAAGGCATCTCTCTGCCAACGTTTGCAGACAGACACAGATGGACGCATAATTTTAGCAGACATACAAGGCATCCGTCTACTAACATTAGCAGACGGACGCCTAATGTTTGCAAAAAGACAAGGCATTCGTCTGCAAGAAGACAAGGCATTCGTCATATAATGGAGAGGAGTCCTGGAATGAGAGGGGGGGGGGAGGATTTGGATAAAAATGTCCATTCACATGTATCGCACCTCACTATTTGAGAACTTGTCCTCACAAACTGTGCATTTCAGTTCTCCACCAAGGTCTCTCCTCACAGAGCATGCATTTTGCGTGGACATCTTACTACACAGAATGACATAACATTCTTTGTCTGTTTCCGGCCGTTTTATATCAATTATAAACTGTCCATTGTTCGGCTAAAGTTTGGTGGCTTTTGTCACAAGCCGTCTCCAAGAGCTACCATAAATTTTTCAGAAACCTTGGACGCTTAAGGGGGGACACTACCTTGAATGGCACTTTTTTTTCCAAAAAAATTATATTCAGAACTGCAGAGTTTTGGCATGTATGTATGGATAAGTCTTGTCAATGTGCACTGACAAACAATGTCAAAAATAATGATTCTTTATATAATGGTGAGGTGTGCTGCATTGCGTAGCATTCGTCATCCACAAGTGAAAATGACTGAAAGCAATGTCAGTATATCAGAAGAAGTTTGAGGAAGACATCACCTACACTGCTGGGAACAATTTCTGACATTTAAGATGCAAAAAGAAATGTTTAAAACATTGTCTTGATACTTCAAGTGCATTTATCTCACTTCACTTTTGGCAGCAAATCCCACCTTAATAAAACTATCGTTTCAGTATGAAACTACCGAAAGACTTAATATTTGCAGATTATATGCTGAAATTTTATCGAGCCGGTTACTATGAATTTAGATTTTGCATTTTCATATTCTTTTATTATGAAAAATTGTAATTTGCAGAACTTGGCAAATGTAAAGAAAAAACAAAGAAACTTTCATAAATCTTTTTTATATGGAAAATGCATATTTTCTGAAATTTCTTTCGATAGTAACCGGCAACAAGTATTCCAGTATGCATTCCACCAGAAACATATGTGGTGATCAACACCATTTCTCAACGATAGATTCATTGAGCAGATTCAATACAAAGCTACGTTCTGGGGTATAGTACCTCATAAAATTGGTTCACAGGGCTGAAAGTTTGCATGCCCTCCTGCTGTATGGCTACAAACACCACCTGCAAATTTCACACCAATTGAGTAAGCAGTTCAAAAGTAGACAAAAAATACCCAGAGCAGCTAAGAAATATCTCATACCTCTCTGCGTAAGGGGAGATGCACATGCAACGCATGATCTGTGTAGATGGCTCTCGACTCGGAGCTCGTAACGAGTCCGATGCAGCGAGAACATCTTAGTCTATTTCAGATTTAAAAAATGCCTCGTCACCACTTCTGGCTGTATGTGGTACCCGATCGCCCAAGCTGCCTTTGCACCAAGAAAACCCCATTAAATCAGCCCCTTCTAGCTTCTCTGTTCAGACCTGCAGCGCCAAACATCATTCACAAAGCGAGCAAAAGTAGCTACGGGAGGGTCTCCCAAAAATCACTTTTGTCCTCTGAGCTTTCATTCGTGTCTGCCGTGCCAATGGAGGGAGTGCCAAAAACTATCGAAAAGGCCTTTTGGGAGGCACTATGGTGGGTTAAGAGGAGAGCGACATGTAGGACAAAGAAAGGACACAACATTTTTCTCTCTGCAAGCTTGACCATTTATCCCTGTAAGTTACCAATTCGTCGGAACTATAGTGATTCCTTGTTTGACGGTTGTTCGGGATCGGGGAGGACGTGTTCGACGTGTAATGCTGACCGCCTTCTCTTCAGGTATGCGGAGCGGGCGGGCATCCTGCCCAAGGCAAAGGTCCCCGAAAGTCTTCCGCAGGAAACGGAAGGTCCCAGACTGGCCGAAACAGGTCAGTCGGAATTGCCAGTACTAGCCGTTAACTCTTTGAGTGCCACTCTTGAGCGTACCCGGACGCGTTCTCGTCTGGTTTCAGTTTTGGCTTGTTCTCCGCCACTCCCATCTAAACTGTTTTTTTTTGTTTTTTTTTTCTAAGTGTAATGGCATCTATGAGCAAGCAGTGAAAACAATGTTTTATCTTGTGGTAGCACGTTTTGATAGCACATAATGTTTTGTTTGTTTGTTTATCTGACTTCTGTTTCGGTATGCTCCTTTGTTGTTACAGAGTGGCGAATCTATGTTGTTCAACCTCGCGCTGTATGGTGGTCACTGAGATGGAGCAATTGCTAACGAACTCAGTATTCGGCAACTGTGAAAACAAGGAAGTTACAGTTCTAAATAAACAAAGGCTGAGCAAGGCCACTCAAAAGACTGCCCTCGGGGTGCGAGGCCAAGGTGCCGCTGCATTGTACCGCGTCTCGAAAAGTACAATACGAGAAATGTGCCAAGCATCAATTAACTTTCTGCCCATAAAAATCTTTTTTGTCTAAATAAATATACTTCACAGAGCATTCTACGGTGTTGCTGAGACTAAAATTTGCATCCGGCATGGAAATAGGTGCTCATCTCTATATTTCTCTGCCTTTCCTTGGAAAAACAGTGCGGTACTTGTCCTCGGAGGGACAGGCTAGGAATGGAAGTGATAGAAATTAAATTTAGGAAATTGAGTGTAGGGCACAATTTCTCTCTTCTTTTTTTTTTTCGCTAACAATGTTTGTAATAGTGAAATTATTCTATCAAGTAAAATACATTTACTTCGTCAACATCTTATCAATACCTAACTATCCTAAATAAATACACATTGTAGACAGGTTCCTCGCTACTAACGAAAACATCAATAACTTTTTCTTTTTTTCGTGCGATTGCATAGTTTTTGCAGAGAAATTTTGGCTAGTGTTTAGTGAATCACTCTGCATGATAAATACTACTTCCATACAGGGATCATACTGTAGAATCATTGGGACCAACTAGTAATACTGGTACAGGCAATTCAGGTTCTTATACTAATAAAAAAAATAGTGGTGTGGTCCTCTTTTTGTTTGTAAATAGAGTGGACTTTAGAGAGGTTTAACTGTATTAATACTACTATCTTAGCTTACCAGGGAGGCTTTCAGCCTCTCAGGAAAACATTTTGAAGAACACATCTCGGGTAGTTTCAAACTGACAAATCCTCCTTGCAAGCACATAAGACGGCCAGGCTGTCTTGAATCGGCATCTGCACAGTTTATGTCAGCTTTTCAAGTTTGTGACTCCTTTTATTTTTCTGTCATGTCTCACCTGTGCAGCAGGTAGTTCAGAGGAAGCGGAGACTGCGCCAGAGGAAATAGCAGGCATCTGCAACTGGAACCAGCCAACCGAGTTTGCACACGGCATCGCGACCACGCTCTATGAGTGCCATCCCGTGACCAAAGAGAATGCAGGTAGGAGCGCTGGTCGTCATCATCCTCATTCATTCATTCATTCATTCTTACACCTTCATTGTATCTCTTAGCTTAAAAGAAGGGCCAAGTTCCTTGAATTCATTTTTGGCTGAACAAAGTAATATATATCTGTACTTCTTTGTCCCTTTAGGTAGCCATTTCGGAAATTAACAGGGGCTTTGTTACTGGGGTTTAGGTTTTTCTGAAATTAGAAAAAGATGCAGTACGAAATTTATCGGTGCTATTGTCCTACCTATGGCTTTTTTTTTCTTTTTTTCTTTCAGGATGGTGTGGGTCTTGTCGTAGATCAGTTCAGAAATTAAAGTACCGGTCACGAGGCCATGAGGTTAAAAGTAAGGGTGTGCGAATACTAGAATATACAAATTCAAATTGAGGGCATGTTCAGATAAGATAGAACACGCGCGAGCCGGTTCGCATTTTTGTTTTTCTTTGCATTTGTATATGTTGCTCCCCAATATGTGCAGGGAATGAAATCACAAATGTTTTCTCAAAGAAACAAATATCTCGAAAGGAAAAAGAACACGACTGCTCCAAAGACGGCAACGCTGTTTTCGAGCTTTGTCGGTTCTGTCAGGTTTGACTGCATGTAATAGGCGAACCAGAAATGCCAAGAAACTGAATATTTTTCAGGAATCTGTGAATTGTAGTTACTACATTCTTGAATGTTTGCAGTATTCTAAAAATATATATATTGCGCGTACAAAATTCACAAATATGGCTGCTTTAACGTTTTGACCCAATTTTTGTGACTCAATATATGTTAAAAGATGCATGCAAAGGAAAAACAAAAATTTTTAAATGGCCTAGATGGAAAAAGAATGCTATAAAACAAATTTGCAAAGATGGAAAAAAAAATTAAGAGCTATTTTTACAGCGCAAAACGAATTTGTAGTTGGTGCCCGCGGGAGCCTCCGAGGGTCATGTGGTAGACCTGTGTGCCAATGTGCTGTGCCGCCGCTGCCTCAAAGTCACACCGCCTCCGCACACTGAGCGTGGTGGGCCGCTGCTTTAACGCGTTTCTCCACGCCACCGCCGCGCAAGTTCGTCTGCTCCAGGGAGCCGCCGTTGTCATCTGTCCGGCGCGCAGGTCTATCACGTCTGCTTGCACTTTTCCAGGAGCTTCCTTTAGGCTTTAAAAGTTACTTATTAATCTTTGTTTTTTTGTTGCACTTAAAACGAAGATGAATGAATGACTTTTAGAGGCCATAGGAAGCTTCCGAAAGAGCGCAAGCACCACGTGACAAATAGCGGCCAGTCACATAATAAATGGCAGCCACTTTTCTGTGGTGCTCGCGGGCGCCAATTACAAATTCGTATAGCGGCGTAAATATAGCTCTAAAAATTTTTCTTTTCGTTGTAAATTCGTTTTATGACTTTCTTTTCCCAACCCGGCTTTTTCAAAAAAATATTTGTTTCCTTCGCATGTGGTGTTTAAGGATATTAAAGGGATGCTGAACCGAAATTTTGGGTGGAAATTCTTGGTCGCAATGGCATACATAGCATGTCCTTTACTTCTAAATGACGTTGTTTTGAGCGAGAAGGCGCATAAAATTGAATAAACACGAAAAATACAATTTTACGCGACCCCTGGTGAGCGTCGTGGAAAGCTCGCTTCGTGACGCGCGCATTCTCATTCGCCTCTAAAGACAGACGGAGCCAAGCCAAGCCAGGCGCTAAGCCAGGTGGCGTTTGTTATTGTTAGTACCACGTGGGCTCTTCCCGCGTGATACTACTACCAGCCGCTTTGAGAACAGCCGCCGAGCGAAGGATCAAGGCCAACGAACGAGGAGAATGCGCGAAGGCACCAGGGGCGCTGGGGGCGCCGAGAATGCGCACGTCAGTTCCGCTACGCCTGCTCTCAGAAGGACTCGCTCGCGCCGGCGGTTTCCGGCCGAGGATTCGCTCTTAATTCAAAGAAATACAATAATTCGGGCCCCATCCGTCGGATTGAATATCGTTTCTAGGTACAGCACCATCCCGTGAAGCCCGCTCGGGCAATAATTATGAGATTTCAAATATCGGTTCAGCATCCCTTTAAACTGAAACTTTTTTCATATGTACTTTATAAACGTGTCTCTTATTCAAAAATAGATTGCTGCTCTAGTTTATAATTCAAATTATTTACAGGGCTTCACACATATCCGAAATTGAAAAGTATTGCAACTTCAACTTGCAATTAAAAAAAAAAAGAAAAATATCTTCAATCTTTTTAAGATTTGGAGGAATCCCTCTCCTTTACACCCTCAACAACTTCCGTTAGAAACATGTTGCATCATTTTGTTTTCGTCAAAAGTACAGCACTTTGAAATGTACCTCCCCACATGGACGTGTTCGCCCGAGGTCACAGCCGCAGTGTGGCCGCCTTCCAATTTTTTTGTTTAGAACTTCTGACAATGTCCTGTTTTTTTCTTGTGCACAAGTTCAAATTATGTACGTCTGGACCGCTTTGAATAGATCTATGCAGTGCACATAGCTCGGTGTTTGCGGTGTATAGCAAACACGACTTATTGAGCCTCAACAATAGCGGATGCAACCACATACACCGGGAGGGAAGAGCCGGGCAGCGAGCCACGGGACGCCTGGAAGCAACAGTCTGGGCGGGATCGCAGCCAGAAAAGACACTTCTTGTAACACCAACCGATTGTAACCTAAACAGTTATATTAATATGTCCTTGCATTCTCCCAAATTATCCTAACCAAGAAGCTCCCGACCTCAAACACACAAAAAGGGGAGGAGGAATAAACTTCATTATGGTGAGCCTTAGCTGCGAAAGTAAACAACAAAACTATCGACAAAAACGAACTCTATCAATGAGATGCATATTCTGCACATATAATATTCTCAATCACAGCGCATTTTGAAAAATTCCTACGAATAAAATCACTATTTGATATTCAGTATTCGGCTTTTTTTTCCTTAATTCGATTCGGTATGTGATTCGATAACAACTTTCGGTATTCGCACACCCTTAGTTAAAAGTAACGGGAAGGAATAAGGGTTCTGCCGTCGTCCTGATTACTTTATCTGTGTACTTAGTCTTGCTTTTGTGTTTGACATGCTTCTTGTTACCTGTTGCAGAGTTTTTATGTTCGTGCGGCCGATGGGATGAAATAGTTTTATTTTTGCCATCGCCTGAATGTAAATCTTCAGTCCGATTTTATGTCAATGGTTGTAATTTATGAAAATTAAGAGAAAACAGATGGTTTCAAGACAACCTCCTTGTGTAAAACAAAACAAGTTCTGCTTTCGTTGTTTGTTTTTTTTTGGCCTGGATTTATACAATCTTTGTGCTTACCTCGAAATTAAGACTTATTGTATGAAGTAATAACACTAATAATATCAATCTTAATTTTTCCACAAAAATGCAATGATAGAGGCCAAGGGATAAATGCTGTCAATAGTAATAATATTATCCTTCATTTTCCAACAAAAGTACAAAGTCGGCTCAGGACGAGGGATAAGTGCTGTTAACAATAATTTAACTCGTCCCCCCCCCCCCCCCCTTTTCCCCCATAATGTAACAGCAGCGAGTGACCGAGACATCCCAAACTTTTATATTTTATTTTTTGTAAGCCGTCGTGACATTTTTCCTTCGCCCGCAGGAGAACCCATCGCAGACGCGTTTGCCATCTGCGTGCGGGAGAACAGCGCCGTGATGGCGTTGGCAGACGGAGTGAACTGGGGCGACAAGTCGTGCCTCGCCGCGCGCTGCGCCGTGCACGGCTGCGTCGACTACCTCAACCGAGCGCTCTACCGGGAGGGCGGCACGCTCGACACAACACTGGTGCCACCAAACTTCTCGCTTCCGCTTTACTCTCTCTTTTTTTCTTTTTCTGGCCCGTTGGCTAACTCAGGATCCTAAGGCCAGTTCACACACTTACGACCGCTTACGACCTGGCGACTAACAAGCTTAAAATCTCTTGATTGTAGCATAAGGACGCACTTGAGTGCCGTCTTTTTTTTGTCTTGAAAAAATTTTTGACAATGTGATTAACGACTGTTTCTCGTAAATAGTATGTGCATTTGATCTCGCAAACGCTTCAGAACCTATGCTCTAGTGAAATGCAGTTCCAGGCTCGCCTCACAGATGGCGCCAGCATGCCATCGTGTTCTCCAGTCGTAAGAGACTGCGAGCGTGCGGACGGGCCCTTACGCCTACCCTGTTTTCCCCCCTGCAGGAGGTGTTTGTGTGCCTGCTGCGGTCCTTCCAGGCCGCGCACAGCCTCATCCTGCAGGAGCAGGGCATGTTGACGACCCTGTGCGCGGCTGTCGCCTGCCAGCTGCGGGACTCGGACCAGTACGTGGTGTGTGTCTGCAACGTCGGCGACAGCCTGGCCTACGTCTACAACCAGCAGCACGGCGTGCGCGAGATCACCCTCGGTGAGCGGACCGATGCGCGGCGTTTCGCGTCCCCGCGCTTGCTTCGGCGTGCCATCCGGCTCGAGTTGCTCAAAGATCCAAAACACAAACTGGACAAACCAAACCCAAAAGCTTACATTTAAATGCCTACGCACTGGTGATGGGGCTGAGCAGACTCCTTCGGTGGAAAAGGGGGGTGAAAGAGGCATAGAGGAAAATGTAGGAGGGAAGAGTGCAGGAGAAATTAGCTCTAACAGTATACAGGTCACAAAAGCAGGACATAAGATAGGAAAACGTGTTTGACAATTCACTGAGAAGTTCTTCGCTGTTCGAGGCAAGAACGACGCGGACGTATAGTGCCAATTTCAGGAGACAGACACATTATGTGCCGCCTGGCATGATGAGAGTGAGACACTCGAGCACCTGGTTTTAAAGTGCACGGGGCTTCGCCCTGCCCTCCCTGAAAGGGTAACGGATTTACTGGCAACAATGGAAGAGAAAAGGATTACCGTAAAATCCCGTAAGGAAGCCCACCCAAAATGAAGAGATAAATGGAGGAAAATTGAGACTCCCTCCCGCGTGGCTCCGGCCCAAAGTCTCAACCCTGTCATTTAGTGAGTCCGGTGCTTGGATAAGGCCGAGAAGGTTTGACCAGAGAAAAATTGGTGACTCTCCCTCATTGGGGGGAAAGCGGGGGATGATGTTTTTGTTTTTTTGCCCGATCCCCCGAAGGTCATAGGCCACACTGCCTGGTAATAACTTTGGGGGAGAAAATTGGTCTTAGAAGAGCTGGAGGAATCATATATTTGTTTTTTTAGACTTAGGCTAGGTGGTGCAAGCTACCACCCATTGCAAAGGGTATAGCCATTAACATCCATCCATCCATCCAAGCAATTCTCACTCATGCGCTCTAACTCGTTCTACCCATCGTTGTTGATCTGCTGTGAAAGGAAGTCTGGCAGCCACGTTCGGGAAAGCATCGCGCTAACTAGGTGGTGCAAGGCTAGGTGGCGCGAGGCTAGGTGGCGCGAGGCTAGGTGGCGCGCGGCTAGGTGGCGCGAGGCTAGGTGGCGCAAGGCTAGGTAGCGGGAGGCTAGGTGGCGCAAGGATAGGTGGCGCAAGCTACTGCCCGACACAAAGGGTACAGCCATTAGTACTATCCATCCATCCATCCGCCCACTCATTTTGCTCTCTGTGCCCTTTTGAGCGATGGTTGCCTGGAACGCGTCTCCAACCCATATGTTTAGTGTCCTATTCCACATCGAAAGCGGTCCCAAAGTGGCAACAAATGACATCGCAAAAGCCGGCTTGTCATGCTGTCATATGTCGCTATTATGGTGGTTGGGCGTAGAAGTTCTGGCAAAAAGCATGAGCAAACGCAAGTGTTGCCGTCATCATGGTGTTCCAACTTCCGACTGCCGAAGCTTTCGTGGATTGTCCGGTTGTTAAATGACCTGCAGGAGAACAGGCGTCTGCCACATTCACTGCTGTTGCCGTGATGCCACCAGAGTTGCAACTGGCAAAAACACTATGCTTCAATGACGTCGTCAAGCGGAATTCGAGGAACCACTTTTTTGGATGTGGCGAACACACCAGTTTGAGGTGCGTTCCAGGCACCGTGGTACAGCTATATTTCCGAAGAAGCGAACAGCAGAGAAAGCGATTGTGGTGACGTCCGTATGGCGATCGTCGCCCTTTTCTCGCAGGATCGCACGACATCCACTCGATGCGGGACATGCGGGACGCCCTGGGGGCCCTCGGACCAGTGGACGGCCAGAACCCGGAGCTGAACAACCTGACCGTCTCGATGACGGTCGCCCAGCGGGGGGACATCCTTTTCCTCACCTCGGACGGCATCTCGGACAACTTCGACCCCGTCGTCGGAAAGTTTGCCGTCGCCAGACGTGGCCGCAAGGAGGGCACCGCACCACAGCCCGCTCTCCCCGAAGTCGAAGCACACCAGCGGCACGCCCTCACGCTGCTCCGCATGCAAGACCTCCTCCAGCAGGGCCTGTACCAAGGGGACGGACCGGTCCGATCCGCGGAAGAGCTCTGCGACCGGATGGTGGACTTCGCGACAAAGCTGACGGCGGCGAAGCGTCGGATCCTGGAGGACCCTGACCTGTACTCGGACGGGTCGCAGGGGGAGGAGGCGCGGAAGCGCAGGCACCGCGCTGGACCGCGTCTTGCAATGGTTCCGGGGAAGCTGGACCACGCGTCGCTCGTGGCGTACCAGATCGGCGGATCATCAAAGGGGCACGACAGCTACGACGGCCACGACCGGACCAACCGCAACATTCCGGCAGAGGAGCCGTCGTGTCCGGACAACTACCCGTTCGAGACGACCATCTGAGGCAAAGGCAGGAAACGGGCGAGCGACCGTGGTGCCCCGGTGCTCCGACGCGCCGTGACTCACGTGGCCGTGCGGTGCCGTGACGGGACCCTTTCTGTTTTTGGACCGTCTGGGGTTTGCCGGAACTTTTGATCCATGGGCGTTTGTTCTACGATGCGCCGGTTGGCTCACTATCACCGTCCCCCCATTTTATTTTATTTTTGAGTGGTTTTTACATTTCCGTGAGATTGAGCGACGATTTTTTTGCTGCGACCGCGTTGAGCGAGGATGGCTGCTGCTTATTTGCGTTTTCCGCGGTTGCGCCAGATCTATTTGAAGGCATTCCATATTGTACAAAAGAGAGAGTGATGCACTAGTAGCGGAGCCCCTTTCGTTGCCAAACGAGATGACAACTTGCATTTTGGTCCGTAGATGGGAGTAGATTGCTTGCTCCCTCACACTTTTACTGCCGTGTTTTGCTTTGCGTTACAAAGTAGGCAGCTATCAGCTTTGTCTTGCATTCACTAGTGCAGCGCAGACTACTAACTAGAACGGGAACTGCCCGTGAGTCGCCCTACCAAGTTACATCTGCAACCCTGCAGCTATTGGTGGTCGGCGGTGACTGCCTCCATCCCAAGGCTTCGCCGCTGCCGCCATAAATGACACATTCCCTCTCGGCAAATAAATACTCTGCAGATTTTCTTCTTCATCACGCCTTGCTTCTGACTTTTTAATGCATTCCGTTCGGCCATTTCTTGCCAACTTTCTCGACACTGCTCGCTTGTTGTGGATTCTTGTGAGCCAGTATACATAAAATCAAATATAGAGTGCAGCTTGGAAAGCTCTAGAGCAAAATATTGAAGCGTACCTTTTTTAAAGGGATCATGAAATAATTTTACAGCCTTTTCTGAGTGAAGACCCCAATGAGTCTTTAAAGGGTAACTGCACAGAAAAAAAAGTTTTTTTAAACAGCCTATATCGGACAAGCATGTCACAAAACAGATCTTCCGCAAAAAAACAAAATTTTTCTAGCAATATTTACAGGCAGGACGTAATTTAGCCGCAGTCACAACTTCTCCACATTTGAAATTCCCGCTTTTTCGACGCGCGCAAAGTGGCTGTTATACGTCACTCCGTGACGTATAGCAGCCACTAAGTGGCGTGTAATGCCAACCTTGTGGCGCGCGATTTAAAACGGACGAAATAGCCGCAAACTAAAATCAGTCTCTCGCAATAAATATTGCTGTAAAAAATTTTGTTTTGGGCGGAAAAATTGTTTTGTGACATGCTTGTCCCAATTAGGCTGTTTAAAATACACTTTTTTTTCTTTGCAGTTACCCTTTAGTGTTCATAAAACCCAGTGTAGGAATCTGTTTTCATGTTGTTGTGTGCAGTTTTGCAGAAAAAAATATGAAAACTTGTGTCCGGTTATCTCCTCAACTCGACGAAACTCGGCTGCCAACAGGTGAAGTCACATGGCCATAACGTACAGTATGCCTTTTTACTGGAAACGGAAGCCCTTCCAGGCCAAGCGAGCGAGCCACGTTGAAGATGAGCGCTGCATCACATGGACGTATGCGCTTGTCAATAATCAATCCGTCGACGAATATTTGAATTCGCGTTTGTGGCCAATGAGTGCCAGGACGGCACTTATTGTCGCTTGGGAATGACAAGTTTCATGGTGGGCTCGAGAAAGACGGTGGAAGCTTCAAGTCACCGCCTTTGATGCCCAAGCACTTCACGACCGCGTGATTTCTCACTTCGCTTTTGAGTTGAAGAGAAAAGCTAAGGAGGATGAAGTTGAAAAATCATTTCATGGTCCCTTTAATGATGGCTGTAATACTTGCCAAATTGCTTAACTGCAAGAATATTAACACCAAGCTGATTGAATATACAGTCGTTAATTCTTACGAAACTTTTGTCCAGGGTAGGTTTTGGCGAATCCTGTTTTTAGACAAACGAAACCTAATATGTGAAGCGACAACACGGCCGCTGCACCTGCCAGTCGGGCAACAACGGGCGGTGAAGAAGGAGAAAGAAGATGGGTTCCGCTTTGTCCAGCGGCAGCAACTCTCCGGACGATTGCTCCATGCACGAATTCTCGTCTCCCAGCGACACCAGTTGGGCACAGATGCATGCCCGAGTTACGAAGCGTGAGTAGAACACAGGTTACACAGAACAGGGATAGAAGGCACGGTATGATGAGACGCCTGGCACCCTTGTATGAAAGTGGAGCTGTGGTGCATTTTCCAGTCGTTAAAAATGGCGGAATGCGTGTTTGCACGCAGTGCCCGTGAACGTGGTAGAAAACCTGTGGGCCGACTATCGCAACCTCGAGCTCAACCAGGCTGGCAGAGAAAGCGTCGTCTCGACTGATCGTCTGCACCCCGAGGTGGGCACTTGCCGTCTGCTATGGTCCGTTGCAGGTTAAGAAAAGCAGGACAAGGGGCCCTTCCACAAAGTTGTCTGCTCGCCACAGTTGCTCGTTCCCCCCCTCTACCTGCATCTTTTTCGGCATTCACTCTTAAAGTAGAAGACCAGGTAGCTTTTAGGGGGGAGCTTATCCTGCTTTTCTTAATTTGCATCAACAAACTATAGTTTGCTTCAAAACTGAGCAGGTCTTTCCTTGTTGCTCTCGCTTGCAGTCCAAACATGCCTTATCTTTTCTGTCGCAAAGGCGTACCACGGACACCATCACATTTCTGCAGCTCTGTTCGCTTTACAAGTGGATCTCGAACCCGCTGAATGAAACAAGAGCGAAAGGTATCGGCGTTGCTGCTCTTAACGCTGCTTCAGCTGCTTTCCACTTACACTTCGCAATGCGTTCAGCGATATTCCGCAAGTTATTTCCAGGTGGCAGCATGGACCATGGACAACTTCATGCTCTGCTCCGGAAAACTTGCCCTGATGATACTGAGGTGAGCTTAACATCGTCCCGATATTTAAAGGGACACTAACAGGGTATTTTTGTTCGCAAAGGTTTTTATTTGTACATTACATATATGAGAGCCCAACTACCCACAAAAACAATTTGCGGCTTGAAATTCATTTTCTTACCGCCCGAAAACCGCCGATCGAGAACTGGGCGGTTTGAGTCGCGCTCACTTTCTTCTTTGTGGTCACGTGCCGTTTTCTATGGTTTAGACACAACTATCAACGATAATCAAAGTTGTGGATCATCAAAGGCACACGCTCAATATAAAGAATAGAAAAAAAAAAAATATGATACATATTTTTTGTGGCCTCTAAAAAGTTGCAAATATCTTCATTGAAAAGAAAAAAAACAAAAAAAAACTTGCACAGCCACAAGACTTCAGCCAACCCTCTCCATCTCTCTATTTCTTCCCCCCATTTCATTACTTTTCTAAAAAAAAAAATATGTGACTTTGTAGCAAAATATTGATTAAGTAATCTTCCAACACCCTAATAAATCGTCTAACAAAAAAATAACGAAAAAATTGGTGGTGTGTCAGTGTTTTATTAAGAATGTTTTTGATTGCGGAGTGTATTTTTCGTAACTTCCAACTTTGGGAGGCTTTATTTTAATATGGGATCTTCCTTTTAATTAGTTATTTCGCTTAATTTTAGAATCACAAGAGTTGTGGTTTACGTGAGGGGCGGGCTAGCTCTAGGAGGTGTTGGCTAGCTTCTCTTACATTTGGGCAGGGGATCCAGAATTTCGTTTTGGGGGGAGGGGGGGGGGGGGCGGAAAATTTTTAAGGATACTATTCTCCCATTCTTTGTTGTGCAAGGGGGGTCCACCCATGTCAAATTGCCCTCCGAGAAGGTGGGAGGGAGGGGGGTCGACTTTGGGGGGTGCGACCGCTCCCCCCCCCCTTGGATCTGCCACTGCATTTGGGAAAGGGTAACATAGAAAAGGTAGAAAGGAACTTCTGCCTTCAGCCGTTCAATGCTAATGCCTATAGACCACGCACGGCTCTGACGTCACGCCACTGCGGTGGCGCTGCTGTTGGTACGGCGCATGCGCAGACTCCTCACCTCACGTGAATCTGTTCTCTGCGCACACGCTGTGCTCACCAAATATAAGCAAACATTTTTTTTTGTTTTGTTTTTTGTAAACATCATGTGGGCATATATTTACAGATTACTATCAAGCGGTTTGCTGACGTATTCTTCGCGCAGATGGACACTTCGAGAGAAGGCCAGTCTCTGCTCTTGCCACACTAAAATGCTGGGTAAAATGTTTCGCATCCTTTACTGAATTGTGTTTTTTTTTTCTAGGGGTCATCACGGAAGACAAGTTTCTCGACTGGCTGATGACTTCCACGCCCAAGGTTCAATTCATGGTTCTCGAAAAACTGGCTCCTCCTGAGACCCCCCCCGTGCCTGTTTGATCTTGAAACAGAGTCTTATGGTTAATATAATAAAACTCCCCCGTGAGATTTTGGTGGGTTGTAACTGAATTTCACCTTACGCACCGACACCAACGTTAACCGAAACCGAATTTGGGATTTTGCAAATAGCCAAACCATACTCTCTCTCACTAGCGTGAACTAACTCTGCAAGGGCGAGAGGGTGGCCCTGACTGCATAAAAGGGATACTGAACTGAAATTTGAATGTCGCAAAATAAGTCCACAGAAGCGTTGAACGGGATGCTACAAACTTCAAAACATCACTCGTACATCGATATCTCAAGACTGATGGCCATACTTTTGGAAAAGAAGTGAGCAATCAAGTGACATCTATGATATGTCACGGACCTCCTGCAATATTTGAGAATGAGGGGAAGCGTCCTCGCTTCTCTCCTCCTCGCTTTGCTTCACCAGCTCGATGGGATGTAGCGAGGAGAGGGAATGAGAATTGTGACGTGAATTGTCTCATCGGCCTCGTCGGCCATGTTCAGTTGCACAATTCTTTTCCGAAAATACGGCAATCCGTTGGAGATATCGCCATTTGAGTGATGTTTTTGGGTTTTGCAGCGTCCCACCTATCAGTCCAGCCTTGTTTTGAGAGCTTGAAATTTCGGTTCAATATAACCACACACAAAAAAAAAAAAAAAACGCCGAGGCTTTATTTGATTCTTCAGCATGCGCGGCTAACAATAGCCCAATCATGGTTTGTTGTTTATTTTGAAATGCAAAAAAAAAGAAAAAAGAGACATTTGCAATTCTTTGTAATGCCGAGTTAGAGCGCAGCTCTTGAGGAGGAGGAGGGGAGGGTATGGAGCAACGCATTCGGTCACGGCTTGGTAGCGTGATCTGCAACTGCTCAATGGAAACCAAAACTGAGCGGCCAACTCCCAGAGCCCAGATTACGTACTGTGTGGCATTTCACCACGTTGGAACGCTTGGAATTTTTTAAGAAGTGAAGTTTACTCTATAAGATGGCGCTAGCTAACGTCTGATCGTTCAAATAAAATAAATTTATTGTTGTTATGAAAGTGGATAGTTAGCCAGTCGCAGAGGCCAGTCGGAGCCAATCCAGAAGGTCAATCAGTGGTTTGGCTCGTTTTGCTGGTGTCAACCGTGTACCGTGATTTTTCCCCGCTGATTCGTCACACGGAGGATCCAAACACCGACATGTCTGGAACGCGGTTCAGCAAACGCAAGAGGTAGTCGTCGCTAGCTTTCCCCGCAGAGCTAGACAGCATGTCGCAAGAACTGCCTTTCCAAGAGTGGACTAGTAACGCCCCTGCCATGGAGTGTGGTACAGTACGCGGCAACGGCTCCCTGGAACTGACCAGCAGCAAAAATAACAACAGCGAATCGTCCAAACTGCTCGATCTGTCATCCGACAGCGAGTCGGAGCCGGAGCCTCTCCAGCTCGTACCGCCCAAACGAAAAGTCCGCTTCCGAAAGTGAGTTGGCGCTCGCTGGGTCTTATCTCGAGGGGGGGTCTTGCGACGTTTCTGCGTGTGTCGTGCTCTCGATTACAGCCGAGCGATTCCCCGTGTGCTCGACGGGGAATGTTCCCCGTGTTTATTGAAACCGACACGAGCGTGAGATTGGAGCTGTCACGCGGTGCGATTGTACTCTGCGCCTCTTTTTCGTGGATGACTCCATCACAAGAAGTGCACAAGCACGTTGCTTCGACTGACACGTTGTCTGGACTAGTGCTTGTGCCGAGTTGCCCAACTCCTTTCGAACCCAAGAAATGTCATGTGTTAGGGCGTAACATTGCCCTGCCTTTGAGGTCTGACGACGCTGGTTTACGCTGTCTGTCGGGGAGGCCTCATTTGGTGTGCAAACTCATAAGGGATAAAATTTGTTTCGCACTGCTACCTCTTCCAGTTGTCAAATACGAAAAAACGCCGATGTTGTGTTCATGCTAACGGTGCTAACTTCCCTACTTAATGTATTTTTGTGTCTGTTAGCATAGACGTATACACATGGGCATACCAACTGTGGGGGGATTGGGGGGGGGGGGGGGGGGGGGCAAGGGGGGCCACCCTGAGAACGGGAAGCCTTGCCCCCCCAGTTCTCAGGGTGGGGGGGCAAGGCACGTGTTTTGCCCCCCCCCCCCCCCGAAACAGCCGCCACTGGGCAGGGCAAACACTGGCCGGCGGCACCCAAGGGATACCAAGGGTGGCCTTGGGGGGGGGGGGGCCTGGTTTGCCCCCTCACTCAAAAGCAAGTTGGTACGCCACTGCGTATACAAGTATAACGACAGGCAACAGGCATAATCAACGTATGCTCACAGCTGATGAAACGGCTGTGAGCATTCGTTCTGAATACACCCCATTTGTCTGCTAATTGTAGAATGCCTGCTAACGTCCAAGTCGGGGTGGGGGGGGTGAAGATTTGAGCAGAATGTGGCTAATCCTGAGTGCCGGCGGTGGTGGTCTCGAGAGGAAGAGAGCAACGAAAAAGCGTAAAACGAAAGCAGACGATAGGCATGTTTGTTTTGCCGTAACAAGTTGAAGTTTGAGTGCTTGTCAACTTTGTTTATTTTTATACAATGCGCAATGCCAGTGCTTTCTGAAAAGTAAGCTAGAAAAGAACTGGGCACAGACCGTCTTTTTTTGTCTCTTTGTGTATATTAAGGCGTCAGTAACGTAGTGGGCCCGTTGGGGCCACCGATGTATGCGTCTATTCGGCTAGCAAGTGTTACAAAATGCATCCGCAAAAGTGACAAGCCAATCAAAGGACAACATAGATAACTTGTAGGGAGCGCATGATGATGAAGCACCCAGCGCACGGCGTCCTTGGTTGTCGTCGGGGGGATACAAAAGAAACATGGATGCATTTGGGGGGTAAACAAATGCATCCATGTTTCTTTAGTATCCCCCCGACAACTACCAAGGATGCCGTGCGCTGGGCTGCTCCATCATCTTGCGCTCCCTACAAGTTATCTATGTTGTCCCTTGATTGGTGTGCCACATTTGCGTTCCGATGCACCAAAGATGCATTTTGTAAATAAATGCACGAGATGCGCAAGGGGCACACAGACTTGCACACCGTGAACCCCGACGTTCTGAAGCGGGCAGAATGCATGGGACCTTGCCCTCTAGATTAACTCTATTGTCCGATTGTCCGAGTGGTCTTCTTTCTGTATAACATCTGAAGATAACTTTTCTTTTTTGATTCAGTATGGCGCAAAACCTAGCTTTTTTTTTAAACATTGAGTTATCTCAAAGTTGACAGACTGCATCCTCGTGTTGCAGACGGCTCCGGCAGGGCCTCCGGCCCAAAGCGATTCTGCCAGTGCCAGGCCAGTCTGACTGGTGCTGTTGCTTCTCCTGCCTGCACGTAGTCAAGGCCCTTGCCCTTCTCATGGTTGCCATCATCCTCATGATCCAGATCTGGTTTGTGCTGAATGTGCGCTCCAGGGTTGACAACCTCTACACCTTCTATAAGAACAACGGTGAGCTCACTTCTCGGGACAACTGCGTTGCCTCGAATGTGTCTCCCACTGGTGTGTATATCAACTGCCAGGGTTGCAGCATTTGACAGCTGGACGCTTTGGCTTTTGTGGCCACTTTGGAACCAGTTCTGATGGACGGGGGGGAAAAGGATGCTAAAAACACGCCAGTCAGAGACACGTTCTAGGTACCGTAGTGCAACGGTCTATTTTCAGTGGTTATAAAATCAATCATTCAGAACCTGTTTTCTTAAAGGGCAAGGCAACGGTTTTTGGATTTTTGGACTTTGGCCAATTAACCGTGGGAATTGACCTGTGTCGCCTTTGAAACGAAGAACAAAAAAAAAAACATCTTTCTTTTGGCTGGCGGCGAGTGTAGCAGTGGAGGGGGACAGGCTTTGTTGACTTATGCCTGTCTCGTGGCGAATTGTTTTTTGTGTCGATCTCTCGCCGTGACCTCCGGCGATGCTTATCCTTGAAAAGTCGACGAATTGCAGAGGAAGCGGGGCTCTGAATACAGAGCCCAACGGGAAACCAGGTGGGCCCCCCCTTAGACGTTGCTCGAAAGACGACGTGAGATTTGAGGGGCTATTTGACCTTCAATTTGTTTCATATTTTTAACTTCTTTTTATTACTTTTACCTAAGCACTTGGGGAACAGTTCTTTTTCAGTCTTTTATTTATTGTCTCGACATGAAAATCTGTTCTCCTGTGAAGCATTACCGTAGTTCCCTTAACCGCCACACGCAGCTGCAGATCGACAAATAATTTGTTTTTTCCTTTGTGATTATGCAGCGGAATAGCAGTTTTTCTGGGGAAGGTGGCACATTTTTTTTTGTGTGCCTAGATAAAATATATAAAAATAGAAACTACAAATTCTTTCAATGTTAAAATCGTTGCACTGCTCCTTTAAGAAGTAGTTTACCGCAAAACTAGCAGCTGACAGTAAAGCTACTGACCATTGTGTGAAAAGACAGGTGCCGGAATTCTTGTGCAATTCAATCATCATACAAGAATCAAAGGAAGCTGCACAACATTTGATGTTCTGTGTTTTCGCCAAAAACATCTGAATCTACAAATGCGCCTGGTAGTTTTAAACATTTACTTAGTCTGCCTAATTTTTATACAGCAGCGAGGGAAAAGTTGGAATAGTCGTGAAATGCTAGCAGATGACTTATTTACAGTACTGACAGTTACCATGGCCAAACATGTGATCCATAATTCAGACCCATATGGCTGCTTGACACTGGCACGAGAATAGATAATGTTACGTTGGCAGATGGTAGACAGCTGTGTTGCCAATGTTCTTTGAGTGCCAGGGGCAGGATTGGTCAGATTGCCCTGCTTGCGACTGGCATTCTATTCATCCATGCGTAAAGAGTGTAACCGTAGACCATTAAGATATGTTCCTTTAATGACGTAAATGGGCATTAGTCTCATTGAAGCCATCTTGGAGTGCTCGCACGGAGTGTATTTTTAAACCTCTTCTAGTTGTATACACCTTGCATCCAGTGGCGTCACAAAGGGGGGGGGGCGGGTGTCAGGCGGGCGGTCCCCGGGTGTTGCTGACCCTAGTGCTTGCATCGTATATGTATTGTGGCCGGAATGTCAATGCATTACGGGGTGTGCTCGGCATATGGTGCATTTGCCTCCTACAAGACACAAAAACGGGATAATATGCCGCTTAAAAATAGCTGATTATATTGCCTACGATGTAAGATAATATATTATCAAAGCACAAAATGGGGTAATGAAACATCTTGTCATCTGTGGGGCTATAGAGCACGCAGGTTAGAGAGTGGCATCTTTGTGACTCAGCTTTCTTTTTCACGGTTCGAGATGCACTTCAATGCACCTTGCCTCCACATTTATTGCTACCGCTTACCGACACTTGGCACTGTCTTGCTTGTACCTAGCCGCATACAAATATCAGTACCGGCTAAAGCGTTCTTTGCATGATCAGGCTGAGTCAGATAGCACTGGCACCGGTCTCTCCTTTGCATACTCTCTCTTGTGCTTGTTCGGCTTGTCACTGGGATGTGGGGAGGGAGCACTGGTTTTTCCTGGGTTTTGCTCGGTCACTTCAGTTTACTTTGTACAACACTGTGCCACATTGTTCTAATAAGTTGATAGAATGGCATTTTGGACTAGAATCACTGAGGATGGGAAAACAAGACTTAAAAACATGCTATTTGAACATAGATTGGTGAATTGTTCTAGCTGTGTAGGATGTTTCAGTTTATTTGTGTATCTGTTGAAGTGACCACTATTCATTATTAACCTCGCTAGGTGCCAGGTCTCAGATACAAGTATAACTGTGCTTATGTGGGCCCAAACACTCCTTTGTATTTGAGTTTTGAATGAACTAATATTATTTCACTTAGCTATTAATATTAAATGTTGCTGAGTGGCCCTAGAGTAAAATAAGGTTCTCAAGAAGATGTTAAACCAGCTAAGCCGGAACATTGGTTGGAGTACTAACCCTTGACCTGCCATCTGACAATGTGCAACACCTGTTAGAAATCTGCTGTGCGCACTGTGCAAGGTCATTGTAATCATTCTGATGTTAGCCTGAGACTGAGGCAGGAAAAGAGGAGAGGAGGAGGGTGTGCTATGTACGCGAAGGTCGATCGTCTTCCGGGAGAGAGTGCTAGGTTGTGTTGGTGAGGGGGCTTTGTAGGATTGTCAAGGACGTTTGATTATTGTGGTGGAAAGAGATGAGTTCTTTGTTATCTTTTGGCTTTGGAGGTCGCGAAGGTTCTGTGGTGAAGATTGTGGAGTGTATATAAGAGGGTGACCGAATAAACTTGTCTTTAGCTGTGTTAGAGACATATCCTCGACTGTTCCTTTTTCTTCTACTTTGAAACTTCCTCTTTTCCTGCCTCAGTCTCAGGCTAACATCAGAATGGTTAATTTCCACCAGCTCGCCTGCGCACTCACTACAATATCAGTCATTGTAATGTTACTTACATTTTGTTCTCGCTTTTTGTTAACTTTTTTTTAATGTATCTGGCTCAGTTATAGTGCAGTTTAATTTTTTCATCCCTTGTAAGGAGAGAGGACTGCAGGCCCAAAGTTTTTACTGTGCAAACAAGGTAATTGATGACAGCTGGGACTACGAAGTAATCACAATAGCCCCACACAAACGACTTGTCAAAGCCTCCATGTGTATTGTGTACGGGTGATGTTGTAGAGGTAAAGGAGTACTCTTTGAGAGAATGGTGTCAATACATTCAGCACTGTCATTCTAATGAAACTTTATATATAGAGAGAGAATATAACATTAATACAGTTGTACATGAACGAAAGCACTGGATACGTTCTTGGAAATTTACTAAAAAAATATTATGCCTTTCATTTTTTTTTTTTTTTTTCAAATATAATTATGGCAAGAGGAGCGGCAGATAATTCTTGTAACTATGGGCAGCCGTCAGCTGGATGGTACTTTACTTGATATTCGCTTCAAACCATATAGATGTCCAATTTTAGTCCCTAATCTCAAGGTCTTTTTTATTATTATTATTTTACTTGGCAATGCAGTGGAAGGTGCAGGCGCGCGTACCCTTTCCCATTTTGAGTGTGCGTGGGCTCTCCTCCTCTCCCCGGAAATGGGGGAGGAGGAGAGCCTGCGCACACTCAGAATGGGAGAGGGGACGCGGGCCTGTACCTTCTACTGCATTGCCAAGAAAAGTTGTCGCGGAGCATAGTTTGCTTGCGCAGTAACCCTTGTTCTAGATGACTGCCCAGTGGTTGGCAGTTTCTTTTCGGATGGTGCCCGAAAAGAAAACTCCCCATGAGCTCGTGACAAGAAATCACCTGAATGCGTTAAAGCCAATCCAATCCGATGCCTCTTCGATGGCTACGGTACGGATTAAGCCTTGGTGTGAAATGTTGTTTAATCCAGTCCGATCCAATCCAATGCATTCCGATGCTGGTTCGCCTGCTCCGCTGGTGGGCCGGGTCCGCAGCTGATCGTCGGTCGTCGCGAGATCGGTAAACCGTTGCCAAGAAAAACACACAGAAGCCGAAGAAAAAAAAAAAAAAACGAGCGTGATGATCGTCTGCTGCTGGAACTTAACCGGCGTCGCAGCGAAGACGCGCCTATCGGGGCGCAAACTGAGCAGCTGTCACCGAGTCCGCGCAGCCATGGCGGCGACCCGGCGCTGAGAGCCGGCTTTTATCGATCGGCAGTGCTGGTCCGTCGGCGTGCCGCGAAGCTGGATCTGAGGGGCCGACCGAATGGTTGCGCCGCTCGCGCTCCGTCCAAGAAGATGAAGAAACGCAAGGAACTCGACGCGCTCGTGTCGTCGCGGACTTCGGCGCTGGCGACTCGGGCGCCGGCGACCGCGTCGGCCGCATCCTCGCACTCGGTGCAGGAATTGCTCAAGGGCAACAACAGGGACTCGGACTCGTCGGACGTCGAGTCGTCGTACGCCGTCCTCGCTTCGTACCGCTCCGGCGGCGTCGGCACGTGAGTTCGACCTTTCTGCTCGGCCTCACGAAATGCTGCTTACGCAAAAAGAAAAGCTAAAAGAAGAACACCTCTACCAGTTTAATTATCATTATTGTTTTCATTAAATTTTTTTTAGCAGAGCACCTGGTTTCCAATATCCCCAGTCGTTTGATGAGTGTAAAACCTGGTTGGAACGTTAACTAGCAATGAATTCTGGTTCCGACGACTGCATCTGGTGCGATTTCGATGCACACTGGAAGAAATGAGACAATATCTAAAAAATAGCCTGAACGGAGAAGAAAAATTATTCGACATTCGAAGCTTTATTGAAAGCCCATTTCCTATGAAAGGTGGAGCAACTTTCAATTAGCTGCACGATTCACCGACCATGTCAGACAACCTCCTTCCTGATCACGTGCATTTTTATTTAATTCATTGACGACAACGTGTCTCCTGGCATTTCTTGACTTTGTCGCACCGCAGGAATAAAAATTAAAATTGACGACTCTAACAAAAAAGAAGAACAGTTGCAGGGCCCAGTGGTATGCGTCTTCAACCCAGAGCGAGTCCCAGCTTTAGATGCCTAAAAAATACCGAAGTGAAGCTTGTGCGCAGTACCGTTAGAGTCCCCGTGATGTAGACGGGGGCAGGGCATGGTGCTTTCAGGCACGGCTGCTCTCTGGGCTGGGCCTGGCTGCCGCTGTGCCTCATTCTGCTGGTAGGCGCCGCGGGAGCCCTCGTCTGGCTACACCTCGGCCTGCGCCAAGACTTCGACTCTCTCAGGGCGCACCTGCACAGAGGTAACGTCGCCGCCGTCGCGCGACGAGGCATCGCACGGTCGGCGTCGTGCGAGACCGGTCGAACCCCGCTCGAAATTGCAGCCGAGCGAGCGTCGCAGAGTTTCGGAACTCTTCCGGCGGCCCTTCAGCAGCCCCGGGCTTCTTGGAGTTGTCGTAGCTTGGGGAGTCTCGCCCGGTGGAATAAACTCCGCCTCGAAAAGTTGTGCCTGGACTTGTTCCTTCCATTCCGGTGCCCAGAACGGGTCTTCGACTGCGTTTATCGCCCCATCCCACCCAACTGTCAAAAGCAGTGCCAAAGTGGCGAGAAATCTCGTTGCAGGATTTGGCACTTTGTGCCGCGGCAGGCACGTAGCCAGGATTTTGTTTCGGGGGGGCCCGCCCATGACAAAATGCTGTATGAGCGGAAGGGGGGAGAGGCGGTCCTAGCAAAATGGAAGATTTCGAGGGGTGGGGGGCCCCATGGGCCTCCCCCCTGGCTACGTACCTGTGCCGCATGATGTTTCGATCCCGGTTGTAGGTCGTGTTACAGTAGTACTTCGGGCGCCATGCTTTTGACGATAAATGGAGGCGAGGGTTATCGTTTTGTTTGTGTGAAAACGTTGCATCGCATCAGTGATCGGCGTAGAGCCTGGTGAGGTTGGGATGCGGCGTCGCTGATTGCAGCGTGGCGTCGTGTGTGCAGTGGATGCAGAGAACAAGCACCTGCCCGAGGCGCTACACGAGATGCACTCGCGGCTTCAGCAGCTGGCGCAGAACCTCACCAGCACGGCCGCGGAGCTGCAAAAGACGTCCGCCCAGCTGGCCAGCCTCTCCAAGGAGGTAGGTGCCGGTCTCTTTTCACAAATGTGTGTCGTGGTAGATGGTATCTTATTGTATTGTATTGTATTTTATTGCACAGTGCCGCCCGGTGTGCAGGTATTCAGGGAAAGGCATGCGTCCATACACGTTTTGTGCCCCTGACACCGACCGGGCGGCACTATGCGTGGAGTATCGAGCAAAGTGGTCATACTACTAATAATAATAATAATAATATTGCTTTATTATTTCATGCTCCAGGACGACCGAAGCCTTTTTACAAAGCATGTTTACAATTATACAACTTGCACGACGTGCGGATAGGAAAACAATTAGGTTATGATGAGTTAATCAAAGTTTCAAGTTCATGTTTAAATTCGTACAAGCATTTCAAGATGTATTTGGTGAAATGGCATTGAAAAATATTCTTGCGGGTTATCTTGCGGGTTATCGGAGATAGTTTCTCCTGACAACCAGGATAAAACAAATGGGAGTGCCTACTGAAACGTAGCAGCATGTGAAAGTTAGCAGAACACCGCAATATATTTAGCCACGAATTATTCTGTGCGGCGTTAAAATATCTCGTGCAACTCTGCGACTCTATCGCGTTTGTAAGCAAAGAATGTCAAGTATGTGGGCATAGTACGAGAACACCTTCGCCCAAGATATTGATCATAAACAATTCGAATTGACTAGGTTCAGCGTTTTTGGACCTCATTTTTGAGCAAAATCGGAGATATGTTTCGCCTCAGGTTCAGTTTTTCTGAGCTTTCGTTTATTTTCCACCCGACTTCTAGGATTCTTTTTCTTTTTTTATGTTCAGTCTCATTGGTTTTGGTAGAGAACAGCAGGCAGCAAATTTAATGAAGCTGAATTTTCTTAGGTAAAACAATAAGAGGCTGGGCCTTGCTCGAGAGGAAGGCCCGAAGTTGCGCAGGTCGGAAGGCCACGCATGTTTGACTATTGTTCTCGGGAGGTCAGCCCCTACTTTGTAGTAAGGGTTCGAAATGCAGAAAACAGCTGTTCTAGACTCCCCCAAAAAAGATTAAAAGAAAAAAAAAACAGTCGTGTTTTTAGTACTGGTAGTCCTCAAATTCAGAGTTCTTGGGATAAATCTGAACTTGCAATCATTTTACCAGCGAGCATTTTTTGGATGCGATAGGATTTATCAGGAAACACAGAACCTTAGTTATTACCCAAGGAGGTCGATTATGTGCGTCGTTGCTCCGTGAAATGCCAAGCAAATGGTTGCACCCAAACAAGCACCCACCCTCTTTCATCCTGCTTCGATTTGAAAGCTGACCGCAGCACGTAAAGTAAGCGACGGTCTTGCTTGTCTAGATGCCTCGTCTTCGAGGTTGCTGCGACAGTTTTTTGGGCTTGATTGCGTAGATTTTGTTCTTGCTTTACCGGGCTCCCAATCAGCTGGCGGGCCTTAGGATTTGGCGCACCCAAATGACGTGAAAGAAACCGGGAGATTTCCCCCTTTTCGGACTTAATGTCTCGCTCCTAGATCTTTCGTTTTGATTCAATCCAAATTAAATATGTGTGGCACATCTGCCTTTGCACAGTTTATTTACGAGCATGTCCTTTATTTTGGTGTAGCTTGGTCAGTTTTGTTGGTGCTAAAACTTTTGTTTCTAAAGTTTACTGGGCAGGATTAAAACAGATCTAGAAGTTGTATTTTGAAAGTAAACATATATCTGTTAGTCAGGTCTGCAGTAAATTAAATTTTGAAAATCAATTATCACTTTTTGAATGCTTTACATTTTTTTTTACTTTTTAAGGTATTTTTTATTATAGATTTATTATAATGTACGCTAGACGTCCAACTGGTACTAGTGTGCGGTTTAAAATTGAAGCAGGCAGCGACCAGTCTGAAATTGACTTCTGGAAATGCTTTTTTATGGGAAAAAGTGAGTGCATTTTTTTTCTGTGCTTGGTTATCGCGGCAAATATCACAAATAATTCGTACATACTTGTTAACTTGGAACATTTCTCAGTCACGCGGATGAAAATATTGGTCAGTTACTGTGTTTCTCTTTCAAATTCATGGCATTAGAAACTGTGCTAAAATGGCTTCGTGCATGTATTCATGTACAGTCAGTCACTGCTAGTGGGAACGCGGCATTGGTGCCTTTCTGCAGGGGTTTTAAGTGCCAAAGCATTAAGGGGGTGGTGCAACAATACTCAATAGGAATGTCTTTCCCTTTACATGAGCTTACTGGCACAAGTGGAACTTAAGGATACTCTCACACAATGCCACTTGCCAAGAAACTCCTTTGTCGCGGTGTCATTTCAAGGACAAAAGTGAGCGTTTTCATTCGATCTCTCTTTCGCAAAACTTGATGACGTAGCTGGGCGGTCACAGTACCGCCCAGTGATGATATTTGAATGCGACTCATAAATTGGACCCGACCAAGCATTGCGTGGGCACTCGATTTGGGCTCGTGATAATCGATAGCTCGAGGAGCTTTCGGGTAGTGGCCGGTGTCCATTCGCTGCAATGACGACGGTAGCTGAACCATAACAATGTCTGGAACTCAGCGCGTGTCCCATGCTTTGCCAACCCCAGCGCGTGGCTATGATCTACATTGGCGGCATATAATCGGCTCCAGATCACGTGACCGCTTGTTCTGGCTGCGAGTTGAGGGAATGAACGCTGCTCATTTTTCTTTAATCTTTTCCGCGAGTTCGATTGCGTGTGGTGAAAAAGGAATGGCTGCTTCACGAGTCATTATTGTCAGGGATCCGTTCTAAGCGGTATTTGCGAAAAGTACAATAATCGTTGCAACACCCCTTTAAGAGCGTTTAGAAAATCAAGAGACACGTCAAGAACTGCGCACTGACACTGGGTCAGTAGTTACCTATGCATGTAGACTATCAAAATAAAGCTGAGTAATGAGTGTGATTTCCGATAAATAGTTTTATTCACTCTGCTGCTCATGTGGGTGCAAAGGTAAGTTTGTTCTAGCTTTCAAAATTCATTCCTGCATGTTCAAAAACATTTGAAAGTGGGGAAACGTCAGAAAACACTTACCACCCAATAAATTCAGCACAATAATAAAAAAAAAAACACCTTCTATGGTGCACATGCTTTTTTTTTTTTTTTTTTTTTTTTTTACGGATTTTAATTGCTGGTAAGTGGGCGAATTGTGCGGAAATGGGGTAGTCACGTCATCGGTACGTTGGCGCTCTCTGAACAAGTCTTGGGTTCTTTTTCGACTTGGTCTCGCGTAGATTTGCCGCTCGTCTTTGCACACTTGCCGTGGAGTGCAGGACTGGACCCAGAGCACTGGGAAGTTAAAACATCCCTCACTGATCCGAAAAATACTGTAACTAAAGCGATTCCACTTTTATAATGTTAATAAAGTTACCTACTAATCGCTATGACCCAAGTAACATAGGCAAAATGCACGCACGTTTTCTCATAGGAATGCGCAGGAGCACCGCAAAAGTGGACTGGTTGCTGTCTGCTTCAATTTGAAACCGGAAGTTCTATAGACTCTAGCTCCAGTTGAACCTCTAGCGTTCATTATAATAACGCTGTTTTTTTTACAGAAAATATTTTACGAATATTTTTAGGAGCGCTGATACTATTTCTAACGTATTTATCCTGTTTAATGGAGACTTTACTCATGCACCTACCACAAAAACAAAAAAACATTATGAAAATTGGTTGCATATGAGCAGATAAATGGCTCACATAAAAAAAAGTGCATCGATGTTTAATTTTAAAAAGACTGGAGAAAGCGTTCGCATACCCATATATTACGATGCTTTCAAAATGGTATTTGAAAATACTCAGTACCTAATTCGCAAAAATACTCTAGAACAGATTCTAAAAGTTTCTGCGAATCTTCAAAAGCACAATTCATTTATTGCTTTCATTTAATTTTCGGGGCTCTCTTCGGCAAACGTATTGGGAAATATGTGCCCCCTTTTTTTATTGTAGAGTTTCATTAGAAGGTACTACCGTGCCCAGCTGCATTTTTGCGTCGATGTCGGTTGACGTCGGTTCTTGTTGCGCAGGTGGCTGATCTGAAGGCCACGACTTCCAGCCTGCAGGAGAGCGTTGCTTCGGCTCCGCAGATCAAGGGCCTCCCAAACGCCGTCACTGATCTCAAGCAGGTGGGTCTGCGGACCAGGCTCCGACCGCCATCATCATTTTTTATTGGCACCCACAATACGAGGGAGCAGAATTCTCCCCAGAAATTTGGATGTCTGACAATTTCCAGGGTTCTGAGGGGAGGAAGAGTGGAAAACTGCTGCAACTTTTGTAGTTCTCTGCACCTTCTCTGCCACGCAGCAGTGATTCTGTTCGCATAGATTATGCAATTCCGCTGCGTAGCGTCACGCAAGTCTGCCACGTGCATTTGCGAAATCAGCCTCGTTTTGTTCAGCGGAGACAAAATATATAGAGGTGGGATAGACACTGTAGGGGTTGTAAAGTGGTAAGAGGTGGATAGACACTGGTAGGAGTGGTCAGTCAGCTAGACAGGTAAGCGGAAAAACCGCTGGCACCCACTGCAGGGATGACCCTGCGACGGAGGCTTATTGCGGAGGAGGCTTTCGGTTGCATGTCGAAAGATCTCTCGGTGGTCCAAATGAATTCTCAGTCCTTTGCTGCCAGATGTCCCTCTGTTGGTTTGGCTCGTAAAATCCCCAAATCTGAAACTTGATTTGATAAATTTCACCGTCTGGCGGAAACAGTGGGCTGGATAGCACAGATTTGGATAAACTCCATGTCTAGAACGTTGCAACTGTGGGTTATTAGGAAGGCAAGCAATGGGAAAAACCCGGAGTCTTCGTAGGACTTTGGCCAGCCCCTGAAGTTTGGACCTTGGAAGACGTTTTACTGCAAAGTTTGGAAAATGTGTGAGGATTGGTCATTTTCGTGCGTGCCTTGCTTCTAAATGTACCCCAAGGCGGGAATGACCGGTCGAGCGAGGACGATTCTCGATTGTCGACCTATCAAGAATCGTTCAAACGTCGGCGGGTGCTTCGGGGTGCGAACGAGTACAACTTTGTCTCTGCCCACAACCCTCGTTTTCACCTCATGGTCCTTTAATAAACAAAGTTGGGTTCCCTGCAGAGCGTTTCCCCTTTTTGCAACGAATTAAGATACTTGTATGCACATCTAAGATTAGTGATTTGTCATTTTATCAAAATGTAGAGACGAGTCGAGTAAACATAAAATAGACTACACCGTGCATTTGTCCCATGCTGTTGCGCGGGTACTGGAGCGAGCTTCTGAAGCATCCACACCATGAAACTGCTTAATCAGTTGGGAAGAAATTCCACAGTCAAAAGAGTGGACCGCTGCCTTTCGATGGCATCACTTTTTCATTGTTGCCAGTAGAGACTGTTTGAAAAACACGTTGGGGACTAAATTGTACCTTCAATAACTTCCCGTAAAAAACATATTTTAAACTTATATTTGGGATACTATTTCAGCTATGTTTGCTGGTGTGTTTAGCAAAATTCGACGAATCTCATCAATCGAACAACATATATTGTACGTACCTCACGGTGCCGCGTTATCCGAACAAGATTGGGGAAAGGTCTCAGATAACACAGCATATCTAATACACAGTGTCGACGATAGTTTCTTCGCAACAATTGGATAGAATCAGGCTTGTTTTTGGGCATGTTTTGAAGAGAGCTGTTTTTCTGCGCAGCACTAAAGCAGATTAACGGAAGTGTCCATTCCGTTCCCATACCCCGGACCTGACCGTATCAGGTATTTCTCACGAAGTCCGGGAAGATTTCCAGGGGGGGCTTTTCGGAGATTATCTCAACGGAAATAATCCTCATAGAATGTCAAACGGCCCGCGTCGTAAGCTACTAGACGATCGCTTTCTCCGTTCGTTTCCTGCGGAGGCCAAGCAGGCTACGAGCCCTGGTATTCCCTGGTTCTCACTCTGGAAAATAGCACAAAAAGGGTGAATATTTTGAACAGGCAAATAAAGTAAAAATTTTGAAGAAAAACCGGCAAACTCCGAATGCTTAATGCAGGTGGGAAGTTGTGCTGACTGGGTTTCCACAGCTCGGGCGGATGGCAGAAATTTCTGGCTGATAGGGGTTGCTCGAGTCGCAAAATGGCGGCGGCCAGAGAGCTTTTTTTGGAATGGTCTACATGTTGAAACACAAACGGCATTGTTTTGTCTTCTTCCGAGCCAAGCAGGTCTTGTGAGAACTATATGGCGCAGCGTGTGAACTTAGCGAAACACTCACTTTTTCTTTTTTTTCTTGAGGTGACAACTAGGTTTTTTGGTAGCAAAACAGTGACTCTGTTGTCGTCACCGGTGACGGCTCCGAGCGTCTCAGTGTTTCGACGAGCGGTTGAGAAACGCTCGCAAACTCGTCCACGGAAGGTCATGGCCATTCGTCATTGATGATCGTGAAAGAAGCCTCGATCGCATTGGCCCCACCGCCCCCTTCTGCACGCGAGACCTGTTTTTGACGCGTTTCCCTTCCAACCTCCCCTAGAACGTGGCCAACATTGGCAGCCAGGTGTCCAGTCTGGAGCAGGGGGTGGAGGCCCTCAAGGAACAGCACACTGCCACCCAGACGATGCAGAAGGATCTGGATCACCTCAAGGTGTGCATCACCCCCCCCTTCCCACTGACGTTCCAAAGGCTCGTGGGCTGGTAGAACTGCATTGACACGTCGTCTCACCTGCCATGTTCCCGAACGGCGGTACATGCGCAGGCGAGAGCCAGTTTGGGTGTTCCCGCTGAAACCTCCGTCGTACTGCTCATGCATCGTACGAAAGGAGACGGTGTTCGCTGATGACGGACGCGTGCGTATCTGCAGACGGCCTTTGTACGACCAGTGCGACGGAACCGTCGTACAAAAAAGAGACGCATCTCGGACGACGTGCGCAGACTGTCTTTTGTACGACGTGTCGGCAGTATGAGCGCGGCTTTACGAATCTGACGAGAAATGCGCCCCCTGCGGCAGACATGCGCATTTGTGAGATAAGAAAACAATGTCGAAACTTCGAATTTGAAGTTTCCGCGCAATTTGTGCCTGTACGGCGACCTCAGATATTGGGTTGTTCTGCAACTGGAGTTTCTCTCGCGCCCCCCGAACCGCCAAGACTCGAAGTGCCGTGTTTGCCCGCGTTTTGCAAACGAACGGTTTGGACCGTGCGTGCCGCTTATCGCTGCCAGCAGACGACGCTCGACTTTTGAGTTTGAACTTCTTTTAGGGTCCTTTCAGCGATCTCAAATTCTTTGAAACGGTGCGAGGCAGAAGTGAACGCGCGGTGGACTTTTGTGAGTGACCTCGGGGGGCCACGTCGCACCGACTCTGTGTGGAAGGCTGCCCCGGTGGAGTCACAACCGAAACTACGATACACAGAGACCAAACCCAGTTGTTTTGACTGTTCGACGATTTCCTTTTCGAAGTCTGAGAGGTCATTAAGCACCTAAAAAAGAGAACTTTGTCCGATTCCCCGACTCGTCGATCATCCTCCGCTACGTGCATTGAGCGCCGCCGTATTTTCCGAGGTAGGATAAAAAGCCGGGGGGCGACAATATTCCAGAGTTTGATTTTCAGTATCACAAAAAGAAGGGCCGTAGTGCGTTTTGCAATTGCGTTAAGAAACATGTCTTACGAATGCTGCTATTAAATGTCATAGAAATGTCGATTACATAGCTTATAAATTCCATAATATTTGACGTCACAAATAAAAAGGAGCGGGAGAGAAAAACGCAAAAAATAAAAAGGCGCGTGCATGCGTGGGGAAATTGTTTTTCACTATGTGGTATTTTTTGCGTGTCTTAATACAAATTGCATTGCTTTAGACAAAAAAAAAAAAAAAATGGCCTTTTGGGTGTCAGTGCTCCTTTAAGATGCACAGACTGAAATTTCTTGGGTTGAAAAATAAGGTGACCGGTATGCTAGAAAACATTTTTCTCTTTTATTTGTCTTCATTTATATATGTATTTTTGTTTCTGCACTACTCTTGTGACTGTTTGCATCTCAAGCAAAACAGCCGTGGTCCTTAGGGACTGACCACGAGGGACCTGGATCTTTCCGTTTGTTGCGTGTGGCCAGTGTCACCGTCCTTACGTTTTCTTGCATCGTCTCTGCAATCGCAGGAATTGGTGCAGCGGGTCACAAACGCCACCTCGTCCGAGAACCAGAGTTCGGCACACTCCTTAGACGACTTGAAGCAGGTCTGTATTCCACCACCGTCGCTGCTCCGCGCGGTTCTCTAGATCGGGCGGACCATAAAATACTGCGTGCACGTCGAAAGCTTTCCCGTGAAACCTTCTTTCCTGTGTTCTCTCCCTTCGTGTTGACAACACGGAGCATAATGCCAAAATGTAGCGGGCTCGCCAGAATAGACCCTTTTTGCCATTCAATCTGGCAACTTTTATCACTATCACCATCTCGGTGTATGGCATCGGTGCCAAAACTGAGAACAGCATTCTTGAGGCTGCTGAAGGAAGAAATTCAAGACTCCACCAGAGGGGGGATTACGAGGCCTGCACGTTCTAGGTGTCAGTGCAACACTTTTGTCGAATGGGAAGGCCCGAGTTGGTGTGTGGAGCATTCACCAATTCGCATAATCTAGCGGTGAAACACTTCCGACTAGATTTGGGCTTGTATGACAAAATAAGAGGAACTAGAACAGGTGTAATAAAGTTATCTAACAAACACCAAAAAAATTAAAGACGTTTACAAATTCCTCTAATACGAAATTAGAGCCCAGCTTTTGAGGAGGAGGGGAGGGTATGTCTTTCCTCCATACCCTCCCCTCTCTTCCTGTGTACCCTCCCGTCCTCTTCCGTACCCTCCCCTCCTCCAACAGTTTCCCCGCTAAATTTAGCTGGAAAACTGGCGCCACGTGACTCGACACCAATTCAGTTTCCCCGCTTAATTTAGCGGGGAAAATTACGTCTCATGTCCTCATCACCAATTCAGTTTCCCCGCTAGATTTAGTGGGAAAATCGATGTCACATGACCTCAGCACCAATTCGATTTCCCGCTAAATTTAGCGGTGCAGTTACGCCGACGGTGGTGACGCTATGTGCGGAAACGGGAGCCTAAGAGCTGCGCTCTAAAAACTCCATCTCGCATTGCTGCGAGGGTGGCTCTGAGGGGGTCTCTGCATTGGTAATGCAGAGCATGCTCAAGTCGGCGGCAGACACGAAGCAGGCCCTGGAGCAGCGGTTGGCCACCCTGGAAGCGGACGTGCGGGGTCTGAATAGCACCGCCGAGTCTGCCCTGGAGACACTCCAACACCAGCAGGTGAGGCAGGGCGCGGACAGCTGCGAGGCACGACCATTAAAGTCACTGGGTCGTGGGAAAGTAGCGCCGCCATTTTTTGTACTTGGAATGAGCAGTTTCTCCTTGACCCCTTAATTCTTGGCGAGCTTTCCAAATTTTTGGCGACAAGGTGCTTTATAAAGGCACTTCTTGCTTGCCAAAGTTTCATTATCCACACACTGGCGAAACAAGCGCTCATCTTTGCACCGCCACCACATGTGACATCGGCGCTTGGCAGAATGGAAATCAAGTTTCCTGTCTTGAAATACGCTAGAAGAGCAATATACCGTATAAAAGTGTCAAGGGCCACGCTTCGTTATTTCAAGTTCCGGAGCTAATTTTTTATGTGCGGCCCATACGCAGATAAAAACAAAATGGTTTTGGATCTGCATAAAAAGATGGACCTACTTGCGGTCGCACACACTGGTCTTCAGTGCCTTTATTTCGGTCTGGGCTCGTCGTAACCTGCGGTGTCCTCAGTGCTCGAGTCTGATTGACGTCAAAAGCGGCCAGAGTTTCTTTTCCGAGCCGTCCAGCGAGCGCCTTTTCACGGTTCACGTCGGCCATTTATTCCGTAGAATTTCGCACCAATGTTCGTTTCAATGCCAACGTCGAGCGCTGCGGCAAGTACTAGCGAGTCTGCCCCGGATAGCATGCCCTGTTTCGCACCGGACGCAGGATCTTGTCGACGCTGCATTTGCGACTCGTCGGACGTCTGCCGCACTTCAGCGGGCGACAGGTCAAAAGTGTTTGCCAACTGCTCTAGGGTGGAGGGCCCGCACAAACCAGCCTGGCAGAATGAAACATTCACAAAGTCCAACGGCAACTTTTGAAAACCCGAGTGCGTGATTTCACGGCGGCCATTGTCACGTGGGCAGGAGGCGACTGGATGATACAAAAACCATAAAAAGGACAGCTTCCCAAAGCTTTACTTCCGTAATCTTTCTTATCGACACTTCAAAACACGGTGAAAACCAGGAGCAGAGGTACAGATATGGCGGGGTAAAGACGGCGGAGACGCGAAGCGCGCACCACGCTACGGAAGCAGTTGGTGCGGCTTAAGAAAAAGGGGGTGTGGCTAGTACACAACTTTTTTATCTTTCCTTTATATATATATTTTGGTTTAAATTTGGGGGGTGTGGCCCTTACACGAGCGCAACCCGTACACGCAATTTTACAATAACTAAGAGATATGTGGAAATTAGCACGATCGACGAGTCATTCGTACACGCCGCCAACGACGCTTATGTCGGCGACGAATGCTTTCTGTACGACGACGTTCTACGGCGACCTTCGTGCGGCCGGTTCGGACCGACCCTTTCGAGGCTCGGAAGATCCGAAGGAACCGACATCGCGATTGTTGCGGCAAGAGAGACCGATCTGCCAATACTTGCGCGGTTCTGGTCGTCCCTACATTAGCATCTGCCTGTGTCCGGTTAGCGAGTCGGGAAAAGGCAACGGCGCTAATTTCCGAGGGTTCCGATCACTTTAAAGGTCGGAAGCAGACTGCTCGGTCTACTCGGAGTTATCACGAACCTCGACCCTCTAGTTGGAAGTGAAGGGCCAAGGGAGGAGGTCAATAGGCTGTTTGGATCTAAGTCACTGGCAAGACGAGAACGGGAGATGGGATCAGAAAATGTTTATTAAAATGATTGGGTTCCGCCACACCTCTTGACTGAAGTCATCTGGTGACGGGAACAGGAGGGCATCCTTTTCGTTTGCCTGTCCTCCGACTCAACTCGTTGCCTTCCACCATGCCTTTCCTGCCATTCTCGTTCTGCCGGTGACCGTAATTTCCACAGCTTAAATACTTGTAATCAGTTACTTTAGAGCGTTGGCAGTGATGCCGTGTTCTCGAGCGACCTTTGTGCTAGTTTTAAAGGTCTGAATATCCTTCTTTTGTTTAGGAGCAGTTTGGGAAACTGGACAACTGCAGTCGCAACTGTTCGGACCTCTCTCCGGACATCCTAAGCAATGCGGTCAGTCGCGTTTCCCTCACTTTTTGTTCCTTTTTAGTTTCTGGACCGACCGTGAAGTGACGAGCGAGAACTCGTGCCGTTTTGCAGTTGAACCGGCTCGCAGTCCAGACGACACATTCCGCCGGCGTCGATTGGGTCGACGCCTTGGGGCAGGCGCAGCACCTGGCAACCCTGTACAAAGAGCTGAGTGCTCGGGTGAGCGTCGTCGTTGTCTCTTGCGGTCGTAGTCATTGGGAAACCGTTTCGTGGTGTGAGGAGCCGCACTTAAACCTGGTTTGAATGCATTACGAACAGAGGTTGCCGATCGAGTTTGCTGTGAAACAATCGGAGGGTCGATCACCGTGACTTACAAAAGGAATCCGCTGAACCATAACTAGGGTTCCGTGTTTCCGGTGTTTATTTTTTACCACGGATTCAGTGCTTTTCGGTATCAATTTTTGCTGTCTGACAAAAAGCGTAGGATTATTGGTATATGTCTCAAAGAAAATAGTGCGCGGACATGGAATTCCCCTACCTTCAGGGACCATACACGTGGCCCTACTAGGACAATGTTTCCGTACCGATAGTAAGAGAAAACAAAATAATGTGCGCGGTTCCGAAGAAAATAGCTTTGAGGGCGGAATTCATTGGGGGCTGTGTTTTGGGGTAAGCTGGAAGTAAAGGTGTACAGAAAAGTCTCTTCCCGTGAAGCTAGAGTTTTTCTCCTTCAAGGACAGCTCGAGTTGGGGGTTTATCGGTTTTTTCCGAGTCTTACGAAACAGAATCGGGTGTTAATTTTCGGAGTTTATCGGCAGTTTCCGAAAACGCGGAACACTAACCATAATGCATAGCCCGCACCGACTTGAATTTACCTGTCAGCCCTACTCTTTTAGTGGTGTTGCATCCACATTTGTCACGTAAACTTCTAGAGGGCAGTGTTGGGAAGTACTTTCAGTACCATATTTTCCTGGCTATGTATATAGTCTGTGGGGCTATACATGTCTACAAGTTGAAATTTTAGGCTGTGCGGACTATCTACGCATGCAAACTATGCAGGAATGTTGTTTTTCAAGATTGTTCATTATGACAGGATGTGAGGAATTTTGTGATTGGAAGAGTATGTTAATGGGGATTTACGTATAATACAAGCTTCTTTGAAAGCTAAGAAAGCAGACATTTGTATATGTGTGCCGTGTATGAGAAAATTTTCGTGTCAACTAAGCACCAGGTGCGGACTAACCCAAACAAAAACTTTTATTTTTTCCCACAAATTGTTTTTGCAGACCATACACCGGGTGCAGAATATAGCCCGGAAAATAGGGTACATTGTACTTTAAGGAGGTGTAGAATACTTCTGGTACTTTCCGAGGAAAACTGGCGACTGCAAAGTATATTCCCCAAATGTGGTCTCGTTAAATTTGTGTCACAAAATGATATTTTCTCAACTTTGAAGCTACTTGATTTTATCCAATATTCGCCACAATTTCCATAAAGAACCGATGTACCCCCGATTACCCCTAGAACAATAGATACCAGTTAGAAGAAGAAAAAAAAAACGGTATGGGGAAATGAAAGGGCATCATGAAAGATTGTATTAAGAGGTAATTGTACTTTACTTTGAAAATATATTGTATTTATAGCACTTTGCTGAACTACATAGCACCTGGTGTACTTACTATTTTACTCAAACTTCTCATTTACTTTGTATTTTACTTCAGGTACTTTTCAGATTTACTTTACCAATGCTGCTAGAGGGCAGTGCTGTTGCTTAGACTTGCGGACTGCCTGAAGCACGTCAACCTAAACCTCCCCTTTCTTGGTCCGCAGCTCCACGTGAACGAATCGGCAAGCAACGAAGCGGAGGAGTTTGTTCGCAGGGCTGCTCTGTTTGTGAACGAGACTGTGCAGGATGCTCTGACATGGCACACCAGTTCCCCCCAGGTGAGTTGCAAGAGCCTGGAAGGATGGATTTATTTGGGTTGCTGACTGAACAAGGTGGAAGAGAAAGGACAGGTAGAACGAAAGAGCGCTGCTGGAGTACCAACTAGCTCAAATTACTACTTTACTGTAGCTGACTGACTGTGGAATGGGCCATCGTTGGCCCAACGTTAAATTGCCGTTGGTCTCTGCGATGGGTCGCCATTGGGACAATTTAAAAGGAAATTTTAATTTGGTTTCCCTCGGAAAGTACTCAATAGTTGGCAGACCGTTCTGCATTGAACTTAATTTTTCTGAACTTGTGACTCCGAGCTTTGGGCGGAGTGGAGTGTAACGAGCGTTTATTGAAATTCTCCGACGGTTACGCCGGAGGAGTTTTGAGGAAGGTGGCGTCTTTGATAGGTTGACCCATTTGGTCATGCGCATGTTTCCTGTGAAAACGAGGCTGGGTCGGGTCAATACTGACATTTAGGTCTTGCAAAGGGTAGTGAACTGAGGACTGGTTAAAAGTTTGCGAGAGCACGTACTACTTTGAATCGGGCCAGTGTTTGGCTAACGGAGTAATTGTTGCAGGCCCGACCTTGGACTACGTCCTCCCACGAAGCCACCACCGAGAAGTCGGGTGAGTGTATCGCGGTACAAAGTCATTTAATTTTTTGATGAGAAGCGGTTATGTTTATGGTTTGCATTCAAAACATGAGTATGCTTACAATGTGACTGACCCTGCAGTATATTACTCTGGGTTATCGAAGGGTCACCATTGCGGATTGCCCGCCACTTTGCTATCAATCTTTGCTCTTAGGTCGTACGGCAGCAAATCGGAGGACTTAAAGGGGCACTGAAGTGTTTTCTGAGATCCTCATTTGATTGTCGTACTTTAATCCACAAGCTCTAAGCATCCCAAATAACCCGAAATTACAGTCATGTGTGGCTAATTTGCATATTAAAAAAGTAGCAAAAGTCCCAACACCTACTGTTGGCGCAGAACGACAGATGGCGCTAGCGAACCTTGCTGAATATGGTCGAGCGATGAACGGCGCTTGTCAGCCATTAGCGAGGGATGGGTTCCCGCATGGACGTGTACGTGCGGCAACCCATAGCTGGCGAGTGGCTGACAAGTACCATTCCTCATTCAACCATATTCAGCAAGGTTCGGTAGCACTATCTGTCACTCTGCGTCAACAGTAAGTGTCGGGAACTTTGATCACCCGAAATTTTGATATTCAAAGCGGCCGCGCATGAATGTAATTTTGGGTTTCTTAGGAGGATCTCTGAAAGCACTCGAGTGCCCCTTTAACTGCAGTTCCCATTCTTGGAAAGGGAGAACGCATTGCACGTGTAGCAAAGTGACAGATGCGATGTTAGTCCTATCGATCAACAGTCGAGCTTTTGTTGTTGCCGACAGTCCCACGTTGTCTATTCTTTATTCTCGTCTCTGTCAGCAAGTGACGCCACATCTTCACTCGCGACTCCAAGTGCCATAGCTGCTGGTTCGGGCGGCACAGGTGAGTTCCTCCCATCAGGTACGACGAGACCTTGTCAAAATGCTCCAATGCGCCGCAACCGGTTTTTCGTCGCAACTTTGCACGGCGTTGTGGCGCTCGTGTCGCTTCGATAAGTGGGTGTGGCGTTAAAAGGCGGCTTTGCCACATCTTGCACTTTTGCGGGGCCTGTGGCAACACATTTGGACAACGAAAATGCTACTTGGGCATGCTGCGAAATGCCATTCAGCTGCACTTGTTTCTCCTGAGCTTAGACTAGACGATTTCAGCCTTTCAGTAGTTGGCAACTCGGGTTAAGGTGTCACTTTACTGTTAGTGAGGGGTATTTCCGCTTTATTAGTGATTTATTATTTTACTTTTGTTAGCATTTGTTCTGCCAGCATTATTGGTATCTGTTCTCTCGAGGGTTTCTATTGAATGCAGCGCAGCTTTTAAAAGCAACGCGTTATAGGTAGGGTTGCATCAAAGTTACGAGATTGCCTCAGTTCTGGAACCCCCGCGGAAAGGGGTACCCCCTCACTCACTTCAGTCAACCTCCAGTCGTTCTAAGCGCCATCTAGATTTACGTTTACAAACTGTATGTTTCATAGAGTATAGTGGAACACCTGCTAGATGCTGCGCTTCAAAACCTATGTAGTATCCCATAGAATACACTGCAGTTAGCCTAGCAGCCGTCCGGCGCATCGAACGACTGGAGGTGAGTAAGGGGGGTACTGCTCTTGCATGCAGCGTCGGTGAGCTGTTCCGTAACTGAGCTAATCTAATAACGTTCTCAAATTAATCTGAAGAACTCCGAGAAACACTTGCCGGTTAAATTTTCATCATTTCGGATTTATTCGATAAACTCCTAATTTTAAAATCACAATGTCAAACAAAAGAAGTATTTTACAAATACAGTAAGTTTGTTTAGAGCATTGTCATTGGTTCTAAAAAAAGATAGCAAACCAGTATTTTTTTAGATAATTGACAAAAGGGGATGTACCGCTTATTTCGTGAAGGTTCGATCAACACAACGGGCGATTCTATTCCTGGGCGTAAGAAAGCCCAAGGGCGCGATTGACGTAAAACGAGGGCTTCTCTCGCAGCTTCGTCGGCCAAGGGCAAGCGGGGTCCCGCCTAACCTCCGTGGGGCGACCGCCCGCAACCTCCGCCGTCCGTGCGGCCAGCAGTCCGTCCTTTGCGGCAAATGAATGTCCGGAGGAGCAGCGGCGCCACCGAGGGACGCTCGCGCAGCGTTGCTCGTCGTACACCGTCCCCTTCCATCCCTTCCAGCTCCGCCGGGTCTCCTTCGAAGACGGAGACCGCGGCGGCGCGAGTGCCGTCGCGCACCCTTCGGCATTTAGTTTTGAGTGTGGCGCCCGGAACGTGCCCCCGACTCTCGTTAACCGCTTCCCAAGAAGTGGTCCCTCGATTTCCGCCCGTCCAAGTCGCGGAAGTGTCGCGCCGTGCATTCTCTCGCGCCTTTTTTTTTTTTTCCTGAACTACTTCTACGCCCAACGGCCGAGATTGCGACGTCCGGCTTTCTGGGATGCCATTCGTTGCCACTTCGAAAGCGCGGGTGGTACGGGACGCGGACTGCGCCGGTGGTCGGGGCCACGTTCCGAGCTCTGTAGTTTGACAGAGAGTTTGTCGACCTCTAGGGTGCTCCGTCCTCGAAAAATGGAAGCGCGCGAAGACGCGGCGACGGAGAACCGGCCACTCCGGACTGTTAAAAGCCGACGTCGTCCGGCGCAGTTTGCAGCCGCGCAATGGCGTCGTCGGAACTGGACGCGAGTCGAGATAATCACGCCGGGGGAGCTCACTTTTAAATGTTTGTCGTAGGCTGTCGACGCGCGAGAGAATCGACGTCCCGGGGGCGGTACGGAAGCTCCGAAATTCTTCTCGTAAAATACAAGCATATCTCGGTTATTATTCGCATGAATTATTACTGCTTCCTTCACCGACATTTTGACTTTTTTTTTTTTAATGCTCGATAATTATTGAGATAATTTTCCCTTTCGTATTACTCTGCAAATAAGCAGTTCAATGTTTCCTTGTTTGTTCGTCCCTTGCGCTTCGTAGAGTGCAACTGTCTCCTCCACTAAATTGCGACCATTTGTGACTGCTTGCATAAATGCTGTTTTTTTTTCTCAGTTAATTTGGCTTTTATTTTTTCTGCAGTATGTGTGCCACAGCGCTTTTGTGAGGTCGTTGGACCTTTAGAGAAGAGATGAATAAATGTTGGTGAAGAATGTAGCAATAATTTATGCGAATGTGTTCAATAAATACACCCCATTGCCTAAGAAAACAGATCGGAGGCATTGGTTTTCATACCGCCACTCGCGACATCTGTCTAAGCTCTCTATCGTAGTGAAAAGAGACTAAAATCTTCACAAGTGAAGGTAGTGTGCCACAGATGTGACCGGATGCTGCAAAAATAAACGGTCTCACCACAGTTGAAGCGCCGACTTCTGCGGTTTTGTTGCATGTCGTGCTACTTGTTGCATGGGTCACTTCGCAAGACCCGTTCACTATACATGGCTTCATGTTTCATACCCTAAGATTACTGATTACTCCATAGAGATTTTGAAAAATTAGTTGTGGAGGGGGCTATGCTTTGGACGAGGCACATTGGGACTGTCAAGGTTCACATACGACCTGTGGTGCGCTTTGCATTTGAAATAAAGGAACAACGCCTGAATGCCACCCAATGTCTGTTTTTGTTGTCTTTTATGCGACCGCCAAAGAAAGGTGCCCAATTTCGCGATTGTTGAGGTACTTCTGCAGTGTGTAGTGTTGGTCATGAAGATTGCTTAAGGTTTCGGCTATCAATCGCATAGAAGAGATATAAAAAGCGTGGACGAGATTTATCTTGTTTACACTTGTTATCTAACAAAAAAGAAAATTGGAATTTACATTGCAAAGCAGCATGTAAAGGTGTAAATCTAGGCACAAAATGGGCTTCGGAACACTATGGACAATGAAAATGCATGGCGCTGTCTGGATCAATGCTTAGCTGTCAATAAAATTTTGGAAACTATCCGACAGTGTTCTGTACTCGTAGCAGTGCCGCAAGCTGTTTTCTTGCAGAAAAAGTTCGGAATAGATTCAACGCACTTACCCCCATAATGTCAGACTGCACAATTTACTCCACAAATTTTGCAACAGTGACAAGTTAGAATATTGTCACATGTTGAGGGTAGAATGGCCACTGTACCAAGGTTTTGTAAAGAGCCACGAAGTATATGGATAAGGTTATACACTGGACACTCCAGGAGGTTTTGCACCACCAAATATGGTAAAATCAGGTTGGTCTCGTGTAACCGTTGGCCGTGCCCAGGGGAGGAACGTGTGCCGACGTGTTGGCTTGCGCGTTGACGGCGGAAGGGCGAACCACGGTAAATAAGCGAGTTGTACGGCTGTAAACCTGGGTGGGAGCGTCAGGAGCCGAGCGTCACAGCCTGGGCAGTAAGGTTTGCCGAATCTGTTGAAGAAGTTACCGCCAGACTTCGCGTAAAAGCTGTACGGCACAAGAACTGGATGCGTGGTCCCTGTCTCCTGCTGGAAATGTCTGACAGACGTCGTGCTGCTTGATGTCGCGTCGCTGTCCTCGGCTATCTTGTTGGCTTCATGAAGAATTGGTTCTGTCGGTGCTTCGTCTGAAGATGTGCCATTGTCATCGGCTTTTGGTGTGGTCGCTGTATCCCAAGGGGAATGTCTGACAGACGTCGTGCTGCTCGATGGCGCGCTGCGGCCTATCTCGTTGTCCTCGGCTGTCTTGTTGGCTTCATAAAGAATTGGCTCCGTCTGCGATTCGTCTGAAGATGTGCCGTGTTGATCGGTCTTCGGTGCGGAGCTTGCGGTCTGAAAACTGGCCGTTGTCCTAACTCTACCGCGGGCGGGTGTGACCAGCCACAGGTCTGAAACGTCCTCCGGAGCACTTGACGTCATATCTGTAGCTGCTGAGAACAGTTCGAGGCTTTGTTCTTCGTTCAGGTTCGTCGTGAATACGCCCTCAATGGTTGTTCCAGTAGATACGTTATAAGGAACGTTGCTACTAGATTCGGTAGTTACCGGGAATAAAACGAACTCACTTGCTTTAGTTATGGCGGTGGCTGATGATAACTCTGGGGGTCCCTGAAATTCGATGTCAATGACGGTAGATAAAACTGTCGTGTCGTTTTCCGGGTAAGTCGTTGAAGTTGGCGTCTTGTTTCCAAACCGACTGCCGAAGAAGGACGTCAAGAAGCTGGGCCACCAGCACGTTTGACCTGGACTGATCACGACTGCGACCAGGAGCACGGGAAAAGCGTGCTTTATCTGAAAAGCAGTAGTCAGGATTTTAATACGCTTATGTTAGAAATCTCAAAGTTGAGAAATGAACATACGGGATTTTCCCAGTGCCTTACCTTCATTGTCGAGTTGGCGCGCTGTCGCCGGCAGAAAAGCTTTCCCCAAAACTTTCCACGTTTTCATGTTTCTATTTCTCGAAGCGAACAAAGCGTAGGAGGGGAGAGCAAAGCTTAAAGGGTGCGGGAAACTACAATTGAACAGCGGGAGTCCGTTTCGCGGAAATGGCTCTTTTGTAAAACGCGCGGAAGCGTCCATTCATTCCAAAACCGAATCCAACGTTAACCGAAAGTTGTTTACGCGGTATTTTGTTTTTGGTCGTTTATTGTTTATATATATACGCTAATTTACAGAAAATTTTTTACAACGTTATTGTTTTAATTTTAACGACAAGAGCTTATATTATATATCGAACGTTCATTTAATGTGAATGTTTGATAGGTGGCTGAAATTCGCTTGAGATTCTGGCTCGGCTGGCAACAAGGAAGAACCCAACTTGCGCCCTCGAGCTTGCGATGTTTATGTTTGTCTCCGTGCGAAGTTGCCGAAAATGTTACCGTCTTCGGGTTACTTCAAGAGCATAATCTGCCCGTTTTACGCGTCCGGCTTGTGCGAGCGACCACACTGCCACTTTCGCCATGTTAAGAAAGGTAAGTGACACCACGGGCGGCGTGCCCCATCCACCCGCTACTTGAGTGTCGAGTTTCTCGTTCATTTCGTTCTCTATTGTCCGAATGTCATCTTTTCGTCGTTTGAGACACCCACAAAATACCTCGGACCTTTCTCCGATAGGTTAGGAACTGCGTAAAGTCTATAATTGAGGCATTTAACGCGTAGATCATCGTTTTTGACGTCGCTGACGCGCTCTTTCAGACGCTGGTCGACCGAGCGCCGCGTTGGAGCAGGGCACCGTACCCGCTTCTTCCGAAGATCAGAGTCAGCTGCTGCAGTGCGTCAACGACGCGCTGCAGAAAGTCCAGCAAGACATGGTGGCCGTCAGCAAGCTGGGATCGACGCCTCAAGCCGTCGCGTACGTTCCGACGCCCGTGGGGAAGTGTCCCACGCGCAGGCCCGCGGTACCCGAACAGAAACGTTACATCCCGGCGCAGAGCGTTCCCGAGTACCGTCCGACGCCGCTGTCCGAGCTCCGGAGGAGGCGAGCGGGCGTTCTGGGAGCGGCGCAGAGGGCCAGTCCGCCTTTGGCCAAGAAGAGACGCGAAGAAGGCTCGAGTACGCCGTTGGCAACCGCCCCGACGACGATCCCTACGATCCCGTCTTGCAAGTCTTCCGCGCCGACGGTGAAAAGTGAAACCAGTGACCCCTGCCAGTCCAACGGGAAGACTCCTGCCGACGAAGACGACGATTCGGAAAGTCAGGACGCGGGTTTTCCGCTTGTCCGTGAGGAAGAAGACGCCATCATCAAGATGAAGAACAAACGAAATCTGCAGGCATCCATTGACACCCCTTCCCATCTTTCTAAGGGGACCCTCCAACCTCCAGTTGCAGACGACACGTCTCTACCTTCAAAGGACACGAAGGACATTCCTTCAAAGACCAGCAGTCTGCCTCCTTCGCCCGTAGACGACGCGTCAGTAATGTCGCAGGACCCGACTTCGACAGCGAACGACGCCCTCCCACCGCCGAAGGACACCACACCACCCTTGGAGGATCCCATCCTCGTCAAAAATAAGGAGCCGCCCGAGTCGTCGGCGTTGTCCGCTTCCGCCGAAAGCAAGGACGCAGACGGCACGAAAGAGGATGGACAGAGCAAAGCCCACTTGGACGCCAAGTCAGTGTCTAAAAACAGCAGCAGCCGGAGCAGACACTCGTCTTCCAAGGAGAAGTCGAAGCATGCCTCTTCGAAATCCAGTCGACATCGGTCGAGCCACAGCTCTCATCGGTCCAGTTCAAGCAAGGGACACAGCAGCACAAAGGACAAGACCGCCGGCGCGTCCAAGTCCAGCACAGACAAGAACGAGAAGAAGGAAAAGTCAGACTCGGAGAAGACAGCGACGGACAAGAGGAGTTCCTTGGACAACCACAAGGACGGAAAAAGCCACGGCGGGTCTTCGACGAAAACAAAGTCTTCGTCTTCGAGAAGCTCGTCGAAACACCACAAAAGCAGCCACCACAAGAGCTCTACGTCGTCGTCCAAGCGTTCTCATTCGTCGCACGGGTCGAGCTCGCGCAAAGATTCGTCCGCCGACAAAAAGAAGAGTAAGAGTCGGCGATCGAGCGATGGCAAGGAAGCCTCCGAGTCGAAGGCAAAGGACGGCAGCGTGTGCAACGGGTCGGCCGACGAATCGGTGCTTCGGCCGGCCGATGAGGATGTGTCGAAGGACAATGGAGATGGTGTGGACAGCAGGTTCAGCCTCGAGTGGGAGCTGGACTCGGACGACGACGAGACCTACGAGGAGTGTCTTCGGATTTTCAACGAGGTGCAGGCAGTGGGCGACCAACCCGTCAGTGCTTTGCAGGTGAGTCTCGTCTGCTTCTCCGTTGTTCTGTCTGTCCATTGGTCCATTGGTCGAACCGCTGCTGGATCATATGCAGTGCGAGTTCACCAACTGGACTCCTAGGAACCCCCCCAGTTGTTCTCTCAAGCACCGTCAGGGGTTTCCCAGCCTCCTGAATTTTTTCAACCATCTGTGCCTTTAAGTGAGGTGTTCTTATGGTTAACACGCTTATTTTTTTTTAGAAATTATGAGCCATTTGTAGATGGGCAACTACGTGTGAAACAGTGTCTGTGTGTGCATTGCTGTTTACGTGGTCTGTTGGTCTCTGCACCGCTTTACAGCATTAGTGCTCAGACTAGGACGGGTTCCTCGGTTATTGCTATGCGTTGCTCGAGGTAGAAAAGTTTAGCAACCGTTGTTCTATGGGATCTTTCACGACAGATTGCGATAAACCTCAGGATCCTCATGTTCAGTGGCGGCGTTTTTTACAAGCTGCAAAGGGCTCAAGAAGTGTCAGAAAAGCGATGTATCGTTATGTACGATACGGTCATAATTTTGTCTTTTTTTGGACTGTTCTCTCCACCATCTTCCTCTCTCTTCCTCGCAGTTTGTTTCGTCACCAGAAAACTAAAATGAACTGCTGTGCAAAATCCTGACCCTAGCAAATGGCATGGAATTAGCCAGTGGATGAGCTTGTCTCTTTTCAAGTCAGTTTCTAACTAGTTAAAGGGCAGCTCCGCTCAATTCCGAAAATTTTGGAGTAATGAGGGATTTCACATTAAAAAGCACTAATAAAAGGCACTACGTCATTTGCTTCGCGAAAAATGGAATGTATATTGTTAGATCTTACTTTAAACATGAGCTGAAATTGAAACGGAAACTTTGGCTTTGCCTGGCAACATTGGCTCCGGGCTGCCAGAAACATGGCTATCACATGGTGTGAGATGTCACGTGATCCACCACGCAACGACGGGCGGGATTGGAACGGGCCGGCAGGCCATCGTTGGGACGAGCGTGTACCGGGTGCAAGTGTCGCCTACACCGCACTCTTTACCACGCTTTGGTGTCTATGACATTCGACGACATCTACACAACCGCGGCATCAGTCTTCGCACGTAGTGTGAACGAAACTCCGAGAGACGGCGGTAACGGTGGGACGACCAGGCGGCTCCCAAAAAGCGCGCTGCGCGGGCAATGCCAGTCGCATGGACTGCGCTGGGCACCGAGAAAAAATGTTGCTGACGTCATCCGTTATGCTTGCCCGGAGATGTAAAGACAGACAAGCGCCGTAGCCTTGACTGCGCTGTTGGTTGCACCTCAATTCGCCCTCTAGAGTTAGGCAACTTGGTACTCTGCAAAGTTTGCCGGATCATTTAAGAAACATTTGAACAGAACTAGGTCGTAATATTTGATGTGCGATCTTCCTAGGTGATATTGAAGAGGACCATTGTTTTTTTTTAAAAACAAGACTGAAGCGGAGTTGCCCTTTAAACAAAAAACAAACAAAACATGCATTTTCAATTTCTTTTTTTTAATGTAGAATTATTGTGGTTTTTTAGACCTGTTTTGGACATGTGGTAGTCTGCAGAGTGCTCAAACACTGAGAAAAAAGATTCGTTTTACTTCAGTATTCCCTGAAAGCTTTGGGATAAAGCCACCATTAACCCTGTGTCGGTCGTCACTGTTCAGGTACAGCAATGATCACACATTTGAAAATGCAAAAGTATGCATCCCGCGGTATGCAAAACTATGCATCCCGCGGGAGTTGTTACTATTTGTTACGTCTTTGATGAACTATGAATGTTATATTCACACTTTCTATTGCTTTGCTGGGGGCTATTTATAGTTCTCAAATTAGAAGCTCCGCACACGTGAGGCTCAGTTTGCATACTGGCTGTCCTGGCGGCAGTGCCAATGGGAGCGCTAGCTCTTCCGATTCAGACTTGCAACATTCTTTGGAATTAAATTCGGAGGACGATAGCTCATCGTCCGATGGAGATGCTCTGTAAAGTACCTCCGGTTAAGAACCTGAAGCCGCTGGAATGTCGTGGAAGCGGACGCGCCAGAATGAAACTGAATGCAAGAAAGGTGACAACTTTTTGCTTTTAGTATTTTCATTTTATGCTTCTACCATAATATCCCAACAAATAGCCCACCTAAAATCGAAAGCAAATCGGGTGATAAATAATAAGGAGCGAGCTGCCTTTCCATGTGCAATCCAAAAAGGTTGAAAAAATGCTAGTTTTAGATTGTGTGACCTGCGAGACGTGTAAATTGTAAACGCGAACGTCATAGGGTTAATTGTATTGTGCAAAGCACACAAAACTTCCATAATAATTTTTTTTTTTTTTTCACGAAGTGTTTGCATTTTTGTGGAATCTAAAAAAATCTGAACCATAGACGACTGTCCTTCACAGTCAGCAATGCTGTCTTATCTCCCACCATGGCTTAGTTACACCGTTTCTGCTGAAGTCGCCATTGGCCAGGGCCCTGCAATTACTGGAAGTGGGCTATCTTTCGGTGTTTTTGAAAAAAAATGCCAAATCGTGCCAATTACGGGGGGAGATCATCTTTCGGGATATTACGGTAAACCTAGACAGCTTGCAAGCACTGTACGTGCCCCCACTAGTTAGTTAAGAGAAAAAAAACCTGTTCATTGACTCATTATTAATAGCCAGCTCCGAGGTATGAAAGAAATTATACTTTTATTTTTCTATGCTCGCTGCACAAGCTCTGTGATGCGTGCGAAAATAAAAACAGACAGTTCGAGCCAGAACACCGTGGAGTTTGGATGTCTTACGCAGGGGTTGCGGTGACGCGAGAACGCCGAGCTCCAACTGGCTCCGATTGAAGGATAGTGGGTAGACCGAAGCAAGCTGCCTCGAGGTCTACCGACTATCCTTCAATCGGAGCCAATACAACCCCTGCAAAAGGAGTGGACGAACTTGCGCTCCGCATTACTTTGGAAAGAAAACGCATTCGCTCGGAAACATCTTTTGGGGGAAAAAACTTGGCCATCAAAGGGTTAATTGTGTTTTGCAATGTGCACACCAAGTTTGCATAATTTTTTTTTTTTATCTTGTCAAGTTAGTACTATGGCCACCGGCAGAGCAAGAACAGCGGGGCGTCTATTTTGGACATTAGGCCTGTAGCACGAGCACATTGCATTCCGTCGCGCTTCAGCTGCATGTGCGTTCAAAACTCAAGGGACGCCTGAAAGTAGTCGAAGGAATGAGGCTCGCCCTGGAGTTTGGACAACTCAACCACCTCCCCGCCGTTTTCGCCCTGCCCTCTACCGTGCCGTCCGTACGCAAGCAGACCCGTTAGACGAAGCGTCACTTTCCTGATTTGTTGCCGGCAGCAGAAGAAGAAGACGCAGACATCTTGCGAGCCGGCCGTCCCGACCAAGCAAAGGGTGGCCCACGATCCGGACCTGACTCGAGTGAGTGACCCGTTTAGACGTTCTCACGCCGGTCCCTATCCTACGGGGTGGACGCTCGTCCGTTTTGAATTTGGCGACACTTCCTTAAACTCTGCGACATCTCGACCGACTCCGTGACTTCAACTGGGTCGCCATACTAAATCGAGAGAGGAGACAGGACGACGCCGCTATAGTCTGCTGCAGGTTGAAAAAAAAAGCGAGACTGGCCCTTTCTGCAAAAATATTTGCTCGCCCCGATTGGTTGTTTCCTCCTCCTCATCATTCAGTCTGTGTCACTTTTTTTTAACCTGCAAAGAAACTATGTCCTAGGCCTTATTATTTAGTACAAACGCATACTGAACATTAGGAAACATAATGAATACCACCCTAAGAGAAACGCAGCACGGGAGCGAAGTCAAGGCCCCCAAGTACTTTATTACCATTTACGTTAGGGAGTGCCATCAACTGCCGGCCAAGCATTCACGCGGGGTTGGAATACGAATGGGACGGGATCGTAAGGTGGGTACTGACTTGCCCTAGTTTGTAAAACTTTTCGTGTCCTTCGTTCCAAAGACTTTTGTAGACATTCATTGTGCTCAAATTCCGTTTGCATCCAATGGCCGGTCTGACCACAATTTGATATCGTCGGGCAACATTCTAAAATATTGCGTTTGTGAGCGTCGCATGAAGTCCGCTCACATTCAATAATGTTTCCGACCGCAATTTGATACGGTTGCACGGTTGAAAGGGATAACGTTGCACGGTTGAAAGGGATGTCTCGAGGCTAGTGCTCCGTCGTGTATTTGTTGCTATAGGGATCAGCAAGCCTGACGTTTTTTTTCGATCTGCAGCGGCAAGATGCGCAGAGGGGTCTGAGTGCCCACATCTCGGCAGCACAGGCGATGCACAACCGCTTTGCGCAGCTGCAGAAGCGCTATCAAGACCAGGCGTCCAATGGGCATCAGGTATGTTTAAGCAAAACGTCTTCCTCTAGAAACCTCAAGAAATTGGAAGCCACTGCGTCCTTTCGGACTGTGTCTATGACACGGGTGTTGAGGCTGCGCACATCTGACCCTCCCGGGCCCTTTCCAGCCCTCGGCGCCACCGAAGGCTTTCCCACCCTTTTGGCCTCCCACTAGTCGTGTTATCAATGAGTCAGTCTTGAAACGTGCTTGGCATAAGATGAGTGTCTTCTCTACATGTGCTCTGTGTGCTGATAACATTCCTGAAATATCTGTAATCTGACAGCAAGCTGGAGCTCTTCTATGGGACAGCCAGAGTAATTGTTCGCAAGTTCAGAATTTCAACTGCGGTGGCAACAGAGCTCCGTCGGCTGTTCCCTCTGGAAAGCTCATTTTTGTTTTCATGCTTCTTTAGCTTAGTATATTTTAATACATTCTTTTTCAAAGCTGTAACAAAAAGCTAGAAAAAAAAAAGTTCTCTACATTTCACTTAGTATTTGAATTTAAAATTCTGTTCCGTGCATGTTTAAACGGCCGGAAGTTAGTCGGCCCCACTGGGCATTCCGGAGTCTCCGCTGTAGACGAGAAATTTAACCAGTGCAGTACCGTTGCTTGCCTGGCCGTCTTTAATGCGCACCCCTCGGCGGCGATGCACGACCGCACGTCGGTACGACGCTCGTTCAAATCGAAACGGGCAGGTGCGAGGACTGAGCACAGGATCCCCGGGTTCCGCAAGTTTTCGCTCCGTGCTCTCCGAACTACGGTGTGTTAATGCACTTGGCCACCGATCCCTCTTGTTGAAGTTATCCCCAAAGCTTTCGTTGCACAGTTTTTGGTCGGTCAGTCGATTGAAGCGGCCATGTCGCACGCTCTTTCAGCCGGGCGCCTTTGTCTCGTCGGTGATGAAAGCCCAGGAAGGCAGCCAGAAGCGGATAGCCCACGTGCCCAACGCACCTCTGCTGGCCGCGGCCCGCAAGAACGCCACGGTGGTCACCAACACCTTCACGGTGGCGTCCCAACCGAAAGGGCAGCGGCGTTTGGCCCACGTTCCCGCCTTGGTGAGAGCTCGGCCGCTGCCTTCTTGTCCCTTTTACGGCGACGACTGTCGTTGGGAAGGTTTCGTAGTGGATTATGTGTTTGTTTCACGTACGTACATCGAGGCCCGTTAAATATAGCGAAAATATTTATCCACTTGTCGTCACAGTGTCGCGTCATGTTATAGTGTCACGTGACATTTGAGCGTCACACGATCGCCGTTCGTTACATTTAGCGGGACGAAAGGCCACTTCAAACTTGGCAGTTTAATTGTTTCTAGAGTGTGTAGCTATCGTCACAAATTATTTGTAGGGCACGTTAAGGAACGGGAAATTTTTCGGTTCCCGAGTCAACAGGCGTAAGCTTGACTTCCCGTCAGCCCATGTGTTAGAAAATGTCCATGTTAATGTCAAACATTCTTTGGCTAAGTGTTCGTCATTCCGTGAATCCCATATGAAAGCGTGGCCGTGAGGCTCAACACGGTTTGGTGGACGGGTGGGAGAGGAGGAGCAAGGTGCTTAACACAGATTGGCCAGCGTGGAGGTCACGTGACTACAGGGCTAGTCGAGGAGGTACTTGACCACATGTGCGCACTGAGGGAGAGGAGCTCGACAGTATGGAAGACTCTGGAAGACATCCGGGTTTATCAGCCCGATTAGCGGTAGTATCACTTCATTCTAGGAACAACTATCAAGCGTGCCTATAATACGCGTTCAACTATCTGCTAATACTTGACAGCACACAACAGACAACACACCATCAAAACAGATCCACACAAGGAAACAACACTCACACAGCGCTGACTCTCAACTCTCGGATATATTAAACATCATCTTCGTTGTCTTTTACTCTTACCCACTAAAAAGAAGAAAATAAAAGTTAACCAAAGAAGAACAGTGAAAGAAAAAGAAAAAGGAGAGAAGATAAGGAAGAAAAAGGAGTAAAAAAATACAAAAGAAAAAGAAAGAAATGACAGAGATTAAGATCAAGTCCAACTACAGTAAAAGTTACTAAGGAGGTTTTCCTAAATAATCTAAATAATAAATAATAAATGGTTTCAGCAGGTTTGTCGTTATTAATTTCAGTCTCTGAATGCCTATGAAGGTCAAGCAAGCAGAAGCTACTAACCACAGAACAAGAGAAGGCACTATAAGGCTTGTCATAGTGCCCTATATTCACAACCTGTCACACAAGCTTAAAAAGGTAGCGAGTAGTGTCAACTTCGACAATGTTTTCTCTGCTCTGCAAGAACTTTCTAGCCTATGCAAGCGGGTGAATGGGCCATCTATTCGACCAGAGTGCTGCAACAAAAATCACAAGACCAAGTTCGTTTCCTGTGCAGAAGGAGTGATATATTTTTTCCCTTTTACCTGTGGGAAGCGTTACGTTGGGCAGACGGGGCACTGCCTTAACGATAGGCTTCGAGAACCTAACAACAACGCCATTAATGCTAACTCAGGTCATCTGGGCATTCATTGCAGAGATTGTGGATGCTCCCCCGTTCTAAACAATTGCGCAGTACGGGGACGAAGCAAGAACAAACTAACTAGAGAAATTATCGAAGCGCATAGACCTGCTAGATGGATTATGTGTTAGTACCCCGTCGATTAGCTTATCCAAAAAGAGTTGGATTATTTAGGAAAACCTCCTTAGTAACTTTCACTGTAGTAGGACTTGATCTTAATCTCTGTCATTTCTTTCTTTTTCTTTTTATTTTGTATTTTTTTACTTCTTTTTCTTTCTTATCTTCTCTCCTTTTCTTTTTCTTTCGCCGTTCTTTTTTGGTTAACTTTTGTCTTCTTCTTTTTAGTGGCGTAAGAGTAAAAGATAACGAAGATGATGTTTAATATATCTGAGAGTTGAGAGTCAGCGCTGCGTGAGTGTTGTTTCTTTGTGTGGATCTGTTTTGATGGTGTGTTGTCTGTTGTGCGCTGTGAAGTATTAGCATGATTAACCAACTCGCCCAAGCTGAAGTATAAACTATCTGATGAAGAGCGCCGTGAACGTGGGCGTCTGGCAACTCGGAGTATTTCTAAACGTTTCTGTTGCAAGAACGTTTCACGTATGCCACACAATTGCCTAGCAATTTGCTCGATTTGGAGTGTCAGTGTGCCGTGACCATCAACAGCATAAAGTTCAGCCTTTTCAGCAGTCAGCACCTTCGACCTATACCGCGAATAGTGCAAATGTTATCTTTTATGCTACTGTCTGTACCAAACGTAAGGTTTAATGAAATTGGGTAGGTGTCCTCGAGTTTCCCAGTTGAGAGTGGCGTATAAATACAATGTGTGGCACGTGCTGCGTTTCTTTTGTGGGATTCAGCGTAAATTACTGTTAGACATCCCCCATCTCTCGAACGTCAATTCGAGCTTTGTCTATCGGCGGACGGACACCTGTTGACCTTTTTCGTTGGGAGCTTGCAAAACAAACGATTGTGCCAAGCGAGACATTTAAGGGGAACCGGTTGGAAGGTAGTTCCACCCTTTTCTTTTTTTATTCTCAGGTGCTGTCCAAGCGGCCCACCATTCCCGCCGAGTACGGCAGCAGAGTTCCGGTGGTCGTGCGGCAACGATACCTCAACCTCTTCGTCGACGAATGCGCCAAGAGCAGCACGACCGAGGAAGAGGCGATCGAAAAGGTGCTTGGCAGGCGCCGACTATATCTTTTTTCGTGCTCACGTCGCTGCCACTCTCACTCTAAAAGTCTCTTTTTGCCGCGCCGTCGAAGGTGCGCCGAACAGAATGAAACGCGCACGTCTCGAAGTTAATCGTGCCTTTTGCAATCACCCGAGCGTCGATCAATCGGTTCGCAACATTTGTCGTCGTCCCTTTTTCTCCGTCGTGCCCGGCTCGTTTTTATGCGAAATATTTTGCGTCGTCAGAGGGCGTCTGTGATTAGATGATTAGACGCACGTCGGTATTCAGCCGGGTCCCCGGTTCGACCGGCGAAAACACTAATCCCCGCCGAACTCTGACGTGGCACTCCCGTTACAGGTGACGTAGAAAAGTCGGAAAGGGAGGACATGCTACCAGCATGTCCTCTCCTTCAACATTCGCCACTTAATAGACGCTGCTGCTGCTTGAAAGAGGCGCAAGTGCCGTCCCTCGTTTTGTTTATTTCCCCTACGCACCTCGACTTGACTGGTTCGCGTACTTGTGACCACTTACTACCGAGCGCCTTAAAATCCTCTCGGGGGTTTGTGACGACGAGAGGACATGCTGGCAGCATCTGTCAAGTAGCCGTAAAACACTCAGCGTTTTCATACATTTGCTATTTTTTCCGCGCGTCGTTCCTTCCTGACTGGCTTGAAAACTTTTGCCGAGTGTTGCAGACAACTATTTCTCGTAGATTATGCATACATTTAAGTTTGCAAATGTCACAAAACCTTTGCTCTGGTGCAATGCAGCTCCAAGGTCAATTCAAAGATCGTGCCTTTGCGTTCTCTCATTGTAAAAGATCATAAGAACTCGGTTGTAAATAAATGCAAGCGTGTGAACGGGCTTAAAGTGGAGACCCTAGTCTTTAACATTTTTTTGTCATTTCTCATCTAATTTATATTAAATCTTCACATCTACTATAAGTTCTTGTGCTAGGCACAAACATAAGCTCAATTTTATTTATCTATTATAGTTTTCAAGGAGACCACAGCTTCATCACAAATGTTTCTGTTCAACTTTTTTAGAATACCCCCATGAAGATATACAGCACAAAGTATGACCTCATGTTTCCCTAATGCTAGAGAGTGCAACAAGGCCATTGTTATAATCTTACCATCGTTTTAAAAAAAGTTATTGCGAGTGAAATTTTTTTTTTCTGATAATTAGAAACGAGTCATAAAATCTTGGCCCATTAGAAAATTTTGTAGTTAAAGTTGTTCAGAAATAGTAGTCTTGTTGTGTAGTACTCACAGTGCATGTTGTTTGAAACCTGCAGGCCAAGAAAAAATGTTTTAAAAATATAAATTTTTTCATAATTTCATAATTTTTTAAATTTAATAAAAATTCAACAAGCCTTAAAAAAAAATGACAGTGTATGGGCTTTTAATTTTAGGGACACGGCGACAAACGAGAGTTCTTTCCAAAGGACGGACTCGCGTTCTCTGCAGGCGCTGTCGGAGGAGAAGCAGACGTACGAGCGCAGCTCCAACAAGTCGGTCTACCTGAACGTGGCGGTGAACACGCTGAAGCGGCTGCGCAGGGAAGCGGCCGCGCAGGCGGAGGCGGCCTCGGTTGGAGAGACTTCAACGTCTGCGCCGGACTTGCGGCCTCAGGGGGCCAACAAGGTGGTCTCGCACGCGCTCGTGCTGCAGGGGGCCCTCGGAGCGCGCACGAGCTTCAGCATCGAGAAGAACCGCTACAAGAAACCCGCCGTCGAGCTCACGGGTGAGCCGGTGTTCGAGCCGTGGGGGGGTCGCTTCACACTTTTCTATCATGGGCGGCTCTGCTTTCAGGGATTAGGGTTCTTCACGCTCTCTTTTTGGAGCGACGCTTGTCTTAATATTTCGAAGGAGCACAGCTTTGCGGCAGCAGGAAGTAAGTGGGCCCTTGGAGGACTTTTCCTTTTCTTAGATTGGCACATCGCTGCGATAGATAATACATTTACGCTGTACTATTTATTACGTTAGCATCTTTTCCGTGCAGATGATTTCATTACCTAGCAGCTACGTTACACAGGATTGTGCAGAGAAACCGTGACCATAACTAGGGGCAATTGTTTCGAGGCTTGGACCTCATATTATACGCCTGTCAGACGGGCTAATTTCATGCACTTCAACAACTTCAGCTCACTGAATATCACTTCAAGTGTTTCGGTGCCACGCGGGATAAATTAGTGTCACTTGAAAACGATAACAATGATGATAGGTAAAGTCTTTTTAGACACCTAAAATGTTAAAAGTGAAGGCACTAATGTCGCCCCAATATTTACTCTTTTTAAAAAAGACACATTACGAGGCAGTGTTGCGTCAATTGACAATATTTACGTTAAATGGATGATTCTGATCGATCATTGCGAGCCAAGATAAAGAAGAAGTAAACTCGCTTGAAGCAGAGTGTCTTGTTCAGGAAAAAGCCGTGTGGCACACTACACAAATGACACTAAAGGCGAAGTGCACTCCGCTAAGGGCACTAAATTAGTCCGTCTGACTGGGGTACTGGTCTCGGCTATCCTGAAATAATATCTGTGTGCTCTGGACAAAATGTGTGCTGAGCCAGATCAGGTTGTTGTACACACGAGCTTCGGTTACTCCGAAATTTGAGATTTGCTTCATAAATGGAGTTCTCCGTCATTGCCGCAGCGTCGCGGCTTTACTCCCTCCTCGAGCCGTACCACCTGACGCCGGAGCAACTCGAAGAGCACAACTACCCGCTGCCACATCCCATGGAACCTGGCCGAGCCGTCTTCAAAGGGGTCAGCGACGGCAGGAAGTACTCCAAGCACGGGGGTATGTCGATGGCTCCACTCATTCGGGTTCCAATTCTGGTCGCCTCGAGATCCGATTTGCCTCTCGCAGCATTCGTCGTCTGCCAACACGAGCAAAACACGCGTCGTTCGCAGACGGAACGAGAAGACACCGTACATCGTCTGCTGACATATCTTAAAACAAGCTGATCGTCTTCTACGATCCGAGCGCCACGGCAAAGTGAGATCAGACGCGGGCTGAAATTTTGATTGTCTGCTGTTTCACGTTAGAGCCCATTGAAAACCCACGCTTTTTTGTTTACATATCGCAAGTTGTGTTGCTTCCATACACAAGCCAACATTGACCAATAGACAAAGCAATACTAAGGACAAGCACATTAGAGGCTGCAGACCTCTCTCGCTATTTGTACTTTGGTGAGACATTCTCCATCAAAATATTTCTCAATTATGAATTCGCGAACGGCTTAAAAATGTCTCGTCGGTTGATCATGTGCAAGCTGTGGCACCACATCTAATCAGCAGCCGAGAACGGATTCGCTCTCACTTCAACGAAAATCGGACCCCTGGAGTGAATGGAACTACTCTTTGCGTCGATGTGGCAGCTGGAACACGGCTTATACCAGTGTGTTTTGCGTCCTATGCCACTGCATGCAAAGCAGACAAAAAGACCTGTCGAAAAAATTCCCAAATGGCCGCGTGCAAAACATGCAACGAATTACGGGAACGTCCCCTGTGCTCCTTTTTCGTTCTGTAGCATCTATCGTGCGACACTGAAGAGAGTGTGATAGAGAAAGTGTGGCGCAGTTGCTTGCTAACCCTAGCTCTTTCGCTCGTATTGCCTCTGTTGTCTGCTACAGCCAGTTCCCAGAATTCTTTGCAATGCCAGCGCAGGGTGCTGCCCATATTCCGAATCGTCTATCGAAACAGGTATTGCTGATATTGCTACAATGACGAGGTCATTGATGTTCCAGTCATGGTTGGCCGTTCTCAGACTTATCTAACTTGTGGCATTATTAAATAGTGAGGTCCTGATTCCTTGTTATTATCTCTAGGCATCGTCCTCGATGTTGTCCTAGAAGTCGTCCTTGAGGTCGTCCGAGAGGTTGTCCTCTATGCAGCTTCCTCAAGGTCGCTGTAGAAGTCGTCCTTGAGGCCGTCCTAGACGTCATCCTAGAAGTCGTCTTCGAGGTTGTCATAGGCGTCGTCCTTTGAGGTCATCCTAGACGTCGTCCTCGAGGTCGTCCTAGAAGTCGTCTTTGAGGCCATCCTAGATGTCATCCTTGAAGTTGTCCTAGAAGTCACCCGAGAGGTCATCCTTTAGGCGGCGTCCGCGAGGTCGTCCTTGAGGTTGCCCTCGAGGTCATCCTAGTTGTCGTTCTGTAGGCGTCGTCCTCGAGGTCGTCCTTGAGGTCACCCTAGACGTCGTCCTCTAGGCGTTGTCATCAAGGTCGTCCTTGAGGTCGTCCTAGACGTCGTAAAAATAGCAGCTTCGCTGGTCCCCCATCTTCACGTGAAGTTGAAGGGCTCTACAATTTTTGACAGCTTAGTCGCCGTACGGCTTCAACTTGTTTAGCTTCTCATGAGGGTTGGACTGCTCATAGGGCACATCCTTCATATTTCAAGACATATTTGCAGAGTTTATGTGCACTGTATAGATAAACCACGCACTGGAGAGTGTGAACCCCATTCTGAAAGTCATTCTAGCATCGATAATCTAAAAACTATTATTTCGGCCCACAATATTACCACATTAAAAGCTAAAAATGTTCCAAGCACCGTCCGTCTCGCCACCCGAAACATTCATAGCCCATCGTCCCAGTCGGGTTGCCTTCAGTCGGCACCTCGGCTCTTCAACGACGCGTAATTTGCGATGCACTGCAAGAAGTTTATCGGCGTTTTGTTTCAAACGTTCCGTAGTACTACAGTGCTTGGAGTGCGTCTTCGACCGGCGTGTCTAGCGTCCCGTCCTGCCCATACACCAAAAGCAGTCCCGAAATGGCGACAGATGACATCTCAGAAGCCGGAGTCTCGTGCTGTTGGACGTCGCAATCGAGGCGGTTCGGCGTAGATGTTCTGGAGAAAAAAAGCACGAGAGAATGTCGCTGTCCTCGATGCGTTCTAACTGCCGCATCCGCCACTGTTGCCGGGTCACCACCAGGATCTCAACCGGCGACGGCCGGTCGAGATCCATGAAGTCGCCGGGCAGAAAATGAGGGACCGCTTTTTCGAACGTGGTAAACGCGCCAGTCGGACACGCGTTCCCGGCGCCGTAGTAGTACCGGACGCGGGGATGCGAGCCAGTCGGAGCGTGACACGTCGTTGGCCGCCCCGTTGTTGCGGGCTTTTCCGTTTCAGAGCCCACGCTGCACTGCAGCCGTTGCGGTGCCAGCTTTTCCCTGACGAAGGAGGGGAGCTACGTGCGGCCCGAGGAGTGCGTCCACCACTGGGGTCGCCTCTGGAAGAAGAGGAGTGAGCTGGCCCTGTTTTGGGGATTTTGGGGAAGGTCGGGGGAGGTCTTTGAAAGAATCGCCACCCTTTTTTTTTCTTTTGACATGACTTTGGTTTTTGAGGCATATGTCAAGAACTTAATTCACTGTGTTTAGGACCGTTGTAATTCGACATTGCCACCGTTGGTTAACGTTTCTTCTAGTTTTGTTGTGGATGAACTGTCTTCTCATTGATAAAGCTTTTTGGTATTAATAAGCTCTTTTGGTAACGGTGAATTTTCTTTTTACTGATAAAATTTCTTCATATGGGTAAGTTTTCTTAATGATGAATTTTCTTTTTATTAATAAACTTTCTTGCTAATGGTAATTTTTTTTGCTATTGATAAATTTATTTGATGGCTATGAATCTTGTTATTTTCTCGCGTTTGGTAAAATCTATCGTTACTGATCAATTTTCTCATAATTAAACCATGTTATTTTTATATTATAAATATTTAAAATTGTTTTCATTACTTTTATATAAAAAAAATAGGAAACTTCGTCAATAACAAGAAAATTGACCCAAAACAAGAAAACTCGCCATAATTCATCATTGATGAATTTTCTTGTCACTGGTAAATTTCCTTGTATCTAATTTTCTTGCACCTGATGAATTTTCTTGTTATTGGTCAGTTTTCTTGTGCTTGATAATTTTTCCAATTTATCAATTTTCTCGTTGTTGGTAAATTTTCTTGTGATTCATTAATTTTCCTGTTGATTGATTTTCTGGTTTTTGGTCGATCTTTTTGTTACTAAAGACATCTTCTGTTGATTAATTTTCTTGTCACCAATCAATTTTCGGCTTTGCGTGCGTCCAGTTGCGGGCAGCCTGGAAAGCCGGTACAGCTGCTGTGAGGGGGACTCCCAGTCGGACGGCTGTTGCGTCGCAAAAGTGAGTTGCATTCAGCGGCGTACCAACTTGTTTCTGAGTGGGGGGCAAACCAGACCCCCCCCCCCCCCCCCCCCCAAGGGCCAAGGGACAGTGCCGTTTGTATCCCTTGGGAGCCGCCGGCCAGCGTTTGCCCTGCCCAGTGGTGGCTGTTTCAGGGGAGCAAAACACTTGCCTTGCTTCCCCCCCACTCTCAGAACTGGGGGGGGGCCCCCCCCTTGCCCCCCATCCCCCCGGTTGGTACGCCCATGGTTGTAATGTGGAAAACGGAGCAGCGGCTACCAACTTACTGCAGCGAAATGCTCATTGCAGTGCTAGGCTTTTTTTTTTTTTTTAATTAGATTTATGCTTTGTGACATTCTCTTTTTGCCAGCGTTTCCCACAACCAACCGAAATTGAGAATGAATGCGGTCGTAGCGTAAAGACGGGCATTTGTTACGTGGGAGCCTTTCTATAGTGGCTTGTTGAAACGTTGATATTTACAGAATCAGTTTCTAAGTACCTAGGGTTTTTCGCTTCCTGTTACAACTAAATTTTACCCTTAACGTTACACCTCGGACAAGTTTGATTGAAATCGGGTTAAGCCTGATATCTCCCCGAACGTGAAACAGTGACAATCTCCCGAGCCTCATTTGGAACTCTGGAGGTATAAAAAGTGACGCATGTTAGGATAATAAATGGACAATTATGACTGGAGTCACGTAAAGTGAGTGAAAATATGTTAATCGAAAAGATCTAATGCAATAAAAGGCAATCCTCGGTTGTCCAAATCATCACCACTTAAAAGCAATTTTTTTTTTTTTAAATAAAACTTCAGTATTTTTTAATTTATAAGACACACTTTTTTTTCCAAATTTTCGGTGGTGCGTCTTGTACACAGGTGTGTCTTATATACTAATTTTTACTTAGAAACTTGCGAAAAGTGGGGGGTGCGTCTTGTACACAGGTGCTTCTATACATTGGAAAATACGGTAGTTTGAAATCTTCTGAATCCTCAGATTGACAGGGAAGAAAAACAAATTGTTTCCCTACCTTCATTTTGAGAAATAGAACCTGAAAACAAAGAACCCTAGATACACCATAAAATTGTCATATTCTGCACATTCCCGCGTGTTTTCGTTTTTCGAGTGAGTCTGAGACTTCCGTCGGCCGCAGGGTCACGTCCACGAGGGTTACGACCCCAGCACGCTCACGGGGTTTGTCCGCACCCTCGCCAAGAGTCCCTTGCGGGGAGGCAACCCCGGCGTCTACGCTCTCGACTGCGAAATGGTGAGTCCACTTCTCGTCAACCGCCACCCACTCCGCGACATCGGCCATGGATCTTTCGGATGAAGCTACCTCCCGTCCCGCTCGTGCGATTTGCTCCGCTTTTGCCGGGCATACTGAAAGGTCGACCTTTGTGGGGTAGTCTATTGCGACGGTGATATTTGAGACTGGGATGGAAGGATGCAAAACTCACGGCAAAAGAGACAGTGAAAAGGAGGACCAACAATGCCTCGCATTCAGATACAAGGTTTCAGACGTTGTCTGTCCCCCTTTTCTGTGTCTTTTCCAGCCCAGTTTTACGTTTTTCCATCCCAGTTTACTTATTCGAGCTCACCTGCCCTTGGGCTGCTTTTAATTTAAGCGAACGAAACAGAGCGCAGCGATGGGGTAGCGCTGGCAGTAAACATCAGATGTGAACGAACATAAGGTAAAGAGAGGAAAATGAGTTACAGAAGCAGAGCTCCTCCTTTTTTGTGAAATTCAGTTGAAAGAGTTTTACATATTAAAAAATTCAAACTTTCGTAACCTTTTTTTTTTTTTTGTGGTTGATTTTAAGATTACTTGGGCCTCGCGTTTTGCGAAACTTTGTGTCCTCCTCGGGACCCAGCCTCGGAACGTTTGGAGCTGGGAGCGTACGCGACGTCCGTCGTTGCTTTCTTTTCAGTGCTACACGACGGAGGGCGTGGAGCTCACGCGAGTGACGGTGGTCGGCTGGGACCTGCGGCCCGTGTACGAAACCCTCGTCAAGCCCGCCAACCCCATCCTCGACTACAACACAAGGTGCGAACCCCGGCCCGCCCGTCCACAGAATAGAACCGTGTCGTCCGATGGGAAGAAAACGGAGCTCGCCGATCGGTTGCTTGGGAATTTATAGATGCCGTCCTTCCTTTCAACGTAACTTGGTAGACGACGAAAGGTACGACGCCCGCCGGCCAACCGGGGCATTCGTCGAGTCGTGTGACAGCGTAGCCTCCGAGTGCGCTAATTATGTGGGAAGCTGTCGCTTACTCCTCTGCGGCGCTTTTGTTGGCGCCCTTTGCCAGGTTATTTGTACGCACGTTATTCTTATCTCACGAAGAAACCTGCATTGCCATCAGGCATTGCTGTAAAAAGTGAAATTCTGAAAAAAAAAGGAGTTTCTTGAGCATAATTGAAGTATAAAGGCCCGTTCACACTCTTGCGATTGAGTGAGACCGAGAGAGACCAGACCGGTTTTTAAGCCTCTTGCGATCTCTTAGGACCAGCTCCGCTGCAGCGCATCCGGTGTTAAGAAGTCGCAAAAGGCTTGAAAACCGGTCTGGTCTCTCTCGGTCTCACTCGGTCGCAAGAGTGTGAATGGCGCTTAACAAAAATGCTTTGTAAATGCAAGTAGTGAAAAACACAAAAAAAATTGAGAAATGTTGAGTGGGGTTAGGCTGAAACGAGGTATATTTTACCAAGCTGCGAGGTTTTACCAAGCTGCGAGGTTTTGTGGCATTACCTTCCCGTAATGAACTCTTTCCGAAAGTGCACTTTCGTCAAGCAGCTGCATCCCCAATTATTTGAGGCCGCCGAATTTCGGGCGTGCACTCGAATGTAGATTGGACCGGAGTGCCACGTCGGCGGGCCAGGGCAGTAAGGATGCGAGCTCGGCAATGTTGAACCGACCACTGCGGCACACACAATCTTCTCGGCTTCGCATATCGTAGAATCTGAGGAAGTGCAAAGTTTTTCACGGGACATGGGACGTAAGACGTCGATCTCGTTGTTGCCTTTCTGTAAGGGTAACAACATTCTAGATCCACCCAAGCACTACTTCCGAAAAAACGTTCACCCCAAAGCGGGGAACGGCGTGTTCAACGGCGTTCGAACGACCCCAGGTTCAGCGGCATTACGGAGGAAGACATGGACCGGGTGCAGACGACCATCCGGGACGTCCAGGCCGTCCTCCTCTCCCTCTTCTCGGACCAGACGGTGTTGCTCGGTCACAGCTTGGACAGCGATCTCAAGGCCCTCAGGGTGGGTCCGTCGTCCGCGGACGCCATCGCTTTGCTTTTTGTCGTCTAGGAGAGCTGCACTTAAAACGGGCGGATGTCACGTGGGCGCGCAGCAATTCCATTATATACTCCCGTCCACTGCTAAGCTGAGAGTGCGGTTGAAGCTTTGTGCTCATTGGACCAGTCGTAGATCTATCTTTCATCGCGTAATCACACTCCCGCTTATGCTGGTGCACAGGGAGCAAGGCCAAGCGATGAAAAAGAGGTGGTGGATTAAACCCGGAGCCGTGTGGCTCTCGATGCACCGTCAGCTTACGAGCGTACGGAGCACAGCGCTGGTGTCTGACCTTGGGGTGCTCTTTTCTCGGGGGTGAAAGTCGCCCCACCGTTGAAAAGGTGTTTGCACTCCCTGTACTACAAGGAGATAAATGTGCATACACAAAGAAAGCAATTGTAAATCGTAGTAAAGTTTAAAAAAAAGGAGAAAAAAGATTGTTCTTGGATGCAAATTTTTTTCGAGGCTAACCGCTCTTCACTTGGTTCAAAAGCTGCCAGCCCCATAGCTTGGTGAAGCGGGCTCTAGATAAATGACAAGGGCATCGTTATTGATTGTTACCTACATACAAACACACTACCGCTCCTGCAGTTATCTCATTCAGAGGTTGGCCGCATTCGTTCAGATATAATGGCTGCACTCTTTATGTAGTTTTTAGAACAATGTCGTTGCCCCAAAATGAAAAAAAAACAAGATTTGCACAAAGGTATAAATCAAATTGTCGCAAAAAATATTTTTTGCAAAATTTTTTTGCAAAATAAGAAAAAACTGCTCTTAAAATTTGAAATTTGTACTTTTCTTTTAAATATAAAATAGCAAAGAAACATTTTTGGTGCACCTACGAGTGCATTTTAATTCACCAGATAAAGGGAGAAATTGGTAACACTCTGGGAGGTGCGAAACGTTATTCCCTACTATTCTCGAGGTAAAGACGAGTCTAGTGCTCGGGTATCACTTTCCAGCAGAGAGGACGGGCTGAACAGCAACTTGTGTCCGTCTGTTGACAGCTGGTGCACAGTTGTGTCGTGGACACGGCAGTGGTGTTTCCTCACCGGAGAGGCCTCCCGTACAAGCGTGCGCTGCGGACGCTCATGGCTGAACACCTCAACAAGATCATCCAAAATGGCGGTGAGTGTGCACCCTAGAGTTAAAGCTATATTGGAGAGAAAAAGGTCTCGGCGGGACATGGACGCAAACATTGGTGGTCCCAGTGGGTGGTTCCGATGGGCCCGTATCACTGTTGACGCTTTAATGATATACGCAAAGCAGCAGCAAAACATCACCTGCAAGGTCTGTGCCAAGTTCTTTTCTAGCTTACTTTGCGGAAACCCACCGGCTTTGCAAGTTGTATAAAAATAAAGGAAATCGACGAGTGGTCGAACAACTTTGAGTTGTCTCAGTTAAAGCAAACACACCGAAACTATCGTTGGCTTTCTTTTTCTGCTTTTCTTTCGCTCTCTTACTCATTCTTTCTCCCGAGACCATTGATGTCGGCACTCGAGATTTGCCGCGTTCTGCTCCCGGCTTTCCCCTCCCCTGCTTGGTGCAGGGCTCAAAAGGGTCCGATGTTCTGAGTACTCAAGAAGACCTGTGCCTGCCTGGTTGTTTGTATGTACTGTGCTTTGCTGCCCTGTACCACAGTTTATATTTTGTTAGTTGTTTGAGCCCTTAAATCTATCCTTAACATATTTTTTTTCCAGCCACCCTCGCCAATTAAATTAACCGGTGTTGCTTGCTTGCGACAGAAATCTTATAACTTGTGAATCAGACATGGCAAGGTTGTCCTTAAAATGGTGACTTGGGTTAGCTGTTTCATTACACACTAGGAGTGCCAAAAGAAAGGGACGGAGTAAAGACGACAATAGCGACGACAACACAAGGTGCACTTGCAACTCAAATTTTATTAGATAAACACTGGCTTATATATCCTTTGCAGAAACAAACACATAGTAGTTTCTAGCATGCCCAGTCTTGCTCTAAGATAAAAGTTTCTTATCAATCGATGTCAAAGAAGGCTTGCTGACACTCTTACCAGCACCCCTTGTTTTGAATACAAACTTGTCACAAATTTCCCTGGTTGCTCTTTCAAAAAACTATTCCAGACACCAGGATCCTGGGGCGACACATCCAGTGAAAAAACAACCGGAGAAATTTATGAAGCCTATGTAATCGAACACAAGGGGTGCTGATAAGTGTGCCTTTTCCGGCCTTGATTGATAAGGAACCTTTTCTAGCCTTGATTGATAAGGAACCTTTTCGCAGCAATAGCTGGTATGGGCTCCTCCCACCACTGGAAATGATATTTGTTGTTGGTGTTGTAGTAGTTGATGTTATAGTTGGCGATGTAGGGTGTCCGTCGTCGATGTTGCCAAACCGTTAAAAGAGTTTGCCCGCCGCCCGCAAGAATCGAACCTGGGTCCACTGCGTGTGAAGCTGAGGCGTCGCTACTGAGCTACGCCACAGCGTTAATAACCTGCTCTAATCTTACGGTTTTTGTAGTACCCAATGTCCACTGCACGTGCTTTCTGGAAAAAAAGTAGCCTATAACAAAAAAATGTCGTCTTAGCACTGTCAGTGCAAGAGCTCGTGCCCGGAGACGCGTTTTCACGTGCTCCAGAACAAAAAAGGAAACAAACGTTCGGAGCGAAGTAGAACAAAACAAAAGTGTTTGGAACAAAACAGATGTCTATTTTGTTACGAACGTTTTTGTTCACGCACCCCACCGCCCCACGGTGCACGAACACGACGCCGATGCCCAACGACTTTGCCGTGACGTGTCCCAGCTGTCGTTGTGACAGTACTGTGGGTTAACACAGGACTGCTCAGTTTTTTTTGGAGCAAGCATGAGCATGCTGGAAATGACGAGTTTGTTTTTGTAAATGGTACTTGTCTAATAAAACTTCTAGTTGGGATTGTGCCCTGTGTTGCCTTCGTCTGCACTCTGTTCCTGTCTCTTGGTGCCTTTAGCGCATCTGTCCTCACATTACCGCTTTGCACTGACTTGTCGCAGTGGACGGTCACGACAGCCAAGAGGATGCAGTGGCTTGCATGGAGCTCATGATCTGGAAGGTGAAGGAGGACCTGAAGAGGAATCGATGACCGGCGTTCATCCCCCACTTCATCGTCGTATTTATTTAAAGCGGGAGGAGCGGCACCATCTGTGCTCTGCTGGACAGGTCACAGGTTGCCAGCCGCACTCTAACCAAAGGCTTAAATAAAAATAAATAAAAAACATTGCGAATTATTATAATTTCAGGATCGCCGGAGGTCGTCGTTTGTGCACCGTGGTGCAAGTCTGGCACGCTCATAAGGTTACACGCATTTGCATTTCATCGGTACTTGGGGGATTAGCATCAGCTGATGCCAGAACTGGATGGTTCGAAGATACCTTAGTTAGCTTTTGAAGAGTTTTTTTTTCTCCTTGCTTTAACTGTGAAGTGACGGACTATGTCAAGTTAGGATGGTCGTGCTGATCGTGTTTGACAGCTTTTTGAGTCTGTTGTGCGGCATCAAAAGCATTGTTTTTCTGTGTTTCTTTTGCCTGTTGCATTTTTTGCTCTCAAGTTTTCAAAGTTGTCGTTGCGATTCGTTGAACATCTCGTCTTGTTTTGGCCTTGTGACAATGTGAACTGATGGTTATCACCCGCCCTCGTGGGCAAAAGCAATACAACAGCTCCAATAAACTGGATGTTTGCAAAGAAACCTAATGGCATTGTAGTTGTGCGTTTAATTTGATGTGCTACAAACTACCAAGCACATCAGTGCCTATTGTGACGGTTTGCTGCAGTGCACAAACAGTGTACATTTTGAAGCATCGAGTTTGTGTTTCCTCATCAAGAAGAACTAGGGATAACCAACAGCATGGTGCAATGACGTCGCATACATGCAACATATTAAAGCGTTTTGGCAACGACTACGAGCAATCTGTTGCTGCAGCGCTTAAAAAAATTTGTAAGACATCAAAATAAAAAAATAAAAATGTTTTTCACGCGGCATATTTTGCTTTTTGTTCGCACTTTTTTAACCTTGGAGAGTGGGAAAACAGGACAGGACGACATGAATCGCGAAACGCAGCTGAGCTTTATTTTACAAATCACAACCTTAAATACACAACCAAAACAAAGAACCCGAAGAGACCAGAAGAAGACACTGATGACAACATTGAAGTCACGTGTACCCAACCCAGGATACATGTCTCTAAAGTGGGTACACATCAAACCCTTAAACTGAGACTCCGCAACAAGATGTTAGATTGCACCGTAATACGGATAAGAACAACCGACAACAGAGTCGAGGTGAACAACCAAATGACCACTAAGCCACAAAAGGAAAAAGGCCGACCAACTACTAAAGGGCAACTATGCTTCATTTTTGTTTCTGAAAAAAAAAAAAAAAAAAAAAATATGCTGTCCTTTTTTGTATTAGCTAGGAAGACCACACGTCAAATGTTAAGACCTGGTTCTGTAGAAATGTTTCTTAAACGGTCGGGCAAACATTGAAACACGCGAAGTTGCGGAAATTCGCACTAATTCCAGAGAAGAGCTCACCGGAGATAAGCTTAGCCGCTTTTGTGCGGGTCCTGAGAAAAGCGCACTAGTCTTTTGACAGACTCGGAGAAGAGCTCACCTCAAAATAAATATTGACGTAAAGTGGTCGTTACCATTAAATAGCACTAGTGCTACCAAGGATTTAGGCTCCTGGAGGCGGAACTGCAGTGGGTGAGGGGGCTGCCCTCCTCCGCAAAAGTTCAGATTGCAAAAAAAGAAAATAGCCGAAGGGATCAATTCAAAGAATTGTTCCCTTCGGCCAAAGTTTTGATGTTTGTGTAGCTTTTGTTAGTTCAAAGTGGTTCGTTATTTTTTATTTCTTTTAAAGATTTAAAGATTATTGTGGCTGCGAAGTCAAGGCGTGTCCCCTTGGTGCCTTTGTTTGGAGTGTTTTTTTATGGTGACGATTTTGGATTCAGATTGTATGAAAGGAGGGAGAACTGAATAAAGTGGTTAGCTGTGTTTGAGACGTCGTCGTGTTTCTTCCACCCAGTCTCAGGTGGTTTAAAAAATGGTAAACTTACACCAGCTCGCCTGCGCCCTAACCGTTTTTTCATTGATAGAACCAGGTTTTTTTGAGGAATCGACCGCACCCATACTTTTCGCAGTTCTTCATCCTCCGGGAACGTAAGCACATACACTTTCTTTGACGACGTTTCATGGTTCCCATGGCACCCAGGAACACAGCATTTATGAGGCATGGCTAGCCCGAAAGCCGCCCGTAACTTGACAAAGACAAAAGAGACGGTTAGAGCAGTTCGCATACTCCCGCCGCGAGACTCGCGCAAGCCGCCGTGCGCAAAGTAGCGAAAAATTGTCATTGCGCAACTGCCCCGGGAAAACCGTAGGCTCGAAAAAAACTTTAAAAAAAGGCCGGAGCATGCACCGTTTGGAGTTCGGAAAAAAAAAAAAAAAAAATTAACGAAGAGAGCATGTGTTGCGGAGAAGCCTTCCTCTCAGGTAGGCCCACTCGTCGTGAATCTATGACGTCACAACTCCGAGAGCTGCGGCCTCCCTCATGTCATGCTCATAGAAATGTTCATGTCATGTTTCTCCTCGGAGAAACATGACATGGACATTTCTATCAAATGCGCCTCCTTGTTTTTTTTTTTGTTTTTTTTTTAAAAAGACGGTCATCCGTTCGAGATATTCGAGTGATATAGTGATATAAAAGTGGTGTTTTGGTGTTTGTAGCATCCCGTTGCACGCTTTTACCGCGTGTTTTGTGGAATCCAGATTTCGATTCAACTCTAGCGCGGTTTCAAAGCTGAGGACGTCGGCTCGCTCCATGAGAAAGTTAAGGTTTTCGCATTAAAATCTGCCTTCTCGTCAACATGCCGTGACTGGGGCTGTACCAAAAGAGTCGGGACAGGTTTGAAAGTCAGTTTTCACGTGTTTTCTGAGTGCTCCGTTCGCCCCAGGAACGTGGATAGGGGGGCCGTGATGAAAAGGGAAAATCGGACGCCGTCGGACCACGATTGCTGGCGCGGGAAGCACTTTGGGTTGAATTCACGGATACTTGTGGTCGTCAGATTTATTTGTTTTGTTCCAACATGAACGCGGGAAAACCACCTGCGGACTACGTTCAGTGTGTCGTCAAGTTCAAACGGCCGACTAATCGTTCGAGCTGTCGTCTGCTCGTTCAAACGACACCGGCCCGTAGACCAAACGTTGACCCGATAAATCCGATAGCAAGTAAGTGCAGGCATAGCCTCCTCTATACGGAGAAAGCCTGGCGCGTCGCGTGAAAAGACGGCCGCCGTAAATGGGAAAGGAGGGGCGGAGAAACGGGAGCGGAGAGAACCTTGCCTGCTAGCGCCACAAAAGAGCGAGCGGCCAAACGCAGAAACAATCTTTTTTTTTCTCTCTCTCTTTTCTATTCACACGAGGGAGAAATCCCGGGGATTTCTCCCCGGCACGCGCATTCCACGACGAAAACGACAGGCTTTGCGATGTGCAAAAGCCTCGCGTTTTCATCTCGTGATGCGCGCGTGCCGGGGAGTCGTGGAGAGGAGAAACTCAACGTCCACCCTTTCCCGTTTCTCCCTGCGCCCTTTCAGCTGGTGTTGGCCCTTTCGAATCGCCGCGCCCGTTTCTCCCCGAGTAGGAAAACGACGTTGACGAAAACACAAAAACAAGCGTGGTTCGGGGAGCGGCCGCTCATGACGTACCCAAGCGCTCGCTGTCTAGGTCTGCCCTTTCTGCTCTGCGCTACCATATTGGTCACCGTTCGGCGCGCTCCTCCTCTCCTTTTTCCTGCGGCCGCGCGCCCTATGGCTCCGTCGTCGATGTGCCAGGCTTTCTCCGTATAGAGGAGGCTATGGTGCAGGTCTCAGAAGACTTAAGCTTGAAGGTTGGTTGGGGCAAGTAGGCTCAGTGTGAACAGTAGATTAACGAAAAAAAAAAAAAAAGAACAATCACCGAAGTGACGTTTATACACAGTTCATACTTCTGAATCATAACACGCCCTCTCCACATAAAAAAAAAAAAAAAACACAAACACTGAAACGATAGTTGGGCCAATACACATGGAGAACGACACAAAGCAAAAAAGTTTTACAGGTTTTTGGTTTTGATGTTTCTTCTCTACCCCAGTCTCAGGTCAATTCAACATGGTTGACGTTTATTGTTAGTGCCAGATCTCTCCTGAAGGCAGTAGTCGGAGCAGGCTTGGCCCACTTCGGCTTTTGTGCTGAGCTGGGCACCGTGCATGCTCCATTGCTCGTGCAGGCCGGAGTGGTAAGCCCCTCCTTCCCCTCGGGCGACAGGAGAACACGAACTGCAGCCGAACGCTGACGCGGAGTTCGTTTACGTCAGCCGAGCGCTGAGTCATTGTTATTTGTTGTCCCCATCCGTGTAGTTTAGAGTTAGCCGCTTGGCGCGCCACGGTCTGGTCTCTTCAATAAGTATCGGCGCTCCATTACCCGCTTGTCTTCCGGTCGCTGCCATTTGGTGCTTAGAGCAGAGCGGCCGCAATAAACCTATTTTAAAAGTAGCATCGAGCAACATTGATGATGATGTTTGATTTGGTTTATAGTTTCTAGGCTAGGTGGCGCGAGCTACCTCCAATTATAAAGGGTACAGCTGTGAGCATCCATCCATTCACATATTGGGCAACGCTGACGAAACTCTCGTGCTCGGAACTTCAGCTTGGGCGAGTCGGTAATTCATGATATTGCTTCACAGCGCACAAGATGTGTGTCTGATCTTGTGCGCTGTGAAGCATTATCTCGTGCTCGCCCAACACAAGGCCCAATACATGCTCAGAGTGCGTGACCAGGCAATGACGGACAGTCGATAGCGCGGTCTTCTAAAAAGAGTCAAACAAAAATAATCGTGACATTAAAAAAACAAGAAAAATATCGATTTTCGGAGTTTTAGGTGTTTAAAAGCTCAGGTGATGTTGTTTTGCTGTATTACGAGCTGTCTTAACATTTCTAGACAAGTTGGAGAATAAGAATCAATGTGGTTTAAATCGTTAATTAAATTGGACCGAAAATATATTTTTATTTGCCAATCGTCTAGCGTTTCGTGATTCCTATGTGCATTTATAGTGTATTTAAATAAAAGAAAATCCCCGAGCAAAGAAGATTTATATTGGGCTGAACGGGAGCAAAAAGCAGTGCTCTTCTAAACGAATTGGAGCGTCGAGCTCTTTTTTTTTGCATTACTTTTTTTGTTAGCTACTTAGTCAACATCTTATTGCAAGTAAATCACAACGCGAAACACAATGCAAATAAAGCGTTTTATTTAGCTAAAAGGTCGAGTTGTTTTTGTTTTAATATGACTGGGTTTACGCGAATAAAAAGTTGTTAATTATACTGTCATTTGCGCACCCATGATTTTCGTCGGGGGGTGTTCTGGAAAATTTGATAACTGATCTGCGGCAGGCCCGGGGGGAAAGGGGTTAGGAAAGCTATACAACTTTTTTTTTTTATTAGAGCCCAGCTCTTAGGCGCCCGTTTCGGGCTTGAGCGGCGTAGCCGCTCGTTGCATTATGGAACGTTCCCATAATGACATCACACGTGACGTCATGTGTGACATCGCGCAACGTTATTAGATTAGCTCAGTTACGGAACTGCTCATAGGCGCTGCATGCACGAATAGTACCCCCCCTCACTCACCACGACTCGCCAAGCGTCGCTCGACGCGCCG